CTTACAAATTTGCAAGTTTAACAGCGGCGAACTTTGATATAATGCATCAACTTGAATTCTCATCTCTTATACGAAATGGGAACTTAACACAACAAAATACCACCTCCCACCGCCAACCGACAACATTATGAAAGTTTTATTCCGTTTCGTGTAGTTTGTAGCTTGTTTGTAGCGCAAGGCGGCTTCTATTTGAGTTTTTCTTTCACAGTTCATTAGCATTCGGAAGTCGGTCGATGATGAGTATAGATTAACGTCGCCCTCTAAATAGGTCGGAGTTTTATGTTTTTATGTTTTCGGCGTGTGGATGATGTATGAGGGTCGTCAGCGTCTTCGGGTGGTAGTTTCCTGTCGGTGTGTGGTGCCACGCTGTCTGGCAAAAGTATTTTTCCAAAAACAAACGAAAACGTATACGCACACTGAGTTTAATTAAATTGACTTAAAACTATTGACAAACTAATGATATTCATGTAGCTTTTGCAATGGTTGATGCATTATTTAATAGAGTATGGATGTATGAAGAAAATATTAAAATAAGTTCATTGGTTTTTGAATTAATAATAATTATAGATTAAATTTCACGTTATTTTCTGTTTACATGCGTAGTACAAGTACAACTAAATTAATTAATTACTTAAAAACTGTTTTTCCCAGATTAACTAAATTTTATATCATAGTAATCAATAAAATTCTGCATCTAACAGTGTGACAATATTGCAAAACAAATAAATTTACAAAAAGTTATAAACATTTAAATCTGTCGTTTCATAATTTCCCAAAAAAGAAACTTAAATGTTTAATTATCAATAAATAATTGAATATTAAATAATTATATGACAAAAAAATTAATTTGATTTTCAATAATTAACTAATAACGGTAATCCTGCGACTTAAGTTGTATTTTTTTTTCTCTTTTAACTTCATTTTTCAAGTTTACAAAATAAAAATTTCGTAATTTCGGTGCCAGAATGTCTAGCAGATTCGACTGGTGGGTTGTCCTTCAAAAACAAACATGTGTTTCACGTACGTGCTTTTCCACCGAGACCCTTCGACCTGCATCCATCCGAAGATGTTGTCTCTGCCGCTCCAAAAACTCACTCGCATGCTGAAGTGACAAATTAACGCAGTCATTGTACGCCGTAACGAAAGCGGATACTTTTGCAATGTGCTAACGCGGTTGGAATTTCAAACTCTTATAAATTATTCCCAAACAGTAATTCAATCTTGCACAATCTAGAAGGCTAACTTCCTGAACCGGACAGGAAACGCATTTTATCGACCATTTTGCTTTCTTCATTTTTCTCTTCTGCTGTTAATATATTCAGGGAAATTTTAACAAGATAAGCAGAATTCACTTGTCACGATTAAATGCGGTTGAAGGTTGCGCTCAGTTAAGTTGCAGTTATTGTGGTTTTCTCACGTTCGACAAACATTGGGTCCTAAGCGCGACTTAAGCCAATCAATCGGACATTCCGGCGACAATGAAACGTTTAACTTGTCAATTCGATTACGGGCTTAAATATTTGCCAAACGCAAACATGGCTTAAAAATTCAAAGTTGACAGGTTCCTCTCGCGTATTTCCCCTCCGCATTCATAGGTACCTGAATGAAGGTGGTGTGTCTTTTGTGCCCGGAGTTAGACACAAGTCAGCACGTAATCCCCAAACACACAGCACGCTGTATTTAAATTGATTAAAAACATTTGTGCGCTTAATTTGGTGGTAAATTCCACACGGACACAATGGTAGCTAGTGTCAAAACGGCGTGTGAGCATGTCATAACTTCTTTTATCCACCTGCCAGCTTGGCTCAAGCAAAGGCGAGCAACCTTGATTTCAACTTAATTGAAATGTTAACGGCTTTCCATCCACACGTCACAACGTATCATTAATTAATGATCTGACGATTTGATGAAATCATCTATAGAGATGTTGAGCTACTCGAAGATTGCGCCACTCGTACGCACCACATAATAACGCTTAATTAATATTTACGTATAGGCAACACACTCGTCAGGATTGAAAATGAAAAAAAAAATCCGTTTTAAATTTATGTGCGTGCCAAGTTTGATGTGTGATCTCTTTAGTAGCGTTTTTAAATATTTTGAACCGCGTCCAAAACATTTAACGTACAATTAACTTCTCGCGGTGATTGTTCAGGCTTCCAACACTTTTTTTTTGTCCTGTCGCGCGTCTATTTTAAATTTATGTCGGCGTCGTCGCGTCGTGTTGAATGTTATTGCGTGGCAAATGAGCTAACGCCTAGCGCAATGTGGTCTTATCAATCATTTGTGGCCTTTAACAAAATTTTAAATAAAAATTAAGTTTTGTGTTAACTAAGAACATTAACAGCAATAAATCAGGTACTAGGGTTAGGTTAAGTTGGGTTAAGTAGTAACTGAATTTTATTACTTTAACTGTTTTCTGCCTTAATTTGTGTTTTTCCTTAAATTGCTTCAATATGATTAATAAATAATCTTCTACTTAGAATGGAGACATATTAAACAAATCAAAATTGATTAAAAAAATAACCAATTTTTTTTAGTTAACGCAATAAATACAAAAATCACAGCTTTCTGAGTTGCGGTATATTATATGTTCTGAACATAATAAATTGATACCTATATTTACTGTTACCATATCAATTAAACAATAAAAATTATTTTTTTATATTTTTTCCTGTTTTCTTTCGCGCTTGGTGTGGAATTTATTAACATAACCTCATTTTTAGCAATGGACGTTTTTACCACACAGGTAATTTGATGCAAATCGTTATTATTGTTATAATCATAATTAAAAGTGTAAAATCCTTCGGTTTCGCCGAGCGCTGAATGTTAATTTAATTGTGATGCGGTAGGCTAACATTTTCCGCAGCAAACTAAATAAAGTTTCGCGCGCGCTCAATGTTGTTATAACAAATATGATTCGTTGGAAAGTGCATCCGAAATGAATTTATATGCACTTACCGCGCCACACGTCGGGCGATTTTAATGTGTATTTTGATGATTTATGATATCAAACACACGGGGGCACACGCCGCGGCCAACTTTTACCCTTAATAAAATAAATATTAATGCAAATTATTCATTATTTATATAAACGATGGCCGACAATGGCGCACACATTCGCACACGATAAACCAAACTATTGCCGAAAATGCAATTGAAATGAAATTTAGCAAATTGCGAAAATTCATAATGCAAACAAAATATTTTAAATGCATTAATGCAAAGTCAACACTTTTCTAATGTGTGTTTATCTTTGATTTTCATCGTACGCGATATAGATTGAAATTTATTAATTTAATTTCGAGACGTTTTTTTAAGTATCAACTTGAAATCTTGTCCCGTTACGTATTTTTACATTTCTGTGGTTAAGCAGCATCTGGTATGAAAACCACTTGGATGTGATTTATTCGCATCACAAGATCCACAAGTTGCGCCTGTATAAATGTAGGTGTGTCACTCGTAAATTAAGAAAAATTCGATTCACAATGCACTCGAAAAATTTCGGGCTCGATTTCAGCCTCTCGGAATGATCAGGCGCGCTGTGGCAGCGCGCATAACAAATGCTTTTGTCGTCCGCATCATGATGAGCGCATAATAAAAGTATTAAGTCATCGCCTCGGTGTGTGGAATCATCGTTTTGAGTGATTATCATTTCAAGGCAGCAGCGCGAGCGCGTATTTTATTTTTATTTTGTTGCGTGCTGCTTTTTTGTGTACGCGTCGGATTCGGATGCGCTGTATAAATAGATGTATTAATTAGGCGGGTGGTGTGTGTGCGTTTGCGTATGCTCACAAGAAGAAGAAGACGAAGAAGTTGAAGGCGAAGCGGAAGCGCGTTACAAACGAGGCGATGTGCGACGGCTCGCTGAAAATTTCTACACACGCCAACGCCGATGACAAACGAGCTGAGGTCGAGATTTTCAACCCCTCAACGTACATTTTTCAGTTTCTTTCAAAATTTGTTGTTTTGCTGAGGAGATTGCAGTATATTGACTGTAAAATGTTACATTTATGATTTTTTGCACTTGTGTATGAAAGTTATAGAGTTTTTCTTGGTTTTTCTGGTAATTTAGCTATTTTAGTGAAGATATTAGTCGTATAAAAGCAGTTTGTATGAAATTCGTCGATACTTGATAGAATTAACCTCAAAATTATTTTTTTCTATTTATTTCTATACTAAAAGAATATTTTCCTCAAAAATGTTTAATTTTCCGACGAAAAATGCATAATATTATTATTAATGAAATATTCTTAATATTTTTACTATGACAGATGTTTTTATATTAATAATTTATGATAATTGTGCATTTTCTGAGTTTTGTAAAAATCCAAGCAAAAAAATACAAAAAAGTATTATTCGCTGATTGTTCATTGAAAATACAAAAAGTATCACTTTCAACACTCGTTGTTCCTAAGTATTTCTTTACATATTCAAATTAAGCAACAAAAAAATGTAATTTGACTTTTTATTTTCGTCGATTTGGCAAACTTCCTGTCCTGCGCTATCCTGTTGATAGCATGATTTGTGTGCGCATAATTTTTTCGGTAAATGTTGAATGTTGGAAGCGTTTCCTGAAATTGATCTCGCAACTATACGAAATGAGACATTAAGCACGTCCGGGCGCGCAATCAAAGACTGCCGCCGCCGCCAGCGCGTAAAATAGAAAGAAACGAATGAAAAACGCCAGCGCCTGCATGTGTAAGTACAACGCGCGTGCGTGTGTGTGTTTGTATTTATAGCGGGCGTTCTCCGGGCAGAAAGAAGCGATTGCTTTGATGTGGGAAGAACGCTCGCGCAATTGCGCTCGCACGAGGTGCTAACCGCGCACAAAGTGGAGGAAATGTAGCGACGCAAGGCGACCATCTGCGTCGAGACGCGCAGCAACGAAAATTACAACAATTCCGTCACATCCCAAGCGGATCTAAACGCTATCTACTTGAATTCTACTTGAAAAGAACACACACACACACACAAATATTAAATTTGAAACATGCTGGTGATATTGTAATTTCGAAGCGATTCGTTTATATTTATACTATAAAGAATATTTACAAAGTAAACCATTTGTGGGCCACATGCAAACTTTGACACACTTATTGAGCATCAATAAAACACTAAAACGGATCGAAACCTAAACAATTCTCGTCGAAGTTTTACTTTACCACACATCGTGTTTTCAAAAACTTCGAAAACAGTTTTGTCGTGCTTAGAACACGGTGCAACAACAATTTAGGTTTTCAATGGCCCACATTCTGCTCGATTTAAACCCTGATGGACATTTTTCATAGTCTCTTGGAATTGAACGTTGTTGCAGCTTCTTTCTTTTCTTCTTTCTTCGGCGCTTCGGGTTTATTGCCATCCTGAAATAACATCGCAGTGAACTTCATCATCAGCACACGCCCGAGCGTTGGATTTTTTTTTTCGGCGGATAGAAAGAAATGTTTTCGTTCGAGTGAAGCGCTTTTGTTGCAATTAAATTGGGAGAGCGACGCGTGCGGGCGTGATAATGGCGCGCGAAACGTGGCCCCATTGAAACGCTCAAAGCTTGCGATTAGCATATCAAAATGGGCAACCAACAACCCTGCGGGCATTGTCATGGAGATGGCTGTATTATCACACCATCCGCAGGCTAGCCCTCCACACACAATCAATTTATAAACCGTTTTTTGAGGTTATAATAGGTTATAATAAATTATACGTAAGTAAGTTTAACTGAAAGTTTCAGATTTAACTAGTGGCATACCAGACGTGAAATCGTTGTGACATGTGTAGTCATAATAGCTTTACAGCTGAAATTTGTGTTGGGGCGGTGGCGGCGGGTAAACAGCTCATTAGCGACATCCATCATTCGTGCAGAGACGAGGACGGCTTTTTTTGTCTTTTACTATGTTGTGTTTTTCTTACACCTTGGTTGCACACAAGGTTATGTGTGTTATTTTCGCCTCGCAGGAAATTCCTGAAAACATAATTTTACATTATCAGTTTCAAATTTTTTTTCGATATATTCAAATTTTTACCAAAGCAATTACGTAGCCGTAAATAAATTGAAATGGCTTTCAGTTTGGACATGATGTCCCATCCTGGATTGTTTATGCGATGTTAATTTACTTCGCCTACTCGTAAAGGGTGCGGACGTGGATGGCGCAGATGATGGAGGACCACTTCACACGTGCATTCTCCATCTTCGGGCGTGTGTGCGGTTGCATTGCGATGCATAGCGCACACCATAACTCAATCGGGGACGCGCTTGGTGTGTCGCTAAAATTAGACGCGTCGATAAATTGTTTGAGCGTCGTTCGTCGTTTCGGATAGATGGATGAGCGCGATGCGCTAAGCCGGCCGGCTCAGCCACAATGCGCGTATTTATATTTCGACGCCGCAATGATCGAACTTGACAGCGTCGGCGGGGCAATCGAAAGTTTAGAAATCTGTCCGTCTCGCGGGAGACAGCCGGATAGATTGATGATATGGAAATGCTTTCACACAGACTCAAATTATTATTAAAATAGAACAAATTTTACAATTTCTATTCTTAATACCTACATTTCTTGTGTCTTGTCAATGTTGTCAATCAAACAGGTCAACTCTTGGTGTATGTTGGGTTGCAAACTATTGTGTGAGGTTAGAATAATAGATATAATCTTTTAAGTTTAAGTAGATAAAGGAGATATATTGCTTATCATTAGACGTAATCAGAAGGTAAGTTCGTGTCAAACAAAATGAAATCAAGGAATATCACAATCTGAAATCAATAAAGTAGTATTTAGCGTAGATGCATCACATAACCTCAAAATTTTGTACTTTTAGGACAAATTCAACAAAATTCAACAGAAAAACACTACCAAAAGAGGAATTTTTTTCGATTGACTCAAAGGTATCTCCGAGATGTAACAAACCCATGTTACTTTTTTTATGGTTATGAATGCAAGCATTAACTTTTTATGCAATTTTTACCATTTTGTAACAATTACACATTGCCATTGTGTATAATATTGGGTAATAGGTTTTGCAGCACCACAAACCCAATTTGTGAGTTTACACTCGAAAAGAGCAGCCAAAGGTTCAATCGGCGTGGCTAACCTGATGTGTGCGGCGTGTAATCGTCCGATAGAGATGTTGAATGGGCGCCGCATTCGCTAGGGTGTCAAACAGCATACAAAACGCACAATGCGCATTTTAAAATCTGCGCCTCCGGGCGCAGAAGCATCCCAGCTCAAAACTGAGAAACAGTTGATTCTGATTCCCCCACAGCCGAACACAAGCTGTGTCTATGCGTACGTAGCGGTTTAAAGAAGGGATATTCCCGGCCCGACCGCAATGATATAATCCCTTCGCAACAGTAACGCACAAAGTGGGCATGCAACGCATACACACACACGAAATATGCCGAGGGGTGAAGAGCGCTGGGCGGTTTCGCTGACAGCAAGTAGTCAATCGCAACTGCACACAAGACCACCGAGGTGGATCCCCGCATAATGTAAACTGTGTTCACAGCAGATAATGCAATTTTAAGTAGATGAAATAGATTCGAGTGCTGACGAGCGTGAACCGGGTTTTCACAGCGATGTGTATCAATTTATTTCGGCGTGTTGCATGTGTAAGGTGGGATTTTGTATTGTGCATTGAACACAGTCAGCCTAAGGCGCATTTACTAGACCGTTAGATGATTAAATTTTAATTATTTTTAGTCTCACATTAAGTTTAGTCTAGTTTTTATTTTCGATTGCAAAATGTTCATCAAGTGGATGAAACTTGCACAATTTTTTCCCAGCGCGTATTTTCCGTCTAAATATTTTGAATAAACTTCAAACGACTCGCGTGCAATTGACGAAACGGACGGAATAAAATCCGCCTGATTGATAAATACGAAAATTTACGTGCGAATCAATTGCGCCCGTAATTTTCATATAAATTATGAGCGGTAAATATTTTTCCAGGCACTCACACACACACAGCGACTGCTTTCGAGGAAAAATAAAAAGTAAACCGAGAGCGTTTGATGTGATTGAGTTACGAATCAGTTGTATACATAATAAAGTAGGTACACAAAAAGCATTCACACCGAAAACCGACCAAAGACTTGTTGGTCTTGCACTACTCGGAAACAGAAACGTCAAAAAGAAACCGACAATCGAATAAGTTCAATGGGAAACGAAAGAAACGTAAGAAGTAAGAACAAATTGATCATTAATCATCATTAAGCGAGCGTATGACTTTGATGATTTCCAAATTGGATTTTAGTTTGTGTATTGGAGTTCGAGTGGGTTGTGTGGAGTAAAAAACCCGGAAATTGAACCGTTAAATCGCGTGCGCGCGCCGAATGGAATCGGTTTATTTTCAATGGCGCATTGTACGTTTTCGGATATTGTACTCGCACAATAAATAAATATACGCAAGACACCCGCTGTGCCAGCCTGCGAGACGATGATAACATGTTGAGTCTGCACGTCAGCCCGGCCGGAAAATGTGCATTTTTTTACGGATTACGGCCACGCGGTGGAAAACAACGTTATATTTTCTTTTCTCGTTTTCGATTGGTATTTTCATGGTCATTGTTGTGATAATCAAGTTCATTACCATTTTTAATTTTAGATAACTGAAGATTTGGAGATTTATTCGGAGAATTGTTGGTGGAAATCAAAATGTTCGAAGTTTCATGCATGGATTTTTGTATTTTTTGTTATTTTATGTTTTAAAGTAATGGGTTATATATGCAAACAACGCCTGATAATAGGCAACTCAATAAGTTTTGCATTTTTTTGCATAAATTTCTTTCTTTTCACGTTTTTCTTCCATTTTCACGATTTTCTTGGATTTTATATTATTTTATGTTTTAGAGTGAGTTTGTATGTTCAAAAAACGCCTATTAATAGGCAACTCAAAGTGTTTTGCATTTTTTGCTAAAATTTGTTTCTTTTTAGGCGAATTTGTTCAAGGACCTATCCCAACACATTCGTGCGTCCGCGAAGCCTTGCTGTCAGAAACCGATTAGCTCGCGAGTAATTATTTTGACCTAGTATATTTACGCTGGCGCGCGCGTGTGTTGTTTAAACTGGCTCGCTGGGGTGTTTACAGTGCAAACAAAGAGTGTCAGATGATACAGCCAGCCTCTCGCGATGCGTCGCGACGCCGACGACTCACTCGCGCACACGTCGACGCATTGATAACGAAAATATTGTTGTTGCCACGCTCGAGATCGCCGTCTTCTACGTTCACTACGTACGTTCACCAAAGGCAACCTCGCTGCGTGCTTTTCAAGAGGGCGTGTTACGTGCACCGATTGCGCAATCAATTCACCTGTTTACCTGTCTACGAAATCACGTTAAACCCTAATACAAATACGTCTAAATCCAATTGGGATCATCAATTGTACGTATGTACACATTTGTATCATTTTAATTCATGCTCTATTTAATATCAGATCCACTAAAAAATTTCTTTTATTTAATTGTGTAGATGGAAAACGCATGAGAATTTCTCTTTGGCCGGCCTGGGTGGTCTTTTTTTCTGGTGGCAAATGATCGTAAAATAGTCACAAAGCTCGTCATCACTCGCCCCAGTAAACAGGAACGTAAACAACTCATAAAAGGAGTTTAACTTTACGATTTCGTGCCGTTTCGTGTCGAATTGTGCGCGCGGTCTTTGAATTGCAGTAGATGTGTGTGCAGCAACCTGTCAACGCCGAATTTTCGGCCAAGAATGGCACATTGTGCGATTGTCCCGCACGTCAATGGCGTGAAAACGCGTTAAATGCATTTTAAATGCATTACAAGTGCGCGCCCGGCCGGGGGTCCGACGGGCAATTGACGATACACGTTTTCGGGATTATCCCACAGTGGTCACTATAATCATCTACCACAATCGACACAATCACATTGTATGGTCATTTGACATGTTGATTTTTGTCAAAATAACATTAAATCAATATTATTTTTTAATATTTTTGATTGACAAAAGCAAAAATTTAATTTTTTGTAGTGAAAATTAAAAAAAAATCACATTTACGGCTCTAGGGTTGTAATAATTATTTTTTTTATATTAATATACGTCCCAGGACTGAAAATATTGCCTCAAACACGATTTAACAAGTTATATTAACTTATGACCAAATGAATCTTGTTGAAAATATGTTCAAGCTGCTGGAAATTTTGTTTAAATTTACACCGCCTAAAATTATCCCCCATGACTCAAAGCAATCACATTTTTAGCTTATAATAGTCGCGATAGAAAAGCAAACAGCTAAAAATCGAGCGAATTTTCAGCGCAATATTGTCGCTGACAGCCTGCAGTAACCGCCCGGCAACATCTTGCATGCCCGCCGGTTGAATTTCGAACCGTTTTTGGTGCGGATATCATAATATTTTCACAGTGGTACCCGCTGACCGATATATTTTGTTTGCGCTCTCGGGGCGGAAAAAGCTCATGGAATACGGAAATGCGGCCGCCTTTTTCTCATCTCCTTTGCTATTCCACGCCTTACACACGCTCAAACCGAACGGAAATTGCTCCCATCGAGACGTTCGACGTCATATTAAACAAACAATAATAATAACATATTAGAAACGTTTGGAAATTTATTATATTTCACAATGTGATTGTGCTTAAAGTGAATTTATAGATTTTGTTAAAAAAATTGTCTGAATGTAAAAGATGCAATTGAAGGTTTCGGTTGAGTTTGGAAGAGATGCGCGAGACAAGTTTGTAGTTGCATGTTAAACTGTTTGTGTACTTTGGCAGGCTGCCGATTGTTCAGGAATACCTTAATTTCTGACACCGGCGACCACTCCATCTGCGCCTCGCACCTCGCACGTCTTGTTCGCCGCAGCGTAATCATTTATCATTACAGACGTGCATGTCTAGACATGGATGCATAGCATAAACGGTACTTAAAATTTTTGTAAGTGAAATAAGCGATTTAACATAGGAAATCGTATGTTCGCCACTTATACTGCAACTCAAAACGATTGAAAATTGAAATTTTGAAATATTGTATTAATCAATGATTTTTATACAAAAAAGTGCTTATATTAGTAAATGTAATAACGTATTTATGTGAAAATGTTAAAAATTGTAAAGTTAGGTTATGCCAAGTCATGAAAATCTTTATGTTATTATCATACCACAGAAATTATAGGTTTTATGATTGTATAAACATCTCGAAATGATTTCAACTCTTGCGCTGCGCGTGCTAATCTAAAATGAAATATTATTCTTTAACGTTATACTCTTTAATGCTTTGGGGGCTGCTGATATTCGAAGAAGACCCCTGCTTCATCATGCCGAGTGGAAAATGTATGCATATGCTGGGCGTGCGGTGTTCTCCGTCTCGCCGAATCGAATTTATTCAGTCTTTCCGCGCTGGCGTTCTTCACCATCTTCGTTTTTCAGGTTCTGGTTGAGGGGGTGGAATGTTGCCGGCGGCGAATCTCATGCAATTTTCATGGCGTGCAACAACGCAAAGTTTACCTCCTTGCGCCTCGCGGCTACTGATTTTCTCCGCGCGCGCACTCACCGTCAAAGCAAAGGATTTCCCCAGCGCGCTGTTTTATCATATTTTATCATACATCTTGAGCGTAGGCGGCGCATGAAACAAAATAAAAACAAAATACAATCAAAGTTAAGCGTATACAAAACGTATTACGATACGCAATGAGAAAAAGTTGAGCGTGCGGCGCTAAAAAACTGAAACAAAACCAACTAAAATAAACAATGAGATAAGCGGATCTGTATGATTTCATTCTTTATTCATATCAACGAAGGCGGCATGTGCAAAGTGAGTATTCGCCAAGTGATCACTTTTTTTAAATTTAATAAACGTGCGAAGTTATATAGAAAATATATTTACAACTTTGTGCGCCAGATGGCGCTGTGCATTAGTTTACATTAGGTTATCTAACACAGCTAGTAAAATAACTGTTTTAATATGTCTTTTAAGTTAGTTTCAGTGAATTTAGTCACATACACAATGAAGAAACGCTTTGCGTTATGAGGCGGTAACACTCGTTCGGTTCCCACACACCGCCGGAGCGCAGAGGAGACGCAAACTGTTTGCCGAAGGAGGCAGCCGCCACACGGCAGCCATGGCAACGCAGCAGCCAACAACTCGAATTCAATTGTCTGTGCGCTCGCCGTCGCTGTGCGCTGCGAATCGAATCGAAATTCGGTGCACACAACGCAGCACACGCAAACACAAACACCGAGTCAATAGTGTGTGCGAGAGTTAGACAATGTCGGCCATTTTGTAGTAAGTGAGGATTTCCTTCGCGAGCGGACGAAGTGAAAAGAAAACAATTTTCATCCAAACTAACAAACATTACCGCTAGCGAAAGCCGTTTTCGACGATTGTGTGCGCTAGCGTTGAAATAAAAGAATAGAAAAGAATCTTATTCAAATGAAGCGTGTGTGTTGAGCGCTTTGGATGATTCTTTTTTTCTTTCGGTTCTCGAGTGGCTCATGGCGGTGGCTTTCGGAAGCATTCAATACAATTAATTATGATTGATGAAGTGGAATGCTGCGCACACCTGAAGGCACGACGTGATGCACACTGTTAGTGTTGCACAATCATTAGTCACCTTGACGAGATTGGATTCGAGCGTAAACACACGCGCATGTCATGTTGCAGTCAGTTTTCATTCATTATCCAACACGAAATGTGCATGGAAATAAAATTAGAACATTTTGGCATATTTTACGTTGGGAATGCTAGGTTCGGTACGTTTACCACAACTCAAACATTGAAATATAGTTTAATTCAATTAAATTTTTTCACAAAAATTTGATTTTATACTAAATATTAGTGATAAAGTAGGAAAACGTTAAAAATTGTTAAGTTAGGTTATGTCAAGTCATGAAAATCTTATTATTTCAAATTATTTTGCATTATTACGCGACATATGCCTAAATTATGTTGTTTTATGAGTGTACAAACCATTTCAACTCCTACGCTCCCCTAGCTTGTTTTAAAATGGCGGATATATGCTACTTGTCAATAGATGGCGCTGTTTTATTATTTTTGCAATTTTATAGGTTTCTATGTTAGATGCAAGTTGAAATTTTTATTGATTGAACCCGGAATTGTGTGTTTCGTGTTGGTTTTTCGACGCACTTGTATTTTTTGTTATCCGCGCCGCGTGTAGGCTAATGGCTGTTTGTGCGCTGCTGCGTCACACATGTGTGCGCGATGATCACGTATGCATTGATATAATTCGCCTGGGGGCACGTTTGCGCTCGTTGATGATGATGATGATGCGCTTGTTCGCTCGGACGCCTCGCGGCCACCCTTCGCCGCCCTCCGCCGCCGCTCACTTGATGCGTCGCCGCTATTTTCAATCCAAACACAGGCACCAATTAATTAAGAGCACTGCAAAAATAAATCACACTTACCTACATTTTTATTACTTATCGAATGTTAAAATTGCTTTTTTTTCTGTGTATTTTTAGGCTATTTGAATATTATTTATAATTTTGTGTCGGTTGTATTGTTGGTGGTATACTTTTCGTGGTTGGTTGACGCCGGCCTAATAAAAAACGTTCTAAATTCATTTGAATAAGTGCTCGGGGTGTTTTGGGCGTTGTTTAGGGTGGCGTCGGCAAATTATTAAATTGCTTTTTGCTGTCGTCGGCGCCCGGGGGGCGGCGCGCTTGTTATTTTGTTGACATTGGGCCTCCGTTAAAGAGCTTCGCAAATATGCGCCGCGTATTAACGCGCCCGTGTCTCTCGCCCGCCTCCTCTCAAAATCGCCACCCCTCTATTGGAACAAATGTGTGTGTGTTTGTGTGCGTTGCGATTATTGCAAACCACCATTACCATACGCAAACACTAAACGTCTATTAAAGATGTTTGACAGCTAATCAAATAAGAAACAAAAAATTATGTGTATGTTTGGTTGCATATAGTAAAACTTATTAACCCTAAAAAATAAAAACGTGGTTTTTGATTAAACTTTGAAAACTTTTCGTTAATACGGTTCAAAATACCCGCTATCCACGAAATGGGATTTGCATGTACCTAATGCAAATATTGTTTGCGCGGCGTCGAAAATTAATTTATATTAAACGACGCGCCGCCACAACACAGCGCCGCCCCCACCACCAACACCGAAGTAGGTTTAATTAAAATGCGTTAGCGCGCCTCCGCCGCGATGATGAAGTCGTAATGAAATTTGTGTGTACGCACGTTTTTTTTTTTTGCCTTCGTTTTCGTTTTCATTCCTTTGGCGTGCGCTGTGTGTGTGCGTGGTGCTACAAAGCGGACGCGACGCGCGCAAATGAGAAAATCATTAAAACAACTTGTTATAAAAGAGGCAGCGCGCCGCTTGGCGCTAATTTTAGCTCGCGTTTCCACGAATCGGCGCGCAAAGAAGAGACGTGTGTGACCGCCGCTGCCGCCGCCGCCGCCGCGTAAACACATTCGCCTTCGATGTGCTTCTGGTTTGTATCGTTTATAATGCGCGCAACATGCACATGCAATGCGTACACACACGGGGAAAAATCTTGATCTTAACGCGAGAGAATTGAGTAAATTCAGCGCGAAATCCTGAAGAAAATTGCAGTAATTTACGAGTAAACACGCGCGTAATTTAAGCGGAAAAATATTTATTCAATGCATCCGCGTATCTGTAGAGCGCGGAATCACACTTGACGTCAATGACAAATTAGCGTGTTCGGTTGGTTGCGTATCTTGCGTTTTTATTTTCGTGGTTTTATTAAGTTGCAAATTGATTTTTTTGAGGTTTGAGAGTGCGATTGAATAAATAAATTCGGCGGTTGGAGGTATGAGGCGACATTAAAGTCGGACGCTGTGCGGGGATATGTCGGCGCGTTGTTTATACGATTTTATGATTTGTTTGAAAAAGCGTAAGTGTGTAAAACCTCACACGACGCGCGAGGCGCAAGCGTGCAGCTGTATCTTGAGGAGAAAACCAAAAATTTCACTGTTTGGCATGTTCAAGTGGAATTTAGAAATTAGATTATCAAAGTTTATATTCATCAAGCTTAAAATATGAAAGCAGAAATCAATATTAGTGTTTTTTTTTAAACTTTTTTAATAAAAAATCAAAAACTTTGTCAAAAAAACTAAAAAATCAACTTATTTAATTTAGGTACAATTGTAGGTAATTAACACAGATAATTGGACATAAATTAGTTAATATTATTTTCCAAAGTAATTAAATAATTCAATTAATCAATATAAGTTAAAAAATTCGATATTTTATTATAACTTGCAAAAACAATATTAATTTCTGCAAACAAAAAACCTAGGCACCTAAATAACTTGTGCCTGGAGCATTAAAAACCTAAATTATTCCCTGTAGAATGTGAATTTCGTGAATCGTGAATCCGCAGGAATAAGCTAAAGCGCTAGGAATACATAATGATCAATTCCAAGGAGCGGTTTGAGAATGGCAGGAAATTTGAAATTGTAATTAGATGAGAGGAGAGCACGCGGGCTTCCGACAAGACCTCATCGTGAATTCTCATCAGCCGGAGAGACGGCGAAACATTAGCGTTCATTTTTTCCTATCCCAACCCCACCGCAACCCCGCCAAGCCGGGCGCCATTATATGCTGATAATACAACGCACATTATTATACGTAACATAATATTATTGTTTCTTAAATCCTTAAACTGTGCGACTCGAATTGTAGATGCGATTTCGGAGCGAAAAAACAAATTATGCTAAATGATATTATCATATTTGTAGGCAGATATCTAACTTGATATGTAGGGATTTCTAATGCCTAGGCAGTAAAAAATCATAAATTAATGTTTATCTCTAGAAATAAATGTTTTTAAGGGTTTTTATAGTAAAATTTTGTTATTATGCGGTATAAATATTTCCTACTGCCTGAAGAACAAATTTTAGTTTACTGCCTAGACTCTAGATAAGCCTATTTTTACAAAAAAACTTTTTTTGCCAGTTTTATAATAAAATTGACTGTTTCTTACTCCAATAAAGAATAATTCACTAGATAGTGACTTCTAAATGCACATTTTCATTTAATTTACTTTTACAATATTGCCTAGGCAGTAAAAATTTTAGTTTACTGCCTAGACTCTAGACAAGCCTATTTTTACAAAAAAAAAAAACAACCTTTTTTTTTTCAGTTTTATAATAAAATTGACTGTTTTTTACTCCAATAAAGAATAATTCACTAAATAATGACTTCTAAATGCGTATATTCATTTAATTTGGCTTTTACAATATTGCCTAGGCAGTAAAGTTATTTTAGAGACGATTTTGCCAAGATTTCATTCATTTGTGATGGAAAACAAGACGAATATTTATAAAATATGGTCAAGTGTTCATTGTGATGCCTATATTTCACTAATTAGGCAGCAAATGCTAATTAAATTCATTTCTCTTGCTTAAACGTCGATTTATCCCTGCTCAGGTCTTTAGAATACCTACAAATTAAGTTTTATGCCTATACCTGATCTTCATTTTAACAGATATTCAAGTTTTTATTTATTTATCAAAGAAAAAGTAAAAAACTCGCAAAGAAATAATAAAAAATTCATTTTACTCCTTTATTTCACTGATTCCAATCACTGAAAATGTTTTATATTATTATTTAAGTGTGCTAATCAACTCACTTTATTGCCTACACACAGAAATAACATTTAATAGGTATTTTGATATCAAAACGCAGTTTTTCATTAATTTTCTTCAATTTCTTGTATTTAATATTTCATATTTGAATTTGTCGGAAATAAATATTGTACACATGTGCATTTAAAGGTATAGTACATCTATTAATTCGATTATTACATCTACGGCCAGCAAATCATTTATATCTGAAGATATATACGCTCGGTACATTTATATAACAATGTGTATTCGTGTGATGGCGACAGTGTCTAGTTTTGTGTAGGTATGGTGTAAGAATTGTTAAATGCATTCGTTTTAAATTACAATAGGAACATAATTCGAACCAGAACAAAATGTACAATCTATACATATGCGCTATGAGAGAAATATTTACAATCAATTATCGTAGATGCACGAGTAGAAATTATTTATAAAACGAAATCAATCGAGTATTATCACAAAAACGATTCTTTCTCTTAACTAAACGTTCACAACTTCAATTTCAACCACAAATCCATCTCACATCAGTCTCTTTGTCCGAATAGTTAAACTAAATATTATTTTTCTTATTTACAACTTGCACTAAAAAAATGTTCAATACTTTTGAACGCAATCCTGCTGATAATAACTGGTTGGCGGTGGTCGATAAGTCGGAGGGCTAGGTGGAACATTATGTCTAAAACTAGACAATTGACAACTGGCCGGAGCCGCACCAGTCTCGAAGATCAAGTCACGATAACCAGACGCATTCGTAGCAGACTCAGGACTCGTCTCCGGGCTATACCATGGACTATAACGTGGAGTACCTTCTTCACCGGCGGACGCCGCCGAGGACACATACTGCTGTGGTGTTGCACTGGGACAATACGCATACATCCCTCCGGAAGATGGATGTAAACGCGGTGAGTAACTATGATGATGCTGCTGTTCCCTGGCGGTCATCAATGAATCCACACTGAAAGCAGCCGCCGCGTCCATGGCTTGCAGGGACGCAGTCACATCGGAGATAATATGCTCGGTTTGATGATGATGCGCCGCCGGATGGTGTACTATAACCGACTTGGTATCATGATACTTATTCATGCATTGACTCAGCGTTGTCACATCAGTGGGTTCCCGCTTCGGTTTGATGTCCAATTTTGTTTTGGTGTCTTCAGGTGACAACTGGGAGTTGGAGACATTCGAAGATTGATGTGTTTGATGATGATGGTGATGCTTATCCTCCAGACGTGGTTTAACCAGAACAGAATCAACTTGTCGCTTCATGGCTTCTTCTTTCTCCTTCATAGCGTCTTTCTTTTTGAACCGCCTGCGACGACGGAGGTAGGACCCATTGTCGAACATGTTGTAACTATCTGGGTCCAGTGTCCAGTAACTACCCTTGCCTGGTTTCTTATCATCACGTGGGACTTTGACGAAACATTCGTTGAGGGATAAGTTGTGTCTGATGGAGTTCTGCCAGCCTTGTTTGTTCTCTCTGTAGTAAGGAAAACGGTCCATGATGAACTGATAGATACCATTGAGGGTGATTTTTTTATCCGCTGCGTTCTGGATGGCCATGGCGATGAGTGCAATGTAACTATACGGAGGTTTGACCATATCCTTTGCAGCCGCGAGTTGATGTTGCTGGTGTGGCCAAGCAGCATAACCATATCTGGAGTATTGCTCGTAGGTGTAAGGGTTGGCTGATGCTGAGACGGCGGAAGGATAACCGCCTCCGGTCGCATGGCGATAGTACGCGTTCTGCTCGCCGAAAATCGTATGCATTTTAAATGGTTTTGTTGGTAAACAAATGCGCTGGGATGAAAATTGGCAATTTTCAAAGGCAAACACGACGAGACGACACACACACTATACTCTCTTGTGGGTTGCTTTAGGTTTTCCTCTTTACTTTGGCGTTCTCGTCGCTCGCGCCGGGCTGTTTTATGTTTTCATTCCAATCAATCTTCCGAAAACAAGTTTAGCTCACTTAATATTATGATACACAACATGGGGCAGTTTACACAGAGATTAAGTAAAAACAAGACTACGTTGCGGCGCGCTCGCCGGGACACAATGTTACTAGTGAAAACAGTGCGAGGCGCGACGACGAAGCGGCTGCGCCCCCCACTTTGGTGCTGGGATGCGGCGCACGTTGCCAACGCGCCGGATACACCCAGCGTTTTATTCCTGCCAATCGGCGAGCGGTAAGGGTGCGATCAATTGCGCACCGGTTAAAGTCTAACAGGATTTTTGTGTGAGGATGGTGTTGGAAGGGAAGTAGAGAGGGCATTGTCACGCCCATGTTGGTAGCGTAGCTTCCTGTGTTGCATACACACATAGAAAACAAAATTGTCAATGTCAACATGTCAAAATTGCCTACACCAAGCAACTCACGCAAGTATTCTGTACTTTCTGCACTATGCGATAAGAGATTTCAAATTCCAACACTTTTTAGTTTTGTAGTGTAAAGATATTGATTTTATTCGTTATTCACACATCACGCAAGTTATGCATGCTTGTTTCGTGTGGTTCGAATTTTCATACATTTTTGGACTTTCCGGTGTGTCGCACGTGCTTTCCGCTTGGCGTTGTCGTAATCTGCTTAAGTGAACCGAGTTGTAGACGTGCGAATGTCTCGATGGTTGTGTTCATGCAGAAGTCGCAAGGACGCAAGGTGCGTCTTGCAAAGTGCCGAGTATTAACGGATTAAGAAGTTACTTTGCAACCGACTGTAAGTTTCGACATTTTACGCATTGCTTTGAATGAGATTCACGACTTTGCGGGAATTTACATGGATTTTCCAGCTGTAAACTAAAAACTCAAAATAGCGCTTTTGTTAATTGATAAAAACGTCAAAACTTGAAGTGAATTGAAGTTAAATCTCAATAAAAACTGTGGACAACAGTTTTACATCAATTTTTGGTCTTTAATTTTGATATTGTGTTAATTTGTAGTTGAAAATACAAGAGTAATTTGTTTTTATTATTATTTAGGTAGGTACCTACATGTAAAAATGTTAATTTTATCATAACTTGCCTCAAATTTTAAGTTTTTGGTAATTACGACTGATTTTATTAGCTAAAATACAAGAAAATCAAATTTTTTAAATTTAAGTTTCAGTTTATTAGGGAGTTATGAATATCAGACGAGAAATGTCAAAAGAAACTTAAAATTGCATCACAACACAATAAAAATATTAAAACCAAAAATATCTTTCACTAATAATCATTTAATGTAACATAAAACATTGAAAAATAAAAAAAAACATTAATCAATGACATTTTCAGGATTATAGATTATGTTTGGAAAGATATTAAAGCCATCTGGTGGTAAAAATATGCAACTTTTGAACAATTCTTATTTTCAGTCCTTAACTTCACATTATTTCTTATTTTCTTTATAAAAATCTTGTATTCTTAAAAAATGATGGAAGCTTTATATAAAACACTTGGAGATTTTTGTCTTTGCAAGTTAAAGTCATCCTGAGCCACTTTGAGATGCGCAGTAGCGCGGGAGTTACGCGAGGATTAGTGGAACGTCTCTGTTATTACAGTTTGCGTGGAAGCATTGGAAGACGTTCTAATTTAGGGAAGTCGAGTGTTGGGATCGAATTTATTACTAAAACAACACCGCGCCGCGCGTTGAGCGAGAAGACACCCTTCGAAAATCAATACACGAAACAAAACAAAACAAAATACGGAAATCGAGAATTACCCATCCCTACTTCTTCACCTACTCATACTCCTCATTCATTCAAAAAATATTCTCATCAATTGAAATAGGCATACAGGTAATTATAAAAAGAAAATAAAAATGAAATGCATAATTCACTTTGTCATCGTGAATTATAATAAACGACAAAACACGCCGTCGGTCGTAAGACTAATGGATTCACCGGGATGAGATGGGATGAAGCGAGGACTAAACGAGTACACGTGTCGCCATAAATACATCGCTCACGCCCGTCTCACCTAAAACCGTTCGTGGAGTCTCCGGCATTCCGACACCGCCGACGCCGACGCTCCTTGATGGATTACACATGTAGGTGCGTTCGACAAATTTCCTCGCTTGTCGCCGTGTGTTCTTTTAATAAATTAATGCATTCCGAGTCGCTGCGAGCCGTGTCGCGCACCTTCATCGATTAGCGACTTGTACATAAACATTTTAGTGCTATTCATCGATAGATGGCGTTTATTTACTGTGAAAAAACGTTTTTTAGGTTGGGAAACGAGAATGCGTATTTTAAATTTAACGATAGATGGCGTTGTTTTACAGGAAAAAAACTGTCGAAATGCTTTTATTTAAGTTATAAAACATCTTGATTTAATCAAATTTTAGTTTTCTAAGCATTCTTCATCCGTTTAAGCAATTCTTCGATTAGCAACTTGTACATAAACATTTTAGTGCTATTCATCGATAGATGGCGATGATTTACAGTGAAAAAAATGTTGAATTGTTTTTTTAGGTTAGGAAACTAAAATTCGTTGCAATTAAGGGTTTTATATGAATAGTTCTAAATGTATTGACAGATGGCGTTGTTTTACAGGAAAAAACTGTCGAAAAGTTTTATTAGGTTAGAAAACTAAAATTTGTTTAAATTAAGATGTTTTATAAGCATTCTTCATCAGTTTAAGCAATTCTTCGATTAGCAACTTGTACACAAACATATTGCAGTGCTATTCATCACTAGATGGCATTTATCTACAGGAAAAAAGTTATTATTATGTTGGGAAACAAAAATGTGAAAATGTGCCTGAAATAAAAGGTTTTATATATGCATTTTTAATCAATTTTAGTATTTCATTGATTAGCCAACTTGTTTGCAAACATATTTTCGCGCTATTCAGCACTAGATGGCAGTGAAAAAATGCCGAAATGTTTTTCTTCGGTTGGGAAACTAAAATGCGAAAATGCGTTTGAATTAAGAGGTTTTATCGACGCGGGGCGGATCGAATAGCGGGCTGGATGGTTAATTCCCTCGGCTCTGAATAAACACTCGGCGCCCTCCTTGTATAAACATTGAGCGCTAATGCCGCGCCGCCGCAGCCGCACTTCGAGTACTGTTTGCGGCTCGCATAGAAATTACAATTAGCACATTCGCACTCACCACTATTGCACACCCCTCGGCGTATCGCGATAAAAGTGGCGCGCGACCAGAAGCCCGCCATCATATACGGATGAGCGGGTTTCGCACGAAATTGGCCTTATCCTTTGCGACGCGCCGCCGCCAACGCATCTGCATAATTCAAACATTTCCGTTTCGACTGCTTGCCACCACATCGAGATCCGCCACATCCCGGAAAGTTATTCGCGGAATTTGCAAATGCGCAAATTTCGTTTGTTTTCCATTCTAACTCTCATTTACATGGGTGTATTATGTCTACCCTTGATGGTGGAATGGAATATACGAGAATTGACTAGACATTGAAAGTTTTGGTAAGCTTTGCTGTCAGAAGTTGTAACGCTTTTTGGAAAAGGGTTAGATTATATTTTCGGAAATTCATGCATGCAGAAAATTAAACCCGCATAATATTAATCATATTTTTTGTTATACTGACTAGTTCATGCGGAGAATAAGTAGGTAGCGCTTTGATCTGCCCCGTAAGGGAGATTGGCATAGTTTGATTAACAATTGAATAATTAATTAAACAATTTTGAGATAACGAATCAAATAAATATGATCAAAAACTTAAAGTTTGATCATCACGCGATAAAATATTATCTGTTTGAAGATATCTGATGATTGTGTTAAACTAATAATTATTAAAATTAGAAACTTAAAACATTGAAATGTAGTTATAGGTACTTTCTTCATAAATCTGTTTGGTATTAATTTATGAACCTATTAAATATCTTATCATAAATTTAATGTAATTTAATCATCAGTTTTTTTTTCTCTGTTTGAATTATATTTATAACTTTCTTCATTTTTTAAAATCAAAAATCGAAAATTTTCATTATTTTTTACTGTTATTAATTAATATCTTTGTAACCTATAAATTTACACTAATATTTTCTTGAAAATTTGACGTTGACTTAAGTTTTGAACATATTTTCGTTAAACTTTTATTAATTACCAGATTATAACAAAAGTTACAAAGTAATTTGTGTAAATTCTGCAATTTACCTAAGTGTTATAGTCAGCATTAATTGTAAAAATGATCTAATGTGTTATGAATTTTGTTCTTAGAACAGGGAAAATAACATTTAGGTATTTCCCAATAATTTTTGTCTAATTTAGGGTTAAACTGAATTAAATTTTCCGCTTGAAATCCACACGCATGTTTACTTAGTATAAAATGCACACTTTCAGCGCAGGCGAACACGAGAACAAGATACGACCAAGCATACTGCAAGCGCCCAGATGAATCTTGTCACATCAATGTCAATCAGTGTTTGGTGTTTCCTGAGACAGGCGTCGGACCTCCTCCGCACTAATGTGTGCAGCGTATAAACGCTGATAAAATTCGTGCATCTCGTCGCGGCGCTGCCAAACGCGTAACTGGATCTTTTCACTACCTCACTACCTACAATTTCACAACTGTTTAACAAAAACAACACCAACCCTTGTTGTTTTTATACTCATACCGCACACCCATAGGCACACAGAGTTAAATCTAAACGGTAAACTTTTGATATATTTTGCATGCGTCGTGAATGTGTATCATTTGGCGCATGTAAGTGGAAACTGGAAACGAAATTCGAATATGTCAACCAGCGCGCACAGCTAAATGGACTATTTATTTGTTTTACTATAAATATATTTATTCAATAAACATATTTGTGCGGAGAGACAGGTTCGTGACAAGCGTGCGCCGCGTGAATAAAACGGTTAACAGGAAAAACGTTATGAATGAAACAGAAACGAAATGTGAATGAGTAAATTCATTTGTCGATGCTGATTATATCATATTTAAACACATGCATAGACGTGTACAATTATCATGCTAGGCTCGAAATTTAAATGAAATGAAATTTATGTTGATTTTCAGCGAGAGTGAAGTTTAAACTGTTTACAAATCAATTAATCGTGCATAATCATAGCACGAATTTGTCATAACAAACAATACTCAGCTAACAACACAATCAATATTTGTACTCGACACCTGTATTATGATTTTTATCATCAGCTTCACTGGAAAACAACTTCATTAATTTATTTGCTCATTATTGTAATAATTTCGTTTTTACTTTTTAAATTTTTTGATTTTTACGTGAAAATATTTCGAAATTTTATGATTTCTTGATTTGTATAGGTGTAAAATTCATATTTGGTTGTTTATCCAACGCACAGCCGTCACGCGCGTTTTTCGAATGTGAATAAAAACTGAATCGATGTGGCGCGCGTTGTGAATGAACCGAAATTAAAGTAAACAATTTCCGAACGAAGGCCTTTGTGTGCAATGGGTGGACATGGACATGCCTTGGGTGGTTATGGCTGTGGTTAAACTCGTTGAAATAACTAGCCCTAAGATAACAAGCGGTCTCATCGGCCTCTTGAAATTTCGGTTTTCTTACTATGCGACGGGCGATGACATTGTGTCCAGTTCTGGGCGTCGCTTGGGAGGTTCATTGAATTTTTTCGGTGTGGACGAGCTTCAAGTGAGGACACCCACCTGTGATGCTTACAATGCCGTCGAGGTGTGAAAATTCGAAGGGCAAATATTAACTAATGTTGATTATAGTTGAGAAGGTGAGAGGATTTTCTGCTTTTCAAGTGGTTGTGAAAAGAATTAATGAATGAATACCTTGGATTCATTATCTGCAAGTATTAATATTGAATTATTCTATAGTGTGTGCTAATTAGATACTAATTAATCGGATAATACTAAAGTTAATGTTTCTTTTTATATTTTTCATCAGCATATTGACAAAATTGTCAATATCTTTCTATTTCCAGCGTTTTCTTACTTATTGTACGTTGCTCCAGTTACACTTCTTGTATAATCTGAGTGAATGATTGTTTATTAGTGCTTTTTGTATGTTTATATATGTTGTAAGTATTTGTAATTTTATTTTTTCTGATAAATATCCTAAAATTGTTCTTTTGCAGATTATAAATTAGTAGTTTCATGAAAATACCTTGTTTTAGTTGAATAAATACAAGCAATCTCAATGACTATTATTGGTAAATATTGTACTTTCATTTTATTTTCAATTGTAGCCTGTTTTGATCGAATTATTTGCTAAAATGTTTAATTTTCAGTTAGATATGTACGAATATTTATATGCATTGTTGGTTGCCTACCACGATATAATAACTATTGTGCTTTGTTTCCTAATAAGTAATTTATGAGTTTTTCTGGTGACTGTCCTCAGTGTCCTCTCCCATGAGAGGACACATTGCGCATATTTCGAATTGTATGCCTGCGAGCCGAATCCGTAGAGCGCGCGCATTCGTTTGCTCGTCTCGCAAAGTCAACGCGGCTGAATAAACACATCCAGCGTGCATCACGGACGCAGAGGAAAAAGGATAAATCCATGCCCATGTTCCGCTTCGAACAAAGTCGTTGCTCTATTTTATTTTCGTACAACATCAACCGTATTCGCATCAATTCGGTATTGCCGTTCGGAATAAATACATATTATCAGTAGGTATTCCACCAACACGAAGAAAATGCAAAATGAATAATAACATTTCACTTGATTAAAACGTTTTAAACATGCAGTATACGATTTTTTTGTTGTCTCTTAAAATAGAAATTAAGATTTAGCTTTGAGCTTAATAAAGCTCCCGCCGTAATGAATCAAAAACTTGAGCGTTGTAACCGAGACTGAGAATGAAATTGGATTAAATGTCATAACTGTATAAATATTTAGCTTTTGTTACCAACTCAGCGCTGAGAATGAACTCTTCAACCGACTTTTTTCATTCTAAAAAAAGCAGAAGAAATGTCATGGCTAATACACTTGAATATCGAATATTTATTGCACATAATTACCAATACAAATTAAGATAAGCGACGATTTCGAGTTTGAAGTAGGTATTTAAAACTAATTTATGTGCTTTTTATTGCTCTGTTTTAAATTATATTGTAAAGAAATCGTGTCGCACATTTGTTAAGCGCACTTCAATGACTCGGAGTAAATTTGTTGACGCACATCGTTGCTCGCATTTTGTTTATGCTTTGTTTACGTTTCGTTGGTGGCAAAAGAACGCGTTTCCTCTTCGCTCGTCGCGGCGTTGACGTGCGTGCATCCAAACAACTACCGTCTAGCTGGAAAATTCGCCCGGTTCTCACACTCTTTTTCTCCTCGCCTAGACACTTGTGTCGTTTATGTCGTCTGAGATTGAGTTATCAACAGTTTCAAACACTTGAAAACGATTTGATTTAGATTTCTTTTTATCTAAAGGCTAGATTTACATGAATGTGAATTATGAGTAGGTAATATATGCAACCAACAAATCATCTAGTAATTTATAAAATATATTTATTAAAATAATTTGTAATTTTCTTGGATTTTACAATTTTGTTTGCGAGTTTTACATGTTTACTAGAACACAAATTTAATCAGTTTCTGATGATACCCACAGGGCGAAACATCTAAAACTCACAAACAAAATTGTAAAATCCAAGAAAATCACAAATTATTTTAATAGATATATTTTATAAATTACTACCATGGATTACGTATTCAACTTAGAAAACAATAAAATCATCTAGTGAAAAGTTGTAAGTATAGATTGAATTTTTTTTATTAGTTTATTAGGTTTATAGGTACCTACTTGTGTTTTAACTTTTTAAGAAAACGGTTTGATTTAGGTAGGTATATGACTCTTTACTTCAAAATTTGTAGGTATAATTTGGGTTTGATTAAATTGACATTCTTTTTATACCTAATACCTATAGGCAACCAAGTATTCATCTAGAGTAATATTGTATATTGTATAGGCATAACATAAAAAAATGATATTAATGTTTTTGTAACTTATGCAACCCACATTTAATATAATTTAATATTATATGTTTTGTATAATAAAGGCAACCAAAATGACATGCACGGTGGTATTTGATGAGCAAACAATAATTGTTTATGTTTGACTTGTTTTTGCTTGTTTTGACTTGTTTCTCTAAATGTAGCAATATTCTAATTGGAAATGTGTATACAACGATATAGCATTCAAGCCTGAAAAGTTGCTTATTTTTCTATTTACGTATCGTTTGCGTACGGGAACGCGTTTGATAATTTGATTATTTGTACGCTTAAGTATAAGTTTATTTGCTCGCAGGAAAAGGAACAAAGCGAAAACATTCGAGCCACTCATTGTTATTATATTCCTTCGAATATATTGTGCCCACACCGCCACACGGCAAATGAATGAGTGCACGAATGCATTTTTCGTTCTCTACTAGAGAGTATTCGAGCTGGCGGTGAGTTTGTTTCTACTATTAGTTGTAAAAATACACAATCTGTCATGACCTTACCACAATATAATCGGCGGCGCTCGTTCTCCTTCTCGCTTCGACATTGTTTACGCCCCAACGGGATGGGATGTTGTTTCAATGTTTCAAGTTTAACATTTCCGATGAATATTTCGGGCATTTTAGCCTAAAACATAAACAAATATAATAGAAAATCGACGTGTGGTCATGCGGTGTCGTAAATTATAACCAGAGTTTATGTTGTCTATAAATTCTAAGCAATTAACGCAATTAAAGTTTATTTTTTTCGGTTTTGTACTGTAGTGTTTGAATGTTTGTTTGGTAGTTGTCATGGTGACCACTCGTGGCGCTCGTGTTGTTTGTTGTCCAAACTCATCGCCATGATATAACCAAGGATCCAAAATTCGCGCTGCGAATACCAAGCCTGCTGAGGGTTCGTCATGTGCGATGAAATAACACTTCGAGAGGGCAAAACACTTTAACCACCGACGGCGATGGCCGATGGCCGCACGGACAAGCGACCATTACGTGCCAACAATCATACCACGTGGACACAGCATAAATTAGTAATAACTGCGTACAATGTGAATATGTTCAGTGAATAAAAATTATATTTAAGCGATGAAATTATCATGAATCAGGCCTTGAAACATCACCATCAGCGCACATCAGCATAGTTGATTTGATTGTCGCGTAACAAAAGAATTGTGCGCCGGTGTGTGCGTCCGCGTGAGAATCGAAATTGTCGGCTCGCGAGCGTAACAATACGCCGTGATAAAAGTGCGGCCGGGAAAGTGGCAACATGGCGTCGTGACCAATGGGAGCGCGTGCCTCGCGGGCCCCCCGTTTCCGCTTCGGCCACTTCACGCCGCGGCCGCAGCCTGCGCAAATATTATTCTTGCGCCCCCTCCGGTTGCCGCGCGCCCTTTACATATCACTTCATATTCCATTCCGTACGTGCGGACGGTCGCCGACCATTATTACGTTTGTTATGCCATTGCCCATGTGCGTACCCTTTCTTCCTCTCACGACATGTTATATTCATATAACATTCATGAAGCGACATATCCATTCGTTTTTGTTACAAAAATCACTTCTGAAATCATAATTTATTACTTTTGATCATAGCGGACATTCTTTTTGATTTTTTTACTAAATTATTATATGACTAAATATGTTGCAAATATTTAATTTATTTATAATATAATTTGTATAAAAAATACAATAAATAAATAAATTTAGACTATGTATCATCATCTATCAGTAGTAATAGTGTACTACAAATCAGAAGTTGCACACTAACGAAACCTAGTAGTATACATCCGACCTAAATTATTACAAAATTACAGATTCCTACAAAGAACTGTCATTAAAATCATCTGTGCTAAATTTCTAAAGTAACCTCAAAATATAAATAAACCGAGCTTAAATAATACATTACAAGTGAATATTTAGCATTAAACATAAAAAAATATAATAATTTAAATAAAATTCAATCAATTGTGCGTGCGTTTTGTGATTTATATTGTGTTACTCACTAAATATTCTTCTTGTGAAACATTTGGCAATGACATAGTCATGTATCGACAATTATTTGCCTCATCTCCAGTGCCATATAAATTAATTCACAACAGTTTGAAGAATTTTACTCTTTTAAAAGACACAGTAAGCCACAAACAAACTATCCAAGGATGTAGAAATTTTGGAATACACCTTAACAAATCTGTAAGTTGCAATATTTATTTCATCATATTGAGTTTTACTATTAAATATCTTTCATATTTAGAAAACCAACCAATTAGTCAAAGAATATGCGGCGGTTTGTTCCCTGATAAGGCGTTCAGGCTTAAATGACATCAGTAAACTTCCCAAATACTTATCAGTGAGAGATTTCCATTCATCTCCACAAAAATATCAACAGCCCAACAATCAGAATCCCAATTCTGATAAGAAACCAAAAAAGGATGAAGATGAAGACAATAAATTATCTTCTCTATTAGCAAAGGCTTTTCTATGGATGTTATCAGCTTATATGGTTATTGCAGTGATTTCCTTACTGTTTCCTAGCAGTAATCAACCAGAAGTAAGATATTTTCACTCTTTTTCCACTTCAGATTTATTTAAATGACATGTTTTTGTTTAGGTTGTAAGATATGTGTCCTGGAATGAGTTTTTATACCAAATGTTAGCAAAAGGTGAAGTAGAGGAGATAATAGTCCGCCCTGATGTGGAAATCGTCACCATTATTCTGCAGGAAGGTGCAATAATCAAAGGGAAAAAAGTTGAGCACCGCACGTATCACATGAATGTAGTTGACATTCATAAATTCGAGGATAAACTACGCCAGGCTGAGCGTAGATTGGGAATCCGCGATGGTGTACCCATCACTTTCGAACGTGGTGGCGATACTGCAGGAAAACTCTTGATATCTTTGCTTCTGGTTGGCATAATTGTATCAATTTTGGCGAGAAGTCGAAGTATTAGACCACCAATTAGTATGGATACGTTTGTATGTTATTAAATAGTTACAAGCGTCAATTTATTAATTTTTTTTGTTTTTCGTAGACACAAATGGGTCGTGCTAAATTTACTCTCATTGATCCTCTGACAGGACCAGGAAAAGGTGTTAAATTTGCAGATGTTGCTGGCTTGCATGAAGCCAAACAAGAAGTAATCGAGTTTGTTGATTATCTCAAACGTCCTGAGCATTACAAGGCTCTCGGAGCGAAAGTTCCACGTGGTGCGTTATTATTGGGCCCACCTGGATGCGGTAAGACACTTTTGGCCAAAGCGGTTGCCACCGAAGCGAATGTTCCGTTTTTATCCATGGCTGGATCGGAATTTATCGAAATGATTGGCGGATTAGGCGCTGCTCGTGTTAGAGATCTATTCAAAGAGGCTAGAAAGCGAGCACCCTGTATAATCTACATTGATGAAATTGATGCTGTGGGTAGGAAGAGAAGTGGCGAGGGTGGTATGCCTGGTGGAGGTACAGGCGAGAGTGAGCAGACACTGAATCAACTTTTAGTTGAAATGGACGGTATGATTAGTAAAGAAAACATTATTATGTTGGCATCGACGAATAGAGCGGACATTTTGGACAGAGTATGTTTTTTTATTGTAATAAGTATGATTGGTTGCATATCTTTTTTGTATTTAAGGCGTTATTACGTCCTGGACGTTTCGATCGTCATATTTTAATCGACTTACCGGATCTTGATGAGCGCAAGCAAATTTTTGAACAACACATGAAGGGAATTGCTTTGGAACATCCAGCGTCGAATTACTCACAGAATTTGGCATATCTAACGCCTGGTTTTAGTGGTGCTGATATTGCGAATGTTTGCAACGAGGCGGCGCTGCATGCGGCGCGCTACAAAAAGAAAAAAGTACTTAGAGCTGACTTGGAATACGCTGTAGAGCGTTTAGTTGGTGAGATAATTATTATTTAAACAATTTACTTTATATATTTACTTAATGCATCTACAGGTGGAACTGAAAAGCGCAATCATGCAATGTCTCCGCAGGATAAACGAGTTGTGGCTTATCATGAATCGGGCCATGCTTTGGTTGGCTGGATGTTGGAACACACGGATGCCTTATTGAAAGTTACTATTGTTCCCAGAACTAATTTAGCGCTGGGTTTCGCACAGTATATTCCTAAGAATCAGAAACTGTACTCTAAGGAAGAGGTAACATGATGATGCATCAATTGAACTCTGAATTAAATATTTTCTGTTTAGTTATTTGAAAGGATGTGCATGACTTTGGGCGGTAGAGTAGCTGAATCATTGACTTTCAATAAAATTACAACTGGCGCACAGAATGACCTCGAGAAGGTCACCAAAATGGCGTATGCACAAGTCAAAGAGTACGGAATGACAGACACAGTTGGTTTGCTGTGTTTTCCTGAAGAGGAAATCAAAGAACGTGGCAGTCGACCATTCAGTAAACGGCTGGCTTCTACTATTGATCAAGAAGCAAGGCAGTTAATTGTTAATGCATATAAAAGAACCGAAGAGGTTTTAAATGAGAATAAGGATAAACTTCAACTGGTAAGCAAAATTAAATTAAATTTAAAATTATATTCTTAAATGTATTAACGTTTTAGTTAGCAGAAACTTTACTTAAAAAGGAATCTTTGAACTACGACGACGTTGAAAAGTTAATAGGTCCGCCCCCGCATGGCAAAAAGAGACTTATTGAACCAGCAGAGTTTGAAAAGTTGATTAGCGAAGGTGCCGCACAAGATGATAAAACAAAACCAGCTGGAAATGATGTCAACTCATCGACGACAACCTAAAACGACGCGATTTTTTGTTAGAATTTTGTTAACTTAGATGAATTAAAATTATTTAAATTTAAAATCACGCATGCGCAACTTTTGTTATTGGTCAAAACCATAACTTGGTGTAGTGTGAGTTGAATATGTTATGCTGTTTCCCGAAAGTAATGAATTTAAATGATTCATCACAATCATCACTCAATTGAGTTATAAACCACTCCAAACTACTGTCAACACGCTGTGAAACATCCGACGATGTATGATGGGTTTAAATTAGTGGGTGCCCACATGTTTTACCCACAAAAACGCATCACTACGCTGAAAATTGCCGGCGTTACTTGGAAAAAACGAATGTAAATACACAAAATGTCTAAAGTTCGCCAAAAATGTTTGTGTTACACACACATTGCGGATATCACGTAAAATTATGCCAGTTTTATTTTTAATCATGTTGTGAAAGCTAATCGAAGTCATGTTTTTTTTTTTGTTAGTTTAGAGTGCTTTAAACCGGTCTAAGGAGTAATATTCGAAGGGAACGAGAGGAAATAAGAAACAAAGACGCATCGTAGGTGGCCGGCGCGGACGCATTCCGGCGATGCCGTGCATTTCACAGAAGTACTTTACCGCTTTGCCGGCAATATTCGTATCGCCGGGCGGGCCGGCCGGTCAAGCGCAGGTAGGCGCACACGGCGCTCAATTAAGTCATTCCTTTCGGTACTTAAGAGTGTGTCCTCCCTATATACCTGCCCTCTCACCACTCTGAGAAATATTTGTTTTACCAATCGTGATTTGAGTCATTCATGAAATACGAAGTGCTGCGTGAAGTCGGCTTTAATAATAAAATTGGTGAGAAATATTAAAATTAAGTAATCCGTGTATGTATTAGATGTGTGATATGTTTAGAGTGTTTCTCGATTGTCGTCAATGTGTGCGAATGTTTATTTTATCAAACGAATTGCGTTGTTCGGTTGTTGCTGGACGCGCGCGTTGAAAAAGAAAGGTCGCGATAAGTCGCAGGCGAGCGTGCGCAACTTGACTTAAGTCACACACTGCGGTGGGAGCGACGAGAAGCACCACAGCAGGCCGCAGCGTAGTAGGAATAGCAAAACGAGTTTGTTCGTCTCTCCTGCGGCGGCGAGCACGATGCTCCGCGCTGCTGCTGCTGCAATCGAGTGCAACTTGTGTCCGACGAGAAATTAAAACGCGCAAGACAAAACGCCCCGCAATTCATTCGCGTCCTCTTTGTTACTGGTGAGTTTTCCACATTTCCCGCTGCACTTCTTTGAAAGATTCATCGAGGCTGCGAGTTTTTTCTCAGGGACGTACGTTTAAAATCGCCCACAGGCTACGTGAGAGTTTGTGTGTTTGAGTTTCAATGTGTTGACAACTAAAGGATCTAAACAATTTTATCTTAACAAAAAATCTCCATCTTTGTGATGTATAGTCACATAACCACAATTATATACCAAATGTAATTAGAGGTTATGTTACTGATTGTGTCTTGTTTGTTTTAGGCAAAATGTGGCGTTATATTTTACCGCTAGCGGCGCTGGCGATATTCGGAATTCATATTACTTCAGCGTGCAATGAAGCCGTCTGCGCTGCCATCGTGAGCAAATGCCTTCTCACGCAGTCCTGCAAGTGTGACTTTCAGAAGGATTGTTCGTGTTGTAAAGAGTGCTCTCTATGCTTAAGTGTACTCTATGATGAATGTTGTTCGTGCGTTGGTAAGAGTTTTTTAAATTACCTCCGAGTTTCAGAATAAAAAATGTCGTTTTGTATGTTTAAAGGTATGTGTCCGGCGCCCAATGACACAATGAGCCCTCTGGGAAAACAATCACAAGTAGAAGATTTAGAGGATAAACACGAGTCGCTCTTTAAAAGTCTCACCGAAACCGAAGATCACGATGAGCGCTGGACAACGTATACTTTTCCCGTGGATCTGCCATTGGCGTACGCGCCTAAAAACGATATGAAATATCAAATGCGTGAGTAAAGAAACAAAATGGCGTCAACATAAAGTAACCATGAATCTTTCATCTCGTAGAGAGCGCTGAACAAGAAGTAATCAACAATAAAATTAACATCACCTCGACGCACAATTGCACCGTAGCATTCGCCTCCAAATGCCTCGGTTACGCCAAGTGTAAGCGTACATGCGTTTCGATGGGAGCGAGCAGTATGCGGTGGTTTCACGACGCATGCTGCGAATGTGTCGGTAAATACTGCATTAACTACGGCATCAACGAAAACAGGTAATCATAATTTAATCTTAAAATAAACATGAATTAATCATGTATTACTACAGGTGTAGGAAATGTAATAAAAACGAAGTAATGGATAATTCGATTGAGACTGCGGACGAAGAGTTCGAAATGGAATACGATAGTGAAGAGGACGATATGTAAAATCATGGGTTGGTCAATCACGCTCATTATCGCTTCCTTGAGACGTGAAGCTATAATTCGGATGCAATGAGATTTCGTGATTTGTCGTCGCGATCTCACGTTTAACTTCATCGCCGAGTTGAAACAGTGATTTGATCCGCACGATTTTGTGTATGTAATTAATTGTATTGTAAAAACTTTAGTTTTTAAGTGACTATTGATCAACGCGAATCTAATTTTAGTATTTAACTATCAAGATTAACAAATTGTAAAAATTTTTAATTCGTAAGCGCTTTTTTTATTGGTTATGTTGTAAGTTTTTGGATACTTTTGGGTTAGGATGTGAATGATGCTCAGACAGTATTAGATGGATGGAAATTTCCAAATGGCGGCCATGACAATGAAGCACTGTCTTTTGATATTAACTTTTATACGTTTTTGCACGACCTTTGCACATTTTAAAACATAACATTGTAAACACAGTCAAAAGTAATAAATGTATCTTATTAGAAACGATACGCGTGCGCCTTTCGGAAACAAATTCGCAACCGCGTACAAACCTTCATATACGTATAAAAATAAATCGAAATTATTACCCAAAATAGTTTTACGTAATCGTATAAAATGCTAAAACAACCGTTAAACTCTTAAATCGTGACTAGAAATGTTTGGATTATGTTGAAACGCGGCGGCCATCGTCTAAAATAGATGGCGCGCTCAGTCATATTGTATCAATATATGTAACATGTATAACACGGATGCAGATATGAATGTGAATTCGTAGACGAATGGAATGGTTGACGAACGATTAGCGATGATGAGTGCGCGACATATGAAGTGACATCAATTGACATGTATGTATAACTTTGGACCCAACATCGAGCAGTAAACAACAACGTGCGGTTAAAAGATTGTCAAAAATTCAAAACGCTTCAAAAACATTAAGTCGGCCGCGGGAAGGCGGAGCGCGCCTCGGTGGGCGTGTCCTCGGCGTCGCTATCGTCCTGCGGCTCCTGTGACTCTGGCAGTCTGATGAATGGCAAGTGTTCGTTGCCGCTCCACATCGAGTAAAGATTTGTATGCAAACGAATTGCATCCTGCGAACACAACGAGAATACTTAATTTTATTCTTTAAACTTTGTTTTCTACATACGCCAGCACTACTGATCGACTCCGAGCCCTTCTCGGAGGAACTCGTCGTGGATCGGCTGTGAATTGAAAGACATGATGATGAATCCGTTGAAGAGCTGCTCTTTCGAGAAGTCAAAGACGTCAACGGCATTCCCGGCGGAAAGATATCGTAGTGTTCGGTGACAGACATTCCGCTAGAGTGCGGCACGTCCACGGATTGCCACGCCCCGCGCTGTAACGGTCCAGGGTGTCGTTTGTGAGGGCGATCATCGTGACCCTCTGCCCACATCCCACCATAGGGGGCATTTTGTGGGAGAACACATCGTGTCGGGCGACAGGAGAGTAACTGGATAGCTTCGGATAATCCTTCACCTGATACCGTGCCAGGTGGCGGTATGCATTCTGATAGGCAACCAAACATACATGAATTTTTATTTTGTAAATTTGTAAATTTTTACCTGGTGTGGTACTTCTACTTCTCTCCTGTGATGTCCCTGGAGGCACAGCTAATTTTGATGGTAAATACCTCTGTTGCCATGGGGTTTCCACCCTGCCACAATCCCATGGCATGGACCACCTTCTCATAGTACCATCACCACCTTCAGCAGAAACTTCACCCGCAGCCGCTTCGGACCATCGCCTTTGTCCGGTGAGAGGAAAAAGTGGAAAATGTAATGGCGACCTTAATCCTCTACCGGGAAATGGCCCTTTCATTGTGAGCAACTGTCCAGGATTGGGTAATGGTCCTCGTATACTTTCGATCCCCGCCGGCAGGCTGTAAATCGGGCTCGGCCCGCGTGGTTCATGAAACGGCGAATTCCCACGTTCAGGTGGGCGGTCCATACTTGCACTTGTACTCATTGGACTGTGTCGTGAGTACTCGCTTTTTGGCACCTCGCCCATCTTGGGGCTGTCCATATGAGGACTCGACATCTGCGAGCGTGAATCGTGAGTGTATAGTCTTGCAAAACACTGTTGCAGATTTGCCATGCTGCAATCAGGATCATGCAATCCACCTGCCATTGTCTGGCAACAAGGGCACATTGCCATTGCCCCCAAACATTCACAACCAGCAATTGAAAACTGATACTGTAGATTGATAAATGTGAGCAAGTTCTCAGTGATGATTTGTTGATTGTGTTCCTGTTGCCGGAGCGCATCGGATTCTGTAAAGGTTTCTCCAATGCATAAATCCTGCATGGCTGCAGCAATGTGGGTTTTTACTGTGTGGCTGGCAACTACTGTTGATTTTGCCAGTTCATCCCAGCTGAACATATTTTGGGTGGCAAGTGCTGTGTTTTGTGCTTGAGACAATGTGTTTAAGGACTGTGATAGCCTCAGACCAGCTGCACATAAACTATTTAACATCTAAAAACAGGAAATTTTATTGTATTATGATAAATTAATTTTGATTTAGATATTTTACTTGTAAATAATGGATCCAACTGTTGAGGGCATCTGTAGCTGCAACTTTAAGTGCATTTGGACTAGGTGGCTGAACAGGATCTTCAGGTTTTTTCTCCTTAACTTCTTGACAGGTTTCTGGATGCCCATGGGGATCAGCAGATGTGGTGCCTTCCCTAAAAATATTGTTAGCATTACATTTGTTAGGTGAAAATTAAAAGTATCCTTACATTTTGGTTAATTTGAAGACATTTGTTAATTCAGTTATTTAATTGCTGGCAGTTTGCTCATTATTAATATTTTCACTTGTTGAGGCATCTTTCGCCCGCAGAAGTTGCACCTCACAACGGAATATATCAAAACAACCTAACCTCAAGAACAAAAACAACAAAGCTGAACAGAGCTTTCAAAAGCTCCGAACGAGGACGTAAGTTGCAACCGGTTCAAGTAACTGTCATATTTGGTGTTAAGTGCATACAGGTGAACCTGTTACCCACGCAGTTATTCTTATTTAGTTACATATCTTGATATATCGCATATATCCTGTTTTCAATATAAAATAGTATGTAAAAGATATTTGTATTTTCAAGAATCATGAAATTTTTCAAACAAATAACTTTAAACAAATTTTATAAATATCGAAACTTGAATCACTGTCTACTAGAAATCCAATACAATATAAAAATTTTAGCAAAGAAGTCTAGTTGATAGAAATTTCTGAACATAGATAAGAAAAGGGTTTCCTGTATGGACAAAATTGACAGTTAATCAGCAACACTTTCAATTAATTTCTATATGTTATAATCTAAACAGCTATTTTATATTACTATTACATAATGTCAGCACCAGTTTTCCTTGCATTTAGATATGCCTCTTGAGGTGTAAGTTTTTCTTCAGTGGAAGGTTCCTCAGGACTGCCATCAGCATTCAGTTTGTTTTTCTGAAAATCTTCAGTGATCTTTTTGCTGTAGATAGCATCAAACAGGTCTTGTGCAGTAAATTCACTCTGAATAACATCTGGTGTTCTGTATGAAACATAGGGCTTCAATTTACAGTCCTTTAAATCAGGAACTATTAATTCAGGGACCATTTCTTGTACAAGCACAAATTTTCCATTGCTTGTGTAGCCCGTGTCTCGCACTCCACGTTTATCAACTGGGATATCCGGGTCGGGATTTTCCATTTGTTGTTGTTTGAATATTCTTGTGCCGCGTTTAGTGGACAGAGAAAATTTCTTAAAGTTTCGTTTACCATTGCAAATTGCGGTAGTAGATATCGAACGTTTAATTATGAAATTAATACAGGACATTGTTGTTTGACGTTTGAATCAGCAAATTGAAGTGTAAAATGGTTTATTTTATGCTCATTCTCTTTGGTCTTTGGTCTGGAAAGACTAACTCAGTAGACCTGAGTAATAAATCTAACCTCAAAAACACACGCATCAACGCATGTGCTGTTTGTGAGTTTGTTAAGAATTAAAAATAAAATAAATAAATAATACCATAAATATAAATTGAAACCGAAATTAAAACAAAAATAAATAATGCCCGTTCTATTACAATCAGATAATACACTTTACCTGGGAATCGGTAATAAAATTATTACTGTAAACTTGAACAACGGTGATAGTGAATGCCATGATTTACCACCAATTAATTTGCCTGAAAATCGTAGTAAAGCTCAAGAAGACCTGTTCCAAGAAGTGCCTATCATTACCACAATATCTGCATCAAAGAATGGTACATTATTAGTTGTATCAACACACAATAGACAAGTGGTAACATATAATACAAAAAACCTCTTGCCACTTTCAAACTTTATCATTACTCGAGCAGCAAGCAAGATTTGTTTCGACAATAGTAACAATGTAATTGTTGCTGATAAAACAGGAGATGCTTATTTATATAAGCAGGATCAAGAACCTAGTTTATTACTGGGGCATTTAAGCATGTTATTAGACATTCAAATGTCTCCATGTGGAAAATTCGTCATAACTTCCGATCGTGATGAGAAGATACGAGTTTCCCATTATCCAAATTGCTACAACATATTATGCTACTGTCTGGGTCATCAAGAATTCGTGACGAATGTTTCCATTGTCAATGATCAACTGCTATCTGCATCCGGAGATGGATCTATTTGCTTGTGGGACTACAAAACTGGTAATAAAATCTTACACATTGATTCAAACAAATTGCTTTCTGACAAAAGTGTAGAAACGTTTAAAGATGTTATGGATAAAGATAATATTGAAGTGAATGCTATTCCTCTGACTGATATGCAAGTTCATGAGTATAAATCAGGGTTTGCTCTGATTGCAATTACACTGTTTCAATGGAACAATGTTGAAGTTTATGAATTTGATTTTAAGGCACAAACAATTTCACATGTGCAAAAAATAAATGTTAAGGATGGTGCAACAATTGTTGCTATTTCATTAGGTGCTCAGCTTAGCATTTTAACAAATGATGATTTGATTGTGTATAATTATGTTGAGTCTGAAAACAAGTTTGCTGTGAGTGCATTGGGGAATGTGATTAAGAAATATGAAGATATTACTGTGAAGTATCTTACAAAAAGTGATGTTTCATTGTTGTATAAGAGAAAATTTGATAATGTTCAAGATTATTTAGATAGGAAAAAGCAAAGATTGGATGGCAAATAAATTTATTCATATATTACATTCAAATCAAATTAATTATTAGTTGGTTTTCAGGAAAGAGACATTACATATAAAGAAATTATTATAAAGGGGAAATATGAGTGAACATAGTATTGTGTTTGATGAGGTAAGTTTTAGTAAATTAATATAAATTGATTGAAATTAGCGGGTGTAGCGGCTGTTTTGACCTTTTCGAAGGTTGAGGTATGTAGGAAACAAAGTGGCTACTCATTAGTTACAAAACAAAGCAGTAGAGGGTGTTTTACAAGTCGTGCTTGAGAAATTTACCAAAAAAATAACTTTTTGGCGCTTAGAGTGAGTTGTACAGCATTCCAGATTTTTGCTAGGGTTTTTTTTGCAATACCCTTGAAAATATGTGTGCAAAATTTCCTAATCGGTTGAGTAGTTTCCGCGTGAAAGTGTAACAAACTAACTAACATTCGCATTTATAAGAATGATTAGGCAACTTTTCTTTCATAATATTTTGAAGACCGCTTTGATCGTATTTTATTAATAAGTTAAATTAATAAATCAAGATATGTTGGCGCGGATGTAGATCTTTGTTCCGAATCCGTGAAATATCGGTTAGTGGTCGATTATTCGTTTATTAACTTTATTATCCTTAAACTAAAACAAATATATTAATCACTCTAAGAGAATAATTACAAAATACTCTATTAGCAACCGGTGTAATTTGTGTAAATATTTTTAACTATAAAATGTTCGACTTGTAAACTAAACGCTTTTATTGCAGTTATTCGTTTAAATCCGCAGTAAGTTGAATGCTTATATATACGTACATTATGTTCAATTAAATAAAACATACATAATTGCGATATACATGATCACACACATCAAAGTTCTATCACAGGACACTTAAAAACAATCTTCATATTTGTAACAATTGCTTGTGGTCTAAAAATGAAAACCATGCGAACGTTTCTCTTTGGTTGGACATGTAACGAGTTGTCTTCTGTCGCATTCGAAGTTTGCAATAATTTCTCAATGTGATCATATATACAATTTAATGGTCAAAATGTTACTAATCATATTCGTGGCTGCTCTCCTTTTGTAGCAGCAATTGGTCGCTTTCCTCCTCGGTCACTTCCGTCATTGTGGCTTGCGGTTTCTTGGCGTGTTTGTAGCGAGAATTAACGCGTGATAAGCCTTCGGTTAAACCCGTATCCGAAATTCTGTAAAAATAAATAAATACATCAGTAGAATTAATTTAAATGTAGAAAATTGTGCAACTTACACTAAATCTTCTTCTTCATCATCCGTTGGCAAATTGTAGTATGGATTATGCGCAGCAGGCCGGAATTTATAACCGGTCAAAACAAAGAAAGCATACGTGGCCATCTCCCTGAACATCTCATCCAACCACCCGTACTGAAACGGCACGGTGATCTTCAGCAGGTAAACGATGATGCGCGAAAAGTAGATGTAGCACACAATCATCACATAGAAATGCCGGAATAGTTTCAGTTTACGCAGATTGACGGCTGCTTTGCCGTCAGTGCGCGATGCCTCTTGCAAATGTCTGATTGACCAAACAACTGGGAAGAGTATGCATCCGCAACAAAGCAGATCGACCAATATAAGTATATCACGCCATGCGTTGTGCTCCCTGGATCCCTCCTCGGACTCTTCCAGTATTATTTCAGCAACATTTGCTAATACCTGCAGGGGAATGATCGCCATAAACAAACGCTTATCTCGCGGAGCCAAGACGTGCTTAATGAATGTCCAGCCAGTGCCCACGAGGACTAGAGTGATAAAAAGCAGAGCGCCCTTTAGTAAATGCGCGATATAGAACAGAATCGCCCATGTGGCGAGGTGGACTCCCAAGGCTTCGATGTAATGGTAATTTACGCCGTGGAAACCGAGAGAGAGCGCTTTCAAGAATACCAGACACGCCATTAAGTAGTGAATTTTGAAGATCGGGTGACGCGATTGCCGCAGTAAGAACACCCAAAAGCATCCAGACAAAAAAGAACAGCACAGCCATTGTCATGTACAACGCCGGAAGCGGCATTTCACCAGCGGAGAGAAATCCGCCGATGTTTTTCTCATAAATGTGCATCTGGAACATCATTTCAATATATGCAACCAGTCGAACAAGAAAATGGCAGAGTAAAACTTACTGTAAAGTCATACGTGCGGGATTGCGTTGGATAATTCGGACAACTATGGAAATACAAGTTGTAAAGGCCTTCTTCAGAGTCACTGGCAACAGAAATCACAAACTGAAAGGCAAGATAAACTTTTAGTCATTATTTCCTTAAATTTTGATGTAAAATAATGACTTACACTTGTGTTATAATATGTTACACCATCAATAACTTTTTTCACAATGGGTAGTGGTAATGTGCTACATGATTGATGTTGCTGAGAGTTTTTGAACTCTCTCTTCATCCTTTTTAAATGTTCACCATAATCATTATTGCTTACTGGAATATTTTCCTGTCTTTTATAAATGTGCAATGGTAGCATCCATTCATGACTGCAATTTACTGTCAGCCTGGAAACAGAAGAAGATTTTAACGAAAACATAGCTTTGATGCATGGTAAACTCACAGTAAAGTATTGAGATCCATTGTAAAATAAATAGCAGGTGTAAAGTGCTCAGTTTTGGAACCTGTTTGAATGTCTTTTAATAAACACTGTTCACCATGTTGGTCCAGGTAGGGATTCATTGCATCATTCAATGTTCTATCTATACTAAACCCAAACTAAAACATAGGAATTTAATCAGTTATTTGGATTATAGTTATACTTTTCAAAGAAATTACTATATCTGTCTTATTTTCTGGATTTACTCTGAAATTTTCTAACTGAACCTCCAGTATGCCACCTTTGTAGAACCCAAATGTACTTAATGCTATAAACTTTCTTGATTCACCCTAAAAATTATATCATTATGAGTAATAGATTAAAAACTCTTAAATAATGAAATACAAACCATCACATCTAGTGTATGCATCCTGCTTGTTCCATGATGGACCAAACATAGTAGGAATAAGCACCTTAGTAAACTCATCTTTAAGTGCATCATAATAAGGTCGAATTGATTTATTTAATTAGCGGTGATAATTTTAAATTAAAATGCAATGTATCAATCAAACCATCATAAACACTGTCACACTATACACTCTGGCAGCAATAGATAATTTTTATTGTCATTAAATATTGCAATTTTAAAATCACTGCGATTAGGGTGTTTCTCCAATTTACACAAACTGCGACTATTACTGAAATATTCGATAGTATCGATAAAACATGTTGCAAGCGCTGATAAATTTGATAAATTCGTGTAAATGTGGCTGTGCTTACGCCAAGTGCAGCTGTCTCACGGTTATCTACAATTCACCAGAAATGGTTGTTGGGGAATTTAATTTGTAAAATCAACGACAGTTTAGGAACTAACTCAGGGTATCCGTGGTTTCGCCGCAACAAAAATAAACAAGTCACATGTTTTTAACTAAAAATTTAAACAAATATTCAGAATAAAATGCGTTTACAGATTTTATTTGAATCAATAACCTTGAGTTTTTTATTCAAGACATTTTCTGTCTTTTAGATAGTGAATTTCAGTTAAATATATGCGCTTTGATTTTAATTTTTTCCAAAAATTTGTGCCTATAACTCCCCTTTTATACACTTACTAATAAATAAAAAGTTAATTTAATTATAATAAATTAAATGTAGGAATCAATTTACTGCTTTACGTTCCTGTTTCAAAATCAATATTGTACAATAATATTGCTTGTATGAAGGTAGCTTGAAGATGTTACATTTCTCCCACTCATTCTCAATTCATAACATTGCCAGCTGATATGCGTGCTCTGCATACTTTGTTTATGTGTTTTCAATTATCTCATGTTTCAACCATTTCAACAACGCCACATTGCAAATACTCTTAGATATTGTTATAATCCCAAATTAAAGTAAGTTTTGCATCATTATAACCACTGACACTACTAATATTCACGATTTTAAGATGGGAGATGATATAAGGAAAGTCATTCAACAACTCATTGTTAAAGTACCTGGTTTATACTCTATTATCATATCAGATAGAGATGGAGTTCCAGTACTCACAGTTGAGTCCGACAAAGCGCCTGAAGTTGCAATGCGGCCCAGCTTCCTGTCAACATTTGGTCTTGCCATAGATCAGGGAGGCAAGTTAGGTTTGGGCAAAACAAAAACACTCATCTGCACATATTCACAATACCAGGTAATCCAAATGAATAAACTACCATTGATTGTGAGCTTTATTGCCAGTGACTCATGTAACACTGGACATATACTAGCATTGGAGCAACAAATTGATCCAATTTTGAACAATCTCAAGCTAGCTGTGGTAGAAACATGAAAATCACTTCATTCTTTTTATATTCATTATAAACTTTAAAACAAAAAATAAATAATTTTAAAACTGCTGTCTTAGCAAAATAAAAGCAAGGTAAAAATTAATATATTACATATTACTATCATATTTTGTCCTGTGAAATATTCTTCTCATTGTAATATTATGAAGATCAGACTTTGGTGTGTCTGGAGTTAAACTCTGGACAAAATTATCCTGCCTGGTATCTGATGTTGATGGCGTTGGTGCCAGTGGCACTGCCAATGGACTTTCCAAATCCAAACAACTTGTACTTTTCCTGTTCATTGTAGAATCAAAGCCTTCTATGCTGTTATTAATCAGTGCAGGCATAGTAGTATCACAAATTCTCTGTAAATCAGTATAAATATTAACAACTAACATCAAAACACTCAAAAAACGCACCTGAAAATGACTGTATCGGTGGATTACACCCAAGTGTGTTTCACTATCTTCTTGCTGCATTGCATCAATGATTAGCTTAGTTTTCTCTTTTAAATTCGGTATGGGCGCAACTTTCCTCAACTGAACTTTTCGTGATCTTATTGGATTGTTCCCTCTTGCCCGGGCGGATCTTGTGCATCCTAAAATATACATACAGCCGCTTAATCACACATTCAAGCATTGCTTCACTTTCACTCATGAACACAAGTGAAACACAATGAGAATTAATTTTACAGCTGATTTATATTATTGGTTAGTGCGAAAATTGATTCAGCATGCTTTGTTATTCATGGGGGTGTTCTTAATTGAAGCATCCGGTACCTGGCATGGAAGATTTTTGGGTTTTCTGCGCGGTGGTTTCGTTCGTCTTGCTGTCTCCTTGTGTTGGGATTCGTCGCCTTGGAGAATGGTGCGGGTTACTTGCATGCAGAGGTTTTGTGAGTTTCTGCGCACTTTTGCTGGTGTCGATTATATTCGATGATTTTGTGGAGCCCAGAGATTTACCGGCCTTGTGTTCCTGCGGAATATTTATTAATAAATAATTACTTTAATATAACGTGTAAAATTTACGTCTCTTCCTTCTTGGCAAGCCAAGAGGTATTCCTCAAGTGGGAGGCCATTATAGGTGAATTCCTCACGGTATTGTTGGGCATATTCTTCACCCAATTTCACAATTGTCTGTTCGAGTCTTTCAAGCCGTTTTCGAGCCACTTTGCGTTCTTTTTCTTCTAAAAGCAGTTTTCCGCCTCGGTTTCTGAATCGACTTTGGCCTTGTTCTGGTGTTTCTAATTCATTAACTCTCCGCCATGTTTCATCATACTTTTGTACACTTTCATATAAATTTCTATAACAAATAAATTGATATAAACTGTAAAAAAAGATGATAAACACTTACATGTTGTCTTCATAGTGTTTTGTCAATCTTTGTAATTCGTTTTGCAATACAGTGAGCATACTTTCAGTGTACAAGTCATCATCGAAATTGATCGCCGATTTTCTTTGTTTTTCGCTATAATGACATTTATCCCATTGGGCAGTCAACTGAGCTTGAGCACGCTTCACAAGCATCTCAATGTTTGCCTTTTTAAGTTCACTCAGACGCTTAATCTCGCCCTTCAAGGCTGCAACAGCTATTTTATTATATCCTTTGTGTGAATTGAAGAAAGCAACGCAATATTTCTCATCAGTTTCCAGTGTCTTGAAGAGTTCGTTTATCTTTTCAATAAAAATCGCTACTTCTGTTTTAACATTGTTTGCATGCTGTTGCAGTGATTGCTGGAATGCAACTAGTTTAATCATGTTCTTGTCATTGACTTCAAATTTGGTGTTTGCATTGGAATCAGCACATAGAATTTGCTGTTCAAATTCATTTACAGCATCATAGTCAATCTCAGCTGCAAGACTCTGAAGTTCAAATTGTATTGTTGTGAATTTTTCTTCTCTCAGGAAGCATTCATCCTCTAATGATTCAATGTATGATACAAAATTTTCTAATGTTTCAGCAGATGGTAATGGTTTCTCAGTGAGTGCTTTTGGTTGTTTACCCAATATAGCACAAATGTTTTCTTGTCTTTTTAGTAATGTTTGCACATCTTCATGTTTTCTCTTCAATTGTTCTTCCAAACTAAAAATTAAAATTGACAATTGAATAATTATAGATTTTCTTATATTAACATCTACTTACTCTACACAGTAGCTTCTTAACTTGTTTTCCTCTTGATATAAGTTAGGCTCATGAGGATAATTGGTTGGAATGCCCAGTTCAAATGTTAAATCATTCACTTTGGTCCTCAGATCAATAATCACCTGCTGCATATTTCTCTGCCTCTCCTCCAAATCTGTGTGCATTTCTAACATTGCATGTTTCATTTCCTTCAGGTAGGTATTACACCATTCTGCTCGAATCATGTCAGGCACTCCAAGTGTTTCAATTAATTCAACCCAGTTTCCCACCCCATCCTTGCATACTTCAGTGACTTTATGAACCATCTCTTCCTTCCAAGAATTAAATGAAGGCATCTTGATAACTGAGAGTAAAAAAAAAAACTTGTATGAATATGAAATTGGTAAAGTATTATTGAAATGTCAAAGTTTTGTGTACATGTCAGGTATAAATTGAGTAAATCAAAGTGGGTAGCTTACTTGAAGTAGCAATTAATGTACAATATTTGTAAATTTGTAAAATAAGCACGGCTCAGTTCATATCGACGTTGTATAGTTTGTACAAATTGTACTTGGGTGATCAATAATGCGGTGAGACTTGATGTTTGATGAACACCACCATGAATTATGCTGCATCGAATGATGAAATTTCGATTTTCTGCTGCCGACTGGCGACAGTTGACGGTTATATTTTTGTTTAATTTCAAACAGTTGAAGCTTTTACATGCGGATACGAACATTGACGATTATTCCCGACAAACAAATTTTGTTGTTGTTTATGCTTTTTATTTTGTTTTAATAATCACCTAATATTTATTTACATATTGTGTTGTTATACAATATAATTTTATGTGTAATTTATTGTTAATTGGCATATTCAAAGGAATCTACAATTTTATCGATAGTTTGATTGATGTACGATAGATTGCCGATCATTTCTGATCGTATTTGTTAACATAACCTCGTAAAATTGTGCCCGTTCGGTTTGTGGTTGCGTCTGGAGTGGTGCTCAAGTTTTCCAACCAACTTACCAATTATTTTGTGTTTTATTAATGAAATAACAAAAAAATGACAACAGTTAATAAACAGGAGTATCTTAAACGCTATCTATCCAAAGATAAAGACAAAAAGAAGAAGAAAAAGAAGGTTCCAAAGGGAATTCAAGACAGGTACACTTAAAAATAAATTTAAATTAAAAAAGATGTAATATCTATCTTTGTTTTTAATAGGGTAAAAATAATTGATGATAATATTGATGTCCATGAACAAGTCCAAACAATTCAAGACATTGAAAATGATAATGAAGATGCCCCTCAAGTTGTTGCTGTAATTGATGACAGACCTGTGGAGTTAATAACAGGATTCAAAGAATCCAACAATTGGACTGCCATTGATATTAAACCCAATATAAAAGAAGAACCTAGAAGTCCAGATAGAAATAGTGATCATAGTCCTCCTAGAAGAAGGAGAAGAAGTTCGGATGAAAGTCCTCCAAGAAAAACAAATAGAAGAGGAAACTCAGATGATGAGAGTCCACCTAGAAGAGGCAGAAACAAAGATGAGAGCCCTCCAAGAAGAATAAAAAGTGAAGTGGCAGATAAAAGTCCTCCTAGGAGAAGTAGAAAGTATGATTCAGATGAAAGTCCACCTAGGAAAAGCAAAAATAATGAGAAAAATCGAGATTATAGTCCACAAGATTCTAGCCCTGTAAGAATAAAAAGACAAGATCAAAATTCTTCCAGGAAACGAAATTATGACGAAAACGCAGATTATAGCCCCCCAAGGAGATCAAAACATGATAATTCTCCTCCTCGTAGAAGAAACGATGGCGAAAGTTCTCACAGAAAGAAATCCGACAGAAGCCCGACACGTAGACGAAGGAGTAATGAGCGAAGTCCGTCGAAAAGCAAAAAACGCGATGATTCAAGTCGTAGTTCGAAGAAAAAGAGTCGCTGGGCATCGAAATCTCCATCACCTGAACCCAGCACATCGAAATCGACATCTAAAGCAACAAAAACTCTAGATGGGAAAACAGCAGGTCTTCAAAATGCCAAAGATCTTGTTAAGGAAACCGAGAATTTCAAAAGACGTGAAGCTAAACTGTTTCAAGAGATGCCAACTGATATTTCTGGCGTTAACGCGTCTACTGTGATGCGCGATAGAAAAACCGGTAAGGTTCGCGATTTGGAAGCAGAGGCAGAGATAAAATCAGCGCAGAAAGAAAAAACCAACGAGTTGCAGAAAAAATACGACCAATGGGGAAAAGGTTTAAAACAAACTACAGATTATAATCAAAAGTTGGAGGAAGCTGCTTATGAAATGAGTAAACCTCTGGCTCGATATGCGGATGATGCCGATTTGGAGAGACATCTGAAGGAACAAGAAAGGGCCGGGGATCCGATGTTGGATTATATCAGAAAGAAGAAAGTTGATAAAGCAATTAAAGCCGGTGTTAAATGTATGTATAAATTATTTAAAATAATGTTGTAATAAGGTTTTAATAAACTTTTTATATATTTTTTTAGTAAAACCAGAGTATATGGGTGAATTTATGCCCAATCGTTATGGTATAAAACCAGGACATCGATGGGATGGTGTAGATAGATCCAATGGATATGAAAAGAAGTGGTTCGATGCGATTAACAAACGAAATGCTGATAAAGAGGAAGCCTATAAGTGGAATTCGGAAGATATGTAATTTGTACATACAATTTTAATTAATAATTTGAAGAATTAATGAAAAACTTGGTTTTTAATGTGTTTTTTTAAATATATTTTGATCGTATTGAGTTAGAATCTTATAGAAACAATGAAGTTCTGAGTTGATCAAAGAAAGAAAAGCGAAAAGACGGATTTTATAAAGCTTCAGTGCTTCGGAAAGGTGAGGAATTCATCTTTCCAAAAAAAAATTGAAAACATAGTGTGGAAAACACCCTGTATCTCGTAAATTAATTGACTTTATCAAAGTTTCTCACTGCTATGTCTGAGTTGGGGAGTTCCATTACGCAATGATTACCTTTTCAACATCCTAGCCCATTTAAAAGTGCGCTAAATGGCCCTTTAAAAATTAGCATTTTTCAAAAAATTTGAAAACATTGTCTGGAAAACACTCTGTATCTCGTATAGTAATTGACTTTATCAAAGTTTTTCACTGCTATGTCTGAGTTGGAGAGTTCTACTACACGATGAATACCTTTTCAACTTCCTAGCCCTTCTGGAAGTGCGCTAAAATGTCCTTTAAAAATTAGCAGTTTTCAAAAAATTAAAAACATAGTGTGGATAACATCTTGTATCTCCTGAATTAATTGACGTTCCTGAAGTTTTTCTGCGCTATATTGGAGTTCAATAGATTTCCTTCATGATGCATTTTATTTCAGCAATCTAAGCCTTTTGGAAGTGCTCTGAAATGCCCTTCAAAAGTTGGCAATTTTGTGAAAATTTGAAAACATGATGTGGAAATCGCCGTTTCTCGTGAACTAGCTGATTTTTATGAAGTTTCTTAACGGCATACCTTTTTAACATCATTAACTCTAGGGAAGTGTCTTAAAATACCTTTAGAATATTGTTGTTTTGTCCAATAAATTTCATTATTGGTCGAATAACAGAGAAACTTTTTCAAATTTTTTGGGGTCGAAGGACAGGGTAAATCTCATTCTTCTTAAAATTTTTTTGGATGAAGAACAGGGACAAACTTTTTTTTTAAATTTTTTTCGGTTGAAGAGTAGGGTCGAACTTATTTTCCTAAAAATAATTTCGGTCGAACCACAGGATCGGACGTTTTTTCATTTTCCCGTGAAAGCGGCGAAATTAAATTGCGATTATCTCGAGAACTAAAAGGGCTACGGAAAAAAGGACTTCATATTCTTGATCCTTAAAGAATTCTCTACAAGATGACACCCTTCTTAAAAAACGACCAAAAATGCATAAAAAAAATGAACGAAAAGATTTTGTTATAAAAAACGCAAAAGATTTCTCTTTTTTATGTTTCAAATTAAAAGTTGGAATTTTTAAATTATGTTTTCGGATTCGGATATATCATTAAATTCTATATCGATTATTTTATTAACTTTTTTTACTAGCATTTACCGTTTAGGCCCTATTTGCATTTGTAATAAAAAAATTAATGTACAGTAGAGTCCGGTTATAATGACATCGAAGGGAATTGACAAACACGTCATAATAAGCGGACGTCATACAAAGCGTTTTGTGAAATGAAAACCCTTTTTTATGTAAATATGTACATATACATACATATTAAATCAAAATCAAAATTGCACGTAATCAGCACATTATAACACATACAAGTGTATTTTTTACTGCAAGTAATCTGTAATTTTTGTCTGCTTTTGTTTTTTCATTTAATTAATTTTCTTGTGATTTTCGAAGCATCTTCGGTTTCAAAACATTTGAATTGAACGATTGCTTAATGCGGTTCTTGTTTTCTAAAAAGCATTGAGATTGTCGAATGACCCACGCCAAATTCGGATTACCTAATGGAAAATACGGATTAAGTCGTGGTCAAGGTGCTGCTGCCCGAATGCTTATATTTATTATTTAAGCATTTGGTCTTTCCGATAGTAAATACATAAAAGTAATTTGACAATCATAAAAGAAATGTAGCAATAAATATAAAAAGTTCGCCACGTGTCGAACGTCGTCGGGTATCAACGAACATTACCGGAGGTGTAAAGAATCATGTTGGTCATTATAACCGGACATAATCTGTTAAAAATGGGTCATAATAAGCGACATGTCACTGTAAGCGAAGTCATTATATCCGACTTTTTTATACAGAATTTTATATGAAAACCAAACTTGGTAGTGTAGTTACGTCATAATAACCGGTTGGTCAATATAAGCGGAGTCATAATAAACGGTTTCTACTGTAATTTGAATAGCGACAAAACCAGACTTAATTTGGGTTATTATTATCAAAAAGCTTTATTTTAGAACAAAATTTTATTAAGATAAAGTATGTGGAATCACATGTTCTTCTATATTTGATAATAAAAAGTTGAAACTTCCAATTTTTATTTTTTGCTTAGGAAATAAAAGCGAAAACGAATAAACTAGTTTTTCGCACTTATTTTGAAAATAATTAGAGATAAAAAAAACCGCTTTTCATATTCGTATGTAGAATTATATTTTACACTATATAACATGTTAAAATTTATAGTTATCAACACTTATGAAATAATTAAGAATGATCAGTAACTTAAAAACTAATTAAGATAGCGCAACCAAACCTGGGTTAATGGATTCCTGTCATTGTTTTTCATCAGTTTGAAAAGTTTGGGCAAAAGTGGCGAGGTAGTTTTATTTGTTCGGTGATGTTATCGGAAAACTGACTTCAAATCTTTCATCCACTTGAAAAACTCAATCAATTAACATTTTCGATTTTCTTGTAGCGTAAAAATATATTTTTCAACCCAAAAACAATCAAGTGTCTCTTAACTCTTTTCAAGACATTTTTCGTCAACTTTGGAAATTGGAAAAACTAAATCAGCCTTGTTGTAAATCCTTATCACGGCCTGAACAAAATTAAGAAAGTTCTTTTCTAACTTTATTACTTTGTGAGAAAATTGCGATGGAAATTTTTTTAGGCATATAGGATATATTTGAAAGGTTTTAACGTTATCTTTTCTAGAATTTCATACTAAGCATTATAGTGTTTTCGGTTTATGTTTATCTCTTCTAGTTCCTGAGATAATTGATTCTTAAGTTTTCATGTGAATACACGTTTTACTTATTGACATCTACAGAAAAAAAACCAGTGGCGGATTATGCTTCAGTGGGGCCCTAGGCGCAAATCAAGTTTGAGGCCCCTAAATCCGAGAATTTTCAAAAACGGTTATTAGCCCAGTAAAATTAATAGTTTTAGCGTACGGGCGCCGCAAAGTCTACTTCAACATTCGTTTGTGCCAAAAACTCATTTCCACACCACCATGAGGTAGAGTTCGTGGCGCGTTTGTTTTTTTTTTATCGTGGTATCCCCAGTAGGCCTAATCCACACGCACTATTCCAAAATTTAATGGATTATCTTCCGATTCGCTCTTCGCGATGGAGCAGGTGTTGTGCGTTAATTGTTTTCAGGACCGATCGAAATATCACAGGTAAAATTTTCTGTCATACTACCGCGATGGGATTATCGTTTTCAATGCTATCTTGGTTCTTGAGTTCATCGTACGTGTGCTCAAAAACGGTAATCGTATTTAAATACAAATTACAAATTTACTTTTCTTGCCTTCTCTTGGGCAAAAATTTCAATAATTTTGTCGTACTCTAGTTTTTAAAAATATCATTTTCTATGAACATTAATGTCATTTAAGTGCTCTTGTGAAGGACTATTGCGCAGATAGTTTTTGACTCGTTTTAAAACTGAAAATGTCCTTTCTCCACTTGCATTAGAAACAGGCAGGGTCAAAAAAATTTGCAGTATTATGTGTATATTTGTTGATTTTAGACCATTACTTAATGTTGCATACATTTCATGTGGATCTCTAATATTTTCTTCTTGTATGTATTTTAGAAAATGAGTTAACTCGTCAGTGAAATAATCTGGCTCAATATCTTTTTCATACTTAGACAATAATCGCTCTACACAATTATTAGTCTCAACAAGGCTTAATTTTAAATCAAAGAAAATTTTAAAATCGTTAAGAACATTGATATAGACATCGCCACTTCGAGTAATTTCTGATGTTAATACATCACATGCAATATAAAAAAATGTTGACAATAAAATAATTTCTTGACGAAAATGCTGTATCATTTTTGTTCGTTTCATCATATGGATATTTGCGTTTTCTTTGTCTCATCTCTTTATAAGAATGATGAGCTGTTAGGATTTAGCCTCCTCTTCAACAGTTTCGAAATTATTTCTGACCTCTGTTATAAATTCGTTTAATGATTTTAATAAACTAACACTATTAAGAATATTTGTCTTTGGTTCTTGTAAGTATTTGCTGGTACCTGATTTTTAATTTCAACATGATTTGCGGTGTTAATCTGCTCTGATGTGCTTTGGGGAGGATTATCCTGATTTAATGATGGTCGTATTAAATATGATGACAAGGAATTTTTTGAACATCATTTCTTTTTCCTTTTGTACTTTCAGTTTTCGCTTTTCCGCGCCGGATAAATATGTTCGTTGCATTTTAAATTTTACATTGCAAAATAATTACACAAATATTGCACAAATATGTTTTGTAAAAATTATAAGAAATAATAAATAATAATAAATAATAAATATAATAAGAAATATTAACGAAGTACCTTTACAGAAGCTCTTGTTGATTATTAACTGCAGTTTTGAAAATCACCCACGCCAAATCGTCTATGCACAACACTTCGAGAAAAAAACTTTTGTAGAACTAGTGTTGTCGGGGTTGTGATTCAAGACTCACTGACCACTCTCTGTTTTTTTTTAGTCCAACTACCACCCCAAAAATCTAGATAAAAATTGTAGGAGGATAAACGTTGGTTCAACGTGTTCCGCAGATGTGAAAAAATGATAGAAAGACGAAATAATTAATATTCCAAAAAAGAAAGTTACCCGCTATTTTACAACCTCAATGGAATATTCCTCAACTCATCTCCTCCACAGATGTTCGAAATTTAAAAAAATTGGCAATATTCTACTCGCATTATACAGTAGAATCTTGATAACTCGAATGTCAAGGGAAACCAAAAAAAATTCGAGATAGCAAGTTTTCGACTTAACAAGAATTTCGAGATATGAAGAGTTAACTCATCAAATTTCGACATAAAAAGGCACAATTTCATAGAACATTTATTACGACAAATTACATTAGGTAACATAAAATGAGAGTCAAGTACATAATTATAATGAATGAACTTACACTGTATGTTTTAAATAATTGATAAAAAATCTGTTATCTTCGTTTGATTCAAGCCATTTACAGATTTTTTATCGATTATTTTTTCTAGTTCATGTAGTGAACCGAATATACCTATGATACTCGATATCATTACATCTTTCAATGTAAGTTCGTAGTGTATCAATTGCTGTATTATACTCATTTTGTTGCTTGTTAACAGCCAAACAAATATGTACTGACTGAGCCAAGTAACCAAAAGTGACCAAAAATGAAGAAACATAACATCTGTGTATCTTAGAAATTAGAAAGTTTATTGAATGAATTCATTCATTCCTTGCACGTGTGCAAAACAAAAACAATAGATAAGAGGCCCCGAGCCCCGAACATTCCTTTTTGATTTTATTGCCACGAGTTTTAAGCTCCGGGAATCCCGAGTTTTGAGCTCCGGGAATCTCGAGTAAGAAATCATAAAATTCGTTAAAATAAGGTTCGAGTTATCAAGATTCTACTGTAGCTACAACTTTCTAATGCAATATTCAAGAAAAGGTCACAAAAATTCGTGGCAGAAAACATCCAAATTTTATTTTAAACAGTTTGTCATAAAGAAATAAAATCGGAGATAAAAAGTTTTAAGTCAGCTATATATCCGTGACGGTTGCTTTGCGGACACGTGTGAAATGCCGTTTTGGGCGCCAAGTGAAAACCAATACGCTATTCATAAAGGCTGAGGTCAAAACCAACTGATGAAGTATTTGTGGAAGGCATGTAATTAAACGAACTTTATTTTTTCGATTTTTAACTTGTCAATTCATTAAATGCACCACCCCCAACCCTCCGACCGCCCCACAAATAATACCAAACAAGGTAGCTTACCTTACCACCACCCCAACTCCCCGACTACCCCTCACCACTACCCCCGACCGCCCACAAATAATACCAAACAAGGTAGCCTACCTAACCACCACCCCAACCCCCAACCACCCCAACACCACAAATTATAAAGTTTCAATTTAAAAAGTTGATTCAAAGCACTCAAAGTTGATTTAAGCTTAAACCTGAATATATAAGTGCATTGTATTAAAATATAAGTTATACAATCTATAGTGCATAATATGAATTTCTTAGTGCAAAGTATGAAAACTTAAGTGCGGCTGTTCAAGTGGATTGTATTTTAACTAAAGTGCATTTAATATATCCCCTATGCACTATAGATTGTATAACTTATATTTTAATACAATGCACTTATATATTCAGGTTTAAGCTTAAATCAACTTTGAGTGCTTTGAATCAACTTTTTAAATTGAAACTTTATAATTTGTGGTGTTGGGGTGGTTGGGGGGTTGGGGGTGGTGGTTAGGTAGGCTACCTTGTTTGGTATTATTTGTGGGGCGGTCGGGGGTAGTGGTGAGGGGGTAGTCGGGGAGTTGGGGTGGTGGTAAGGTAAGCTACCTTGTTTGGTATTATTTGTGGGCGGTCGGGGGTTGGGGTAGTGGTTAGGTAGGCTCCCTTGTTTGGTATTATTTGTGGGGTGGTTGGGGGTTGGGGTGAGGAGGTGGTTGGCGGTTGGGGGTTGGGGGTGGTGGTTAGGTAGGCTACCTAAAAGGGGCCGGCTAAGAGTACGGCACGTACTTAATACTGCAAGTTTTATAAGTGCAAAGTATTAATTTCATAGTGGAAAGCATTTTATTCAAGTGGAATTCATTTTTCAAAGTGCAAATATTTATTTTTAAGTTCAGTTCTGTATTTTTAAGTGCAAACATTAATTATAAGTGCATTTAATGAATTGACAAGTTAAAAATCGAAAAAATAAAGTTCGTTTAATTACATGCCTAGTGCATAATATGAATTTCTTAGTGCAAAGTATGAAAACTTAAGTGCGGCTGTTCAAGTGGATTGTATTTTAACTAAAGTGCATTTAATATATCCCCTTTGTGGAATTACTATGTCTATATGGGACATATAAGTGCCAGGGGCCCCTCAGGCAGCCGGGGCCCCCCAGGCAGCCGGGGCCCTAGGCGCGCGCCTAGTGCGCCTATGCCGTAATCCGCCACTAAAAAACCTTAGTTTTATTAAGTGAAAAGTTGTTTAAATTGGATAATTAAGAGCCTCCATACACAATGGGGTAGTTTGTTTGTATAAATGAGTTTTAACTGAGGGAGTTTTAGCACTGTGACTGTCCTGCACAGTCCTGACGATGCCCTCACCGACGAAACGATCGAAACGTCGATTCTTCAATTAAACCAGTGCAAATTGATTAAAAACGCTCTGAGTGAAAATACATTTAATGGTTTTTCTTGCTAATTACTTAGTTCACGTTATATTCGTTTATTATCTTATCCATTGTGACTGTACCTATGAAATCATATGTATCCTACCGGCTGTATGTGCCAGGCGCGCGCTTGTTTGTATACATTGTAAATTAAGCACATCACCAACAATGTGACAAATTAGTAAACAAACAACTATGAAATAATGTGATTGTTAATATATCTGTAACATCCATCTTTATCGAGTCACAAACTATAATTTAACAGAAAACATGAGTGCCACAATGATTTCAGAGCAATTGTAAGTTAAAACTCAATTTAAGGTTAACTTCAGTTAACTAGCTATGTAACTTATTAACGAAAATTTTATACTTTTAGCGACGATTCTTTAAATACAACAAATCTTTCGCATAATGCCGCTCGTTACAAAACTCCTGGATCAAAAAATACTCAAGCTATACGTCGACATGAATTATTACAAGCAATCAAAGAGTAAGTAAATTAATAAATATGTAAATCATACTAAAACAAGTGAATACTGTTTCATTTTTTGATTAGAAGGCGACATGCATCTATGGATGAAAAGCGCCACATTAATGAAGTATTTCCAAGTGATGAAAATGTACATAAAATGGAAGAAAGTGAACAAATGGATACTGTAATATCACCTAACAAGAGAAGGAATAAAAAGTTATATGCTAATAAATTAATGTTGTCCGAGTGGTTGCTAGAGAAACCTTTTGATTTTGAAGAGAAATGGTTGATGAAAGTATGTTGTACAGGAGTAAGGAATCTTGTTGTTGCAAACAAGGTATGTTTAAAATATTTAAATTTACTTATAATATTCATATACACTTAATATTTTAGGGTAAAACAAAAAGCTTTTCCAAGTCAGGCCACTTCATCAGACAGTTTCAATCACAATTACCTGGTGGCAGTAGCTCCACACCAATGAAGTTTACCATCTTAGATTGTGTATACAGTCAAGATGAAAATACATATTATGTATTAGATGTTCTTGTTTGGAATTCATATTCAGTCATAAATTCATCTGTAAGTATCGCAAAGACATAGGCAACCCAACATTCACGACGCCATTTTATTTCAGACCGAGTTCCGATTTTTCTTTGTTGAATCCAAACTACAAGAATGCGAACTTCAACACATTAGCAAAGGAAACGCATATAAATTCATCTACACCCCTCATAGACCAGCAGACTTATGTACGATTGCCGAAACTTTCGCTCACCATACGCCTGCGATCGATGGTGTTTTATTCTATCATTCGGAGGTAAGTTATTTATCGCAAGTTACACCACTCGTCGGTTGGCTCAAAGTTTACATGTTACCTGAAGTGATAGGCATACCAATACATTCAGATTATCTTTCGCAAAAGCCCGAAACATACACTAACTTTCTAGAATATGTTCAGAACTTCGATAAACTCGAACGCAAACGCCACAGGAGAACAAAAAACAAACGTGTTGATGTAGAAATGATAGATTTAGATCTCTCCGAAAACATGGACAGTAATTTTGATTTAACTGAAGAATCTGTGATGGAATAATATTAATCTGTATTAATTTTAATCATTTTAAAGTGTAGTCATGTCAAAAAGGTAAAAAAATCAAAGTAAAAATAATAATAACCTACTGAATGTTTATTTTAGATCAGAGACATTTAATATGCACATAAGTACATTACATGTTACATCTTGCATACAGTATTTCAGAAAAATATGTGAATACAGACTCTTTTTCAGTTTCGATTGACTCTTTTCAGTAAATTTTCGCATTCTCATCACTCTAATAAGGCTACTTCTATTTGTTCCAAATATTTTGAAAGTTGAATGTCAAAGTTTGGTTCCAATTGTGTGCTTGACATCACAACTCGCTCAGCACTTTACAGCCCTTAATGAATAAAGTAAAAAAAAAACTTTAACTCTCGTTCAACGACAATGATTACAATACGGCATGTATTACAATAAGTTACTCGTCACTTTCTTACAAATCATGCGATTTAAATAAGACTTACTTAAAAAAACTTAATTTATATTCTCGTGCCTAAATAAATAAATTCAAGAATTCGTAAACGTCAACATAACAGAAATGTAGGTACTTTATGGAAGGCGATCATCTACGATCGATTGGAATTCGTTGAAGTTGGAGGATGGCTATCTACGTGTGCGGGGTGGTGTTGGGGATATGAGATGGTTTACATGTGGCGCGTGTTGCCGAAATTGATGCCGGATTGATTGGCTCCCTTGTTGCTGCCCATCTGCAGGCCGATGATGGTCTGGCCGGCTTTGAGCTTGTCCTCGGAGAAGTGTCGCTCGTTCTTCTCGGCTTCCTTGGGGCCCATACCATGTAGGCCGTAATTATGCGCCTGGAATCAAGACAAGAGTCAGTAAATTAATGAATTAATCCTTTTAGTTTAGTAATTTAGGGTGTGGATCAATGTGCGGTGTATGTAGTTAGTAGTTATTGTATTAAGTATGATTTATAGCTCTCCCTATAATTAAATTTACATCAGATTGTAATGATCGAATGGGGTTTGTGGGTTGAGTGGGTGGCGAATGTATGTCGTTCGCAAACAATGGGCGAAAAAGGGGGCACGGAGGAAAGAAAATCGACTTTTCGCCAGTGGGCAGCGTGTGTTTTGCCCAGCGCGAATATTTCGCGGCGAGCATAAAGCAAACACGCACGCATTCGCGATTTTCAGTCGGGGAAAATACCCCCATGGTGTAACATCGCATAAAGTGTCTTCTATTCAAACTGAGTGCCTTATACAACTCACATAATCGGTGAGTTTATTTTTATATTTAAACAGTTCTTATTTTTTATTTTTGTTTGAAATTACCTTCCGTCCCAGTGATTGTAAACAAATCACAACCGAATTCAAATTCTGACGTTCCCACAAATCAACAGTCTGGAAGGTTTCCTGCGCTGGCACACCGAATGCACGCGCCGCTTCCAAGAATGCGTTAATGTTCTCCATGCACTTGAACGCCATCTGTGATTGGTTCACTTTTTTCACACTGCCGGGTTTGATCACGTTGGCCAATCTGCAACACACACACACACAATACCAACGTATTTTTAAGTAAACATAAGATAATAATTATATGCATTTATATGCACATGTTATTTGCATGAAACAAATACGGCATGTGACTCACTTGCATAGTAGTGTGCCGTCCTTGAGCACCTCGTAGAAGTTGTCCATGTCGCCGGCGGTGTTGATGTCATCTTCGGTGATCGACCGAATCCATTCGAGAGATTCTTGCGCCAACTCTTCGCTATATTTGGCATTTACCTAAAACGATCGAGACCAACATTAGGTAAAAATCTATTAAATTTAAGCATGAATGGTTATATTTTAATAATACGTAAAATATACGTGTGACATGTTATGGCTGATGTTATTTATTGTTGTTATTTAGTGATATTTACATCAAAATGATAGTTTCACGCGATATTTAGGTTCGTTTTGATGGTATGAAGTGCACGCACCCGCTTGGTTCGCACCAGCCGAGCTAAAAGTACATTTAATTTGCATTTATAGAGGCAAAGCGAGCGCGAAATTAGCATGAAAATTCCTTGTACGTACAACAATCACGTAGGCGAACGCGTGCTGTGCGCATGTTTCGCAAGATTAATCACGGAGAATTCAGACAACACAAAAAGTGTAATTAATGTTAACAAAAAAACTAATTGTTAGTCATTGACTAACAAAATTTACAAAAAAATCTCACAATACCTTTAAAACAAAAATAAGACGTTGACAGTTAATTTGACAGCAAGAAAAAACATTTTAGGCGCATGCGCAAACGAGCTGAAATCTAACCGGTGCATTCTAACCTAAAAATTTTGACGTCTTCATAATTATAAGCTTAAAAATGCTGATTAAAATTACTCCGTAATGCATTGGTAAGATTATATTCAACTTAATGATTCAACAATTGTTTTCTAGCTGTTATCAGCTAACACATATCCATAATAATGTTTCCATGTTTTAATGTCAACTGTTAACCAGTTGAAACTAACCGGCTGCTGCTTCGATAACGTCAATAGCGTTTTTTCAATCGCCTATCGCAGTGCAATGCAGTGCAATGCATTATGATTATTACGACGATTGCAGGCGCATTTTGTGAATGTTATAGCATGCGCTGCGTGCTGATTGCTTACGCTTGTACAGCTTAAGCCATAAAGCAAAGCTATGTGCTCTTGAAGCACTTTTAAGGCTTGGTGCGCGTGCGTGCGGTGTCGCGATAACCATAAAAGGTGTCTAACCAACTTTAACTTTACCATCACCGCATGTGGCGCAAAAAAATCGAAATCCAACCGCAATAAATTCATAAATGTAATAAATATTTTAAAATTAAAAGTAAACTAATCTAGATTAGAAATATAATAACATTTAATACGTTTTATAAATTAATGAGTAATTTTTAAAGTTAATTAGATGTATTGTTACACTCGGTATATAGTTTGTGGTAATGAAGTAATAGTAATGTGAAACGCACACGAGCAGAAGAATTACGTCATTCTGACTCATTCCCAAATAAAAAAAATATAAGAGAATCGCCCGACGACAAACGAGTTTTCAACTCATCGGAATTTATTTATCGCAAATATTTCAGATTTCTTCAATCATTAACGAGAAATGTTTCGGGAATTAAAAAGATATTTTCGGTTGTTTTCTTTTTGTTAATTTTTAACGCTCTATAAACTCAACAATTCGAATAATTCTACGCTTGTGTAGCACTATCTGAACAATAGTTTTTTTTTCATGGCTCAGCAAGAATTTTCGTGGGTGCGAATAATTCGCGGCGCACAATTAACGCGATTATCGGTTATCGCGTTCGCTGCTTGATTAATTAAGCATGCTAATCATTCGCTGGCGTATGGCTAACATGTTCGTTATTTCCGTTAGAATGAAAAATGGCTCTGGTAGGATTTTTTATTATAGCATTCAACGAATTGTTCAACACTTGAATGACGAATTAATCAAGTGTTTAAATTAGATGTTTAGTTGAGCAGTGGTTGAAATGGAAACTGAGTTATTTTTAGGCATGATGTGATTAACTTTAATATTTATTTATCATACGGAATGGTCAATATTTAATCATCAACAAGGCGGTTAGCCGAAAACGTCTGTTTGTCGGTTGGTGAGTGTGTCGTTAATAACAGCAACAAATCGTTAATTTGTGTCGAATGAAATCATTCGAATGTGTGTATCCAAAGGGCAAATGCCGAGATTGGGAAATCAGTAATTGATTCATTAGAGTTAACGAATGACTTCAAAGGAACCGCGCCGCTAAGTAATATTATAAATGCGGTTGTGAGTTTGTTTGTTTGTGACGCTTTCACGGGAAAATCACTGAACAAATTTTGATAAATTTTTGTATAGAGATATATTTGTTGATGGAAAAGTAAATAAGGCACTTTTTATCGCAAAAATATACGTATAAGGGTGTAAAAAAAGAGATGAAAGTTGATTTTGAGATTAAATCATAGGTATAGTTATATAATTTGAACAAAGATGGCGCTAAAGTGCATAATTAACATTTCTTTTATTTTTTTATTTAAAATGGAGAATTTTATTCGCGTATTTTGCATATAATATTACCAATAAATTTAATTGTTTATTAAAATCGGGAGCAAAGTTAATAAACGGAAATTTGCGCTTGTAATCTTTATTTATTATTTATTCATTGTTATCTTAACCAGTCTGAATATAAACTTTCAATATTATAAGAAAAATATCAAGTTAATATTCAAGTTACGCGATTTTACCGTTGGCGTTTTTTTTTTGTTATCATTGCTCGTGCAATATTTATGCTTACTCTGCTTAAAAGTATAAAAATTTACATTGCCAACTATGTCTATGTCTATATTGACACTTTTGATGTGTTTACAGAGTATGCAGTGTGCGCACATTTTGCAATCCAGGCGAACAAAACTGCTGACGTCATTCGCGAATGGGAAGCAGGCGCGAGTAATCCGGGTGAACTTGATCCCGTTTTCCCAGCGCGCATCGATTTTCACTGCACGCGCCCTTCCCTGACCTATATTCGTCCTGCGTCTCCATATGGTAAATAAAACCGACTAAAACCTGTTCAACCAGCTACAAGAAGGCCGAAAATCTTATTTATTTTATTATTGTTTTGTTATTCGTTTTGATATGTTATGAAAATCGTGATCTAGATCTACATTCAAGAGTATCATCCATTATTTCCGACCTTGACGCCGATTAAACTGCAGTAATTTAAGTAATTGTAATATTTATACCAACAATAGGGCGTCGCGGCATGTCCGAATGCAAATCTCTCTTCGCATTGTGCGCGTTTTTCGTGGGAACTTCTTTAACATGCGCGCACGACATCGCCGGAAGTTCATGGTGAATAATTATGTGCAAATCGTAATTATCATTTCCGGTTTATTACGAATCAGATTTAGCCACAGCCCACGGCACTATCGACCTACAAACCGCCCGACTAATAAAAGAAAAAATGCAACAAGTTTAACATGAGAAACCTTCTCAGTTTTTATTTCGAGTGTGGTGGAATCTGCCAAACACGTTTTTCGATCATATTATCATTCAACTCAACTTGAATATGATTTGTACACTTGTATTTTGAAGTTTTACACTTTTAATTATTGATTTAAGTATTGATTGGTTTGTGCACTTACTTTTCTTTGAGCTTCAGCTGCAAATCCGCTCTTGGTCGCACGGTTGGTAGCCATTGCGTTAGTTGTGTGTTGGTGTGAGAATGTGTGTATAAATTAAATTAAGGAATGCGTGTGGAGGGCACTCGTGCACTGTGCTGCGCGCGAACTCGCGATGCGACCGACTCCGGTTGTAACCCGACAAGCGACTAAAAAGAGTCCGGTGCGCGCGACGCGAACCGGCTCCGGCACCGAAACCGCGCGGTTTCGAAGGTTCGGTCGGTGTAGAAGGTGGGATCAACATCTACATTCTCAAATAATATACGTTACCAGTTTAGGTTTTAGATATTATTGTTTACTCAGTTAGTATGCATTTTGAGGTCTGTTCAAGTTCAATAATAGGTACATTATTAGAAAAATAAACAAATAAATATAACTATAGATAAGAAAGTGTTCGTACAATGGAGTTGAGTGTATTTGTAATGAAATCATCGAAAAAATGATTAATCATTTGGTTAGGAAAGTACCGACAGTCTAGAATATGTGATTAAACTTTGATTGAGCAGACTTTACTTTGAACTAATATTTTTATTAATTTGTTATTTAATAATCGGATATTTTGCGTAATTGTTTTGTTCTAGAGGTAATGTAGTGCTGTTTGTAGGTAGATGCTAATACTGAGTTTATTCTCAATTAAAAGTGCCGGGTTGGTTCAGTGTTATTATTCAGAGCAAACAATCTTCGTTTGTTTAGGTGTATCTCATATTACTGATAATTTATGATTCAATAATGTGAATTATGCAGATTTGCTTAAATTCTTTGAATGATATATTTATTTAAGTTTTTATGAGATTGATAAACTTAAATAAATATATAGGTATTATATTAACAATGGATTATGTATTCTGCAAAGAAAATAAAATCTTTGATTAAGTAGGTATCTATTACTCGCGACTTTCCGGCAGTTTTCGATAATAATAAGTAATTTTTCAATTCTTGTTGAAGACCTAGTATGTGTTTAATTAATAAGATTCGCAAATTTATTTTATTTTATTATTTTAAAGAAATGAGAATTGCTAAATACACATTCAATTATTTAGCTATAACTATGGTTGAATCTATGCTAATTTTTCCTTATTTTACACCATTTATATATTTAATTTTTGATATTTTAATAGTTATTCTGCTATTCGGTTCTGAGACGAATCCAACAAATCATAGGTCATCAAAATCTGTCAAGCCATTTTTGAGTTATACATGCTGTAACTAACACAACTAAGTTTTATGTATAGAAGTTTATAAGTTTTCCAATACTTTTTTTCTTATTGATAAATTCATAACTCGATTTATAAATTGTTGCTATTCAGCCAGTATGGCTAAATGAATCATATTATATACATGGTAGCAACAATAGCAAACTATACGACTATAGGTAGTAGTTCCAAATGTAATGAGCTAAAGCTAATTTTAAAACCATAGAAACGAATGACAATGTTTATAATGCAATACAACTAATGTCTTCTTTTGTTTCTTTTATTTTGACTGTTTTTGTTATATTGTTGCAATTACACAAACAAACATGAAAAGACAAAGTGCAGTTTATCGCCGGTTAAGCAAGATACATACGTACAAGTGGCATTACGTATTGCTACATCAAATTGCTTAGCAGTAGGCTACCTAGAAAGAATTCAATAATAGGCATATTATAAACTAATAATAATAAAAATAACAATAAACAATTATTATAACTTTAATAAACCATTACGCGTAGTATTATAGACGCTGGAGTATGCAAAAAATAGGACAATTCAATCGAACATCGGAATAGAGTTCCAAATAGGTCACATATAAAGGATTTGGCCACCTAATTTTTTAGCCGTGTAAGGTTTCCTGGCAATTCTTTTTTTGTTAATAAGATTAGTAGTATTACTATGAGTTTTAAATACTTTTACATAGTTTTTGGTACTTTTGGTTGCTATTCCACATAAATTGGACCATATCTCGCAAACTGGCAGAATATTTGTAGTTTTTTTTTATCATACTGAAAAGAAAAGGTGGTTCTTTTGTAGTGAATACGCGACAGGACTTAGAACTGCCCTAAAACTCACTCGCTGCGTTTTTCCGTAGAGACCGACCGAAATTTCGGTTTCGGTTTCGGTTTCGGCCAGTTTCGGCCAAGAAATCGAGTTTCGGCTTCAGTTTCGGTTTCGGCCGCACCGAAACTCACTTTTCGTGAATTGTCGTGCGTCGCTCGGCTAACTTCGCGGCTAATGGCGGTCGTTACTTGCCATCTTAGTTCGCTCATATTAATACTATATTAAGTATCCAGTGACTAAACGAGGACTTTACTCCCGAAACTGATTATGTATCTAAAAAACGTGGAAAAACTTGCGATGTGTAGGTAAAAGTAGAAAAATATGTTTATGTAAATTAGTTTCGGTTTCGGTTTCGGTTTCGGCCGAAACTGATTGCAGGGCCGAAATTTCGGTTTCGGTTTCGGCTAAAATTGAGTTTCGGTCGGACTCTAGTTTTTCGAATGACAATTGTGAAATAATATGTTTTGGTGTAAACGGGCAGCCTACAATAAAAATAACCTTTCAGTAGGTGTTATAATTAGTACCTATATAAATTGACTTTATTAAATCTTGCTCTTTGAAACATACGCGAACAAAAAAAGATGTCATTGATAACAAGTCCATGCCGTGCATGACGCTTGTTTATCGTTTATACTTTTTTGTTTAACCATTGAATTAGTGACTCATAGTCCAATCGATAAATAATTTAATACACGAGTTCATACACAGACATCTGTCCTCACTTGAACACAAATTATTAATTTACAAATCAAAGTTGAAAATCGATATGCGACTTATTTGGTCACTATTACATATTATATATCTACAACTCCATAAATTTGAATGAAACGATCATGATCTAACAATATGTCTAATAAATTGCTTTTAGGTGTCTGGCAACTAAAAAGAATGACTAATCTTCTACATCAGACCGCGACACATTATGCTAAAAATTTAAATTAATGCTAATCAAAACTCAAGTGGAAAAGTGGAACAAACGATTAAGTTTTACTCAGAATTTAGATTAAAATATCAATATTATTTTATTAACTAGCTTTTGCCCGTGAATTCTTCTTGGTAGTGTTTAATAAAAATGTGTGAAATGTGTGAAATGTGTTAATGTGTCAATTCTATCAATAAGATTCACAAGTTTATTTTGAAGAAATTAATTATATAAAGAATTGCTAATGATGCACTTAGCGCGCCATCTCGGATTCAACTATTTAACTATAACTATGATTGAATCTCAATGTCAACTTTTATCCTAAAGAAAAGGGCTGTCTTTAGGGCAATTATTCGAATTTTTGTCGCCGTAAAAACCATCCTTTGACTTTAACGAACATTTTAAAAAAGGAATTGGCCAAATTGGTCTAGGCGTTGTTGAGTTAGGCGCTTACCAACAGATTTTGCGATTCATTTTTGTATTATAGATATGAGCATCTCTAGATGTAATACCTATATTTGTATTTGTAAATTTTGATTTGTTTTATTCAATTAGACCAAATTTGGTGCGATAATAAGAAAAAGCAGGCGCCAGCCTTGACCAATCGCTAGCTGTCATCTACACACATATCTTGCGCTACATTTGCTATATATTTCATTCTGCTTTAATAGTATGCGCACTATCGGAGTTAATCTAACACAATCAAAGCATGAAACTTGTCGTCCGAGACTTGCGTCACGCTAGATGGCTATATATGACGAATCGTCGCCATCGTCGGCGTCCCAACACGAATACGCTCCCTAAATGGAAGAAAACAAGATTAGCAAGACCATAACTACTCATATCTAAGACAAATTTCTATATATATCATCAATTAGGTATTAAAAAATGCATCACAAGAAGAAATACATTACATACGAATTAAATAGCATACGAATAATAGATTCGTATTAGCTGGAATTTAAATGTTAAACGAGTTTAGTACTGCATAGTGCAGATGTAGTGGCAGTGGCAGTTTAGTAATTATCAATTTATTAATGCATTTATTCTGTTTTAATACTGCTTCGACTTTTACTTTTTATTCATATTTCAATTCTTAGCGTTTTTATCAGTGGCACTGCGTGCTTGTGCCTGCATTTGTTAAAGTAATGCATATTTAAGCATGCTAAGAATGCACGCAGATTCGCAATGCGTTTAATGAAAGTTGATTACATATCGGACAGAGCGTCGGATATTAATAAGTATTCCAGCGTATTTTCAAGTTATAATGACATTAATTACATGCTGGTATAACTTGCGATAAAGTAAGAGTTTGTTGCAGGCAAAACCGTCAAATTGTGTTAATTGTAGTGAAGGTTACGGAATGATAAGTGTCAATTATTTTAATTTATTAGTTTGGTGTTAAATTGTTACAGACAATTGGCCTTGGAGGAGAACATAGGCTACATTTTGGCATGAAAAAAATACGCGAAGAATGTAAAATTGGTGATAAAAATGTGTTTATAGAATGAAAACTAGTTATACGAATAAAACTGATATGACAAGAGATAAAAATTTAAAATTACTCTAAATTAGGTACTCTTATTATTATAAATTATCTATGTAATTTTTATTTCTTGATATGATTTTAATACAACAACATAGTTTCTTGCACTAAAAACATTATTTATTAGAGAAAGTGGAAGTAGATAAGGCTAAATACTTATTAATCTATTATTACAACCAATGTCGAGGTGAAATTGCTAAAACACTGCTAAAACAGTGTTTTGAAATATGAAGTTTACAAAACAAGTAGTAAAGATAGTGTTATCGTGCCATTATTGCATGTAACACTATAGTGCATGAATAAATCACCGAAATTTACCTTTTTTTTAATTTTTGTATTTGTATTTTATGAAGTAAATGTTATGACTACTAATGAGTATTGAAAAGAATAAAATAATAATGAATTATAACAGGATATGAAATGATAGAAATTGAAATATTGAAATGTTACACCGTTTGATGAACACAAGCACCTCACCGTCGTGCATAACAATAAAAATAATTTACAGTTATCGCCGGTTTCGCGGCACGTTTTACTCGAGCCTTGGCTGGATGCTTTTCGGTATGTGGAAGAATAACCAAATTTAACTACGGCAATTATTTATAATTATTAGTTATTATCTCTATTGTAGTATCATATCTATTCGTTTTTTTAATTTCAATTTTTGGCTTTAATTTCGAAGCCAATTGATATAAATCAATCACTAACTAACAGTATGATGGTATTATAATTTAAGCTGACGTTGTATCTGTTAATTATTAGCTTATGTTTATCTGTAGCATCAAATCTGATTTTGTTTATTTAGTATTTGCGGCACTTATTATATTTGTGCTCTGATTCTTTTTTTACTTTAACATGGCAGTTGATTATTCAGACTTGCTGCTAATTATTTTTGGTATTTTATTGTTTCGTGTTGTCATTAAATTTAGTTTTAATTAGAGGCCGACCGAAATTTCGGTTTCGGTTTCGGTTTCGGCCAGTTTCGGCCAAGAACTCGAGTTTCGGCTTCAGTTTCGGTTTCGGCCAAAAATGGCCGAAACTTTCGGCCGCACCGAAACTCACTTTTCGTGAATTGTCGTGCGACGCTCGGCTAACTTCGCGGCTAATGGCGGTCGTTACTTGCCATCTTTGTTCGCTCATATTAATACTACATTAAGTATCAAGTGACTAAGCGAGGACTTTACTCCCGAAATTGATTATGCATCTAAAAAACGTGGAAAAACTACCGATGTGTAGGTAAAAGTAGAAAAATATGTTTATGTAAATTAGTTTCGGTTTCGGTTTCGGTTTCGGCCGAAACTGATTGCAGGGCCGAAATTTCGGTTTCGGTTTCGGTTTCGGCTAAAATTCACTTTCGGTCGGACTCTAGTTTTAATTTCGCATTCGTCTTAAGATTATTAAGCAAATAATTATATTAAGATTTTGAGTACTGTTTTGGTGTTCAAAAGTTGATGGTTGGGTGATTTTAATGAAGATTTAGTATTTCATTGTACTTACTCGTATGTGTAAAATGTAAATAGTATTCTGTTTGCAAAAAATGAATATTATGTACGGTATTGGTCAATGATTTAAGCGTCATTATGATTCGTATTATATAACTATGGTTAATTTTCCATATCAATTTTCATGTCTTATGTTACACCCCGCAAGTTATTTTTCGTGGTAAACAGTGGTCTACTTGTTTTTCCTTTGTCAAAACTACCTCTACACCAAAATTTCTAAAAATTGGTTGTGTGGTTTCTGCGTAACTGAGCAACAAAAAAATATACTCATATTAGTACAGTCATTTGGTGCTAAAAAACGTGATTGCATCCCATCGCGGATAATATGGAAAAAAATTCTTTCCTGTGATATTTCGATCGATCCTGAAGACAATTAACGCAGAACACTTGGTCTAACGCGAAGAGCGTATCGGAAGACAATCCATTAAATTTTGGAATAGTGCGTGTGGATTAGGCCTACTGGGGATACCACGATAAAAAAAACAAACGCGCCACGTACTCTACCTCATGGTGGTGTGGAAATGAGTTTTTGACAAAAACGAATGTTGAAGTAGACTTTGCGGCGCCCGTACGCTAAAACTACTAATTTTACATGAAAAAGGTACTTACATAAATTATAGGAAATTTTCTCTAGTTTAATTTATTGTATAGATATGTTTATCGTAAAATCAGTCGGAAAGGAGATATGGTTAAAAAACTGTTCTTAGACACCATTTTTCCAAGATGATGGCGCGAGCGAACAAGATACGAGGTGGCAAAGTTTAAATTCGTAAAGAGCACATCGAAATCTATACGAATACCAATTTTCAACAATCCCGCACTATTTTCTAGGCAAAACTACCAAATGACTGGACTATATCTATAATATAACAATTGAATCGCAAAATCAGTTGGTAAGGGCATAACTCAACAGCACCTAGACCAATTTGATCAATTCTTTTATTTAAAATGTTCGTTAAAGTCCAAGGATGGTTTTAATGGCAAGAAAAATCCTAAAGACAGCCCTTTTCTATTGGATAAAAGCTGGTATTGAGATTCAATCATAGTTATAGTTAAATAGTTGAATCCGAGATGGCGCGCTAAGTGCATTATTAGCAATTCTTTATATAATTAATTTCTTTAAAATAAAATTGCGAATCTTATTGATTGGATTGACACATACTATGTCTAGAACAAGAGAGTAAACACGAATTACACTTTTATTTTATACTCCCGCTAGTGTGAACGAAGTCCGTGAGTATTAGGTGGAAGTTTGAAAATCAAAGTTTTTATCCTGAGTCATGCCATTAACGTCATAGATATTGGAAATAATCAATATTGCCCGATTTCTATATATTACTAAAATCTTTTATTATCATTATTAAAAACATGAATAATCAAGATATTCCAGAAGATAATAATAATCATAAATTATCTTGATGCTCATCTTAAAGCGATTAAAGTATTTCCGGCTGGAAATAAATAATTAAAAAAGAACTGTAGATGAAATAAAATTTATAACTTAGATATGTATTTTCGAATTAATTTGTTTTACGTCTACATAATATAAAAATCAGTTGTAGACGCTAAGGCAAACACACTAAAAACACGTTTTTTACAGCCGTAAACAAGTGTCGAATAATTAATAACACATTTAAGACGTTAACAACACTTTAATGATACTTTAATTATAAAATAATTATTAATGAATGTCGCATTAATGATTCCCAAGCATACCTCGATTTAAGTTTCACTTTATAGACACATCTATAACTTTGTAAGTCAACTTGATTTTGTGATGATTTTTTGTGCTGCATGTATATATTTATACATTATACATACTTAAATTTGTTTTAAGTTCGTTAAGTTTGAGTTGTTGTCCATGCTTGGCATGGCGACCTATAAACGAAACGAATGAGATTGAACTGAACGAACGACCATCTGGTAGGTTTACGAGTACGAGTACTATACGTGTATCTTCAGTACTTCTGTGCCGCACTCGCTCTTCGATTCGATTTGTCTTTCTGTTCTTGCACTTGTGGGTTGTGTGACTCTTCCTGCCCGCATGGATGCATCCATCGTGTCGCAGTTTAGTTCGATTAATCAAATTGTAGCCGGGCTCAATTAGGCGCAATTGGTGATATCCGGCCGCCCGCTGTATTGACGCATGCAAAGAGATGTGTATGATGAGAGACGCAAATTGTTTACAACATAACACAACGTACATTGTCGTTAGGTGTATGTAAAACTTATGCTGGACGGATTTTGATGATTTATGATTTTTTGGATTTATCTGCGTTTGGAATAGCAGAATAACAATTAAAATGTTGAAAATTATGGCTTAAATGGTGTTAAATAAGGGATGAAAGTTTATATAGAGATTCTATCATAGTTTTAAGTAAATAATTCAATCATAGATGGCGTTATAGTTATATTATTAGAATTATTATTAGAATTTCTTATTTTTTTAAATAAAATTTTATATAATATTGATAGAATCGACATATATTATGTCTTCAACCAGGAAAAATGAATTATATTTTTATTAAAAAGTACAGACGTGAAGAAATTAAATGTTTATATAGTTTTTACTCATATTAATGGGCCATCTGTTCAACAGAAGCATTGAAAAAATAATTAAACAAGTTGTCTACTGTGTTTTTATGGTTTAATAATTTATTGAATGTTATGCTGATGTGTTTGCAAGCTGCAGAGGCATTTTTAACAGTTGAACACTCCTACGACTTCTATGTCTTCTATGTCTAGAAGATGCCATTACTCTCCGTGAGTTCATTCTACGTTTCTTCATCTCATGCAGTTCAATAACATTGCCACTGAGTGAACTTTGCTTCCAAATGCAAATGAGCGCCAACCGGATATTAATTGAATGTTGCCGCAAATAAACTAGTCATAAAATAAAATTCTTCCACAGTGGAATGTTTCCTTGCGCGTAAAAATTGGAATTTCCGGATGAATTGGCGCGGAATTTAAAATATTGACGCATGTGCGCGCGATGTGTAATGAGCTCATGTTGTTCATGTTTAAACATTTAAAGAGTGATCGTTGGTTGCTCAGCGTGCTTCTTGAGATTTTTTGCACGTCGAGCGCGACGAGTGAAAGTGCACGGCGTGCACATGACGACACGCGAGAGACGGGAGAGAATTGGGTCGCCTTCGCGAACTGAATCATCTCATTAAAATGTACAACGCGTCGTGTGTTGTCACTTGTTTGGATGTAATCGGTTATTCAATGAAATGATCTTGGGTTTTATTCGGGATTAGGAAAATGTTTATTTTGTGATAATATCGGAGGGATTATAGATATGGAGGTGATTTATGCGACGTTATGGCAAATACAAATATTTGCACTCTTTCTTTAGTTTAGGTTTAGGAGTTAATCTTGTTGATTCATGTTTTATTTTTGTTTTTATGTTGTGCGCAGTGCCATCTGCTATTAAAAGTGAGGAGTTACTATAGCGGGAGCATTCTGTGTTGCCTATAGTGAAGTATGAAATGATGAAATGAATTTAAATTGAAAAAACAAAACGTGACCAACGAAAAACTACATAATATCAAAATATATTGTATTTAAATAGCTTTTGCCCGCGACTTCGTCCTGGTAGTATTTAATAAAAATGTAATTCGTTTTTACTTTCTCTTTCTAGACATCGTATGTGTCAATTCTATTAATAAGATTCGCAATTTTATTTTAAAGAAATTAATTATATAAAGCATTGCTAATAATGCACTTTACCGCGCCATCTTGGATTCAACTATGTAACTATAACTATGATAGAATCACAATACCAACTTTTATCCTATCGAAAAGAGCTGTCTTTAGGGTTTTCCCGGCAATTATTCGATTTTTTCTCGCCGTAAAAACTTTCCTTGATCTTTAACGAACAATTAAAAAAATAATTGACCAAATTAGTCAGGGTGTTGTTGAGTTATGCGCTTACCAACAGATTAGCGATTAATTTTTATATTATAGAGATTAATAAAAAAAAAACTTTTGTGGAGAAGTTTGCTCGAAAAAAAAAACTATTTCTTCAATCTTTAACCATGAATAACTCTTTGTTTGCTGACAAGATATTGATGAAACTTTTTAAATTCTATTTGTAATATAATACTATTCCAAACATCCCTATAAATTTTCCGCGTTATGAATCCAAAACAAACATTTTTTTTGATAAAAATATTCATAATTACAGAAGTAATTAATTATTTTTAATGATTTCTATGCCTTGCAAAGTATGATTCACCCTCATCAATATTAATCTACATTGTGTTGCGTACGTAAAAAACTTTGATAATGACAGCTTGTCGATTAGAGTTGATTAAAAGCGATGATCGATATTGAAATAATATCTGCCGGGTATTGTTCATATTTGTGTGCGACCGGGTTTTCTGCGGCCGCACCTGTAATAACATTGGCACCACACAAGTATTACCGCTGCAACTAGTCCCGATGGAGTTATGGACAAAGCGTTTGTGTAGGGATTGGTGTACGGGGTGTGTTTGACCCGGTTGCGCGTGACATGGACGAACTGACGAACATTAAACAGATTATTACAGCGTCATGAATAAACCAGACGCTTTTGTTTGTTACTCGCCACCTTCCATGTCGCGTTGGACGCGAGCGGGGAATTGTGGCGCGGTTTTCGACGTCTCAGGGGCGGCGCGGGTGGCGCATGTGATCCGGCGGCGGCCAATGAACGCGCACCCGGTTGAAAATTCACTTTTCAAAGTGGATTAACCGCGCCGACCACATGAGTAGTAACATTTTACCTTTTGCATTGAACACACCTAAAACATATTATTTTCACACACGTTTTATTTATCACTTGTGTAATACGATAAAAAATCAAGTAATTAAATATTAATTTGTAATTTTACTTTAATGAGAGTTTAATTTCGTTAGATTTTGTTTGATTTGAATTTAAAACTAGTTTTTTTATCTGAATTTTTGCTTTTGTTTGTAGAAATGACGAGGAAAACGATTAATAAAGCGTTAAAGTTCCTCTTCAAGAAGATGCGGCGCTGGAAACGAGATGAGGAAGATTACGAGGAGGATGAAGAGTGTTACTGTGACCAGTGCTACTACTGCTGCGAGGAGTGCGAACGCGAACGGTAAGTGCGTTAGCGCATTATCAAATTAACAACCTTAGTTGGCGGTGATTTAATTACCGTAAAGAGTAGTTTAGCTCCAATGTACACAAAACTATCCATGTTATCCTTCACCGTACCATTTGATGGAATCGCCTACATTCCTAATCCCAAAATTTACATCATGTTTACATCGGAAATTAAAAGATTTTAGTTTTGAAATATAAAATAATAAATTTATTTTAGAAAATAATAAATAATATGGAATTAGTTTTAGCAAAAATTTAAATATTAACAATAATTGTTAAAATTTTAAATAAAAAAAATAATAATTTTAAAACTTAGATTTTAGTTCAAATTTCTCTGCTTACAAATTTTAAACATGATTTAAAAATGACCTTTTAGTTTTACAATTGTTATTGGAACATTAGTATAACTTACGGGTGTACAATGTTGATATTAATAAAATTTGTCGACACATACGATGTGTTTCGATATGATATTTCTTGCGAATTTAAAATTTAATCAATATATTGACATTTCCGTTACAATATGGTAATTTCATAATTTACATTCTTATTATTATTAATATTCGTTATTGCGGTGTACTAGAATGCTATTTTAATGCAAATTATATGCGTTTCCTACAAGAAAATAACAAATTAGTTTATATTTTGCAATTTTTCTTTGAAATTCATTGTTTATATATATATTAATAGAGTATAATTTTCTTGAGATTGATAGTTAATTGCTACATCAACTTCTTCTTCTGGTTGCAAATAAGTTTTATTTTTTTTAGTAAAAATTACTTTTTTTTAAATATTTTAACCCGTTAATATCAGCCACATTAAAATATAATGGAAATAGTAGAAAATTCCAGAATATTACCAATCGATTTTTGTAATTTTCGTAATTATTGTTGCTGGAATTGTTGGGGTAGTTACGGTTAATCTACCATCTACGCTTTTACTGTTTTACATAAATATAAAACAAATACATAGTGTGTTAACATTTACAAAAAAGAACATAATAACTAAAAGTTAAATAAAACTTTTACAAATTATTATATTAAGTAGGTAACATATTTATAAAATTAATTTTGTCTTTGTTTTTCATTAAAAAAAATGGCTTAACACCCTGTATATAAAACAAAAACATTAGCCACAACAATGTTGGTAATTTGTGTTTTGTTTTAGTTGTAGTTTACGCTGATTATAGTATATTACACAATTTCACAAACTTTATTCGGTAAAAAGTTTTGTGATAAATTTTAGGAGCAGAAAGTTAATATTTATTATGTATTTAATAACATTGCGTAAAATTTTGTAATGCCATCCTTATTTAAAATCATATCATCGCAAAGTGATTACTCAAGTTCTTTTTTCTTTTTTTCTTTCTTTTTTTTATAACAGTACACAAATCATTCTTGCTTTGTTCCCTGTGACAATTCTTACCCTTTCTCGCAACGAAAAAAAAGTGCGTGGTCGTGATTCGAGCGTACGATTGCACTTCCAGAATGATTTTGGAGGCAAGTGCGCAGAGCAGGTGGAACCTCGTGGTGTTGTATCGACCGACCAGGGCAGACTCGGTGCCGCCACCGTCGCGGCGTAGCGCCACCGGCAGCGCCGTCGCCACAGCCGCCGCCAGTACGACATGTGACGCTCGGCCCGCGCGGTTCCCAGCCAACATGGGCAATGGAATGAACAAGGTTAGTGTGTTACGAGTCCACGTTATAATCACACCCAATTTTTGTTATTTTCAATCAATTTTGCGTCAATTATTAGTGACAATGATGAAAATTAAACATAAATATCACTTTAAGTATATTATAATTAAAATTTATGCATAGAAGAAGTAGGAAATCAAGGAAATGCTAATTTTAGCTGAGGGTATTATTCGTAGCGGTGATAAAAACGCACATGTTCATTACGCTCAATGCCTTTTATCCTAATGAATTAAAACTTTTTTGTCGTTGGTGGTAATTTATGACATGTTGACCCAATATGCTACCAATCAGTGGTTTGTTATTGTTTGCTTGTTCTCTTCTTGTATTCTTGCTTTTCGTTTTCTTTTCGTTTGCGTTGCGTGCGCTTAGATCAATTGCGGCAAATTGCGACATGCGAAATTGTTTTATGCTTCGCGGTGACACGCGAGCACAATTAAAATACAATAATTTATATTTTTATTTTAACATGCATTTTTTACTTTAGCAACTTTTCTTGCTCTAGAATTTTCATTAAGTGGTTTATTATTCTTTGTGAAAAATAATCATATTTTAGAATTAATATGTATTATTTATTCAAAGCTTTGTGTTTTGCGTGTGTGGGTTGCTTTTACTCTGCGGTGCGCCTCGAGCAGTAGCAGAACATCAAACACAGCGCGAACTTTATCGATAACCGAGAGTATTATTACTCTTGTGGCATATTCCGCGCGATTTGGTATTTTAGGTTATATTTTATTACCTGTTAGTTATTCGCTGTAGTACTTTATAGCTTTGTGCGTTTTGTTGGCATGAGAATTGTTAATTACCTAACTAAGCAGCATAGCTCTTTCTATGCTGTTGCTATTAATAATTTGATCTTGGCAAAAGCAAACATCGTCTTGTCTCGTTTTATTGATGAACTGAAATATCTGTTTATTGAGTAATAAATAAATTAAAAAAGAGAGTAAATAGAGTAAATTGCCACGATTAGTAAGGCAATTTAGTTTATTTTGTTATAGTTTGAGGCATAAGTGCACAAAAGCACTAACATGCAGGTAATTGCAATCAACAAATAGCATTTATTAGCTATTCGGGCGAACTTTAAATCCGCTGATCAATAAATGTAGGCTTAAAATAATTTTTAATGAAATTAACTTAATTTTGTTATTTAGATAAAAATAAAATTCATGTAGGTACTTGTGTGTCAGGAACCAATTGAAACGTATTCTAATTTTCTTTTTTATTCTACTGTCTAAGATTGAAGTGCATATACAAAACTTGCGATTATGTTCAACGGTTATGTCGTTATTGAGGAAATTATCTTTATCATTTTTTCTGATATTTATAAATGATATCTTTTCCGAATGGAGAAAAATCGATTTAGTCGTTTTTTATTTATAAATAGCGGTAATATAAACACAAGGTAAACAAATGAATATTTGAACGGTACATTCTTAGGCAATTCTTAAATTTAAACAAAAAAGCAAATACACATTTTTCGTGTTGTAAAAGTCTCAAATTTCACATTTAATATGCAATATGTATTAGTGTATAAAAACTTTATTATAAAAATGAAGTCGTGTTAGTTACAACATTTATCACCCAACAACAGCTGAACAGATTTTGATGATCTATGAATTGTTGTAATAGTCTTCGCCGCGTATAGCAGAATAACTATTAAAATATCAAACATTATGATATAAAGGCTGTTAAATAAAAAATAAAAATTGCTATAAATATTCTTTCATAGTTATAGGTTAATAATTGAATCCGAGATGGCGTTAAAGTTCATTATTAGCATTTTTCATTTCTTTAAAATAAAATTGTGATTGCTATTGATGAAATCGACCCATACAAAGTCCAAGAAAGTAAAAATTAATTGCATTTTTATTAAAAACTTCACGGACACCGTCACTGTGGAAAATTTATAAAAGTTAAACAAAAGTTGCAAATGCAAAGTTCAACCGGCGATATTTAAAGTGATATATATATTCTAGCGTTAAGTACGACCGGGCGCGATACGATATTCGATGATCGGAGGTGCGGGAACATTTCAACCCGCTTGAAATTAACCAACGCGTAATTACCGCTCATAATTAACGCTATTAAATGACCTGTGCGGTAATTTGCAGTCCGACGAGCATGAAATATTGAATTACGTTAACCAAGCTCAAAAAATTCAAGAAAAATTTGAAGTTCATCAAAAAACCATTATTATCCTAATTTCATAAATATTACAGTGTATAATAACCATAATAACAATAAATAATTTTGAGGCTTAGTTAAGGTTAATAACCTTTAAATTTCATACATAGAGGCATTCTTATCGTGGCATACCTTCTACCTTCGCAAGGATTATGATTAAGTATAAAAGCGGAGCAGGTCACACAATAGAGGGGCGTAATGGGTGGCAGGATACCAGCCTGCGTGGTTGGTGGGTATCGCTCGATAGTTTGCCTTTATGCCTACATAATTTATGCGTGAGCTACTATATGGTTGTTTGCCAATAAACTTCCATCAATCATAATCCTGCATCAAAATATTTTTATCTATTTTTGTGTTTACAAAACGCAGAAAACTTACTTCGGATACGATTTTTATTTGGCAGATGATGAAGTGAAGTTATCAGATGGTAAGGATTCATACGTGTCTTTTGCAAGTCAGTATTGATTTACTAATGGAAATGTGTATTTCAAACTAGCTTCATTGTGCTTTTGCTTTTGGATTTTCATTCGACGATGATTAATGATAACCTGAGGTAAATTAGAAGATTACAGTGGAAGCCTTGAACCAATTCGCGATTCGATCTATCGACCTAAAATCTACAGGTAAATAGAGACTGTACGTTAACCTCACTTTTATGCTAAATTTATTTGACTTTGACATGGCTTTAAACCAGGTTAAATTACGTCGTGTTAAATCAATAAGTGGTTGCAGTTTGAAACTATACAAAATATATGAGTATAAAAGCATGGTGCGGTGCCAAAAAGTTATTTAGAGTTAAATATTGGACATGGAATAGCATTCAAACTGTTCAACTTGTTAAAATAAACAACGGTTTGTATAAGAAGCCAAAATGTCACACAGGTATGTCGATGTTTCCGTCATTTTGCTGAGTTGTTGTTTCCGTGGGATGTGGTTGTTTGCTGCGGAAATGTAATTTATTTAAATCAGGAATTTTGCATTCGGGTAAAATCAAAACTTTTGCATACTTACTTGAAGCCACAAACAAATTGGAGGGCAAGGAATCTTCTAGAATGTTTAATAAAGTTTTATTTTTCTGCTTTTATCTTGTTTTTCAAGTCCAGCATGAAAGCCATGTTGTATATCAAACAGAAAAAACAAATTTAATTAACTCTGTGTGTATTTGGTTGCATATCAATCATTGATACTTAATATAAATGTAACTTTCACGAAGTATAGATATAAGGAGTCCGAACGTCATGTTAAATTAATGGTCACGATCTAAGGGACAAAACATTCGCCAATAGAGCGCGCCACTTACTACTTAGTGTACTTGTTTAAATACTTACATTACTATGGACACCGCCAATATTTCACAAGATACATGAAATTATGACATATTTTTAAATCTTTGGGCTATTAATTATAAATTAATTGTTTATAACGCATATTTTTCAAAGATATTACTCACCTTTGGTGCTTTGAATAAAACTACTTTTTCTACCTTCTCACTAGTCTTTCGGCCACTAAAACATCCTGGAATAGCACAACACCTTCCCATTTTTTGACACTACTAATTTTCAATAAATAAATTAGTTCAAAAAAATAATACTATCACGTTCCAATTCAAATTAATGTATACATACATATAAAAGTTAAAAGTTAACAATATGGATAACGCATTCGACAAAGTTAAAAAATATGTATTTTTAAATTTAATTGAATTCAATTAAACATTTACAAATCAGAACGTGTTCACGTGTAATAATAATCACGAAGTATCTAAACACAGGAACGTTATGTAAACAAATTGTCTCAATGTTGCTATGAACACGAACCAACGTACATCGGTTCACTCGCAAACCATGCGCAGCCAGTGGCAGAAAAGAGAAACTATTAGCTTTGTATATAATTGTGAACCATGGCTACGACGTAAAAGCCTATACCGTTCGGACTCCTTATATCTATACTTCGTGGTAACTTTAATCCCGTGCATACATAGATGCTTTTGAATTCGAGAAGAATAGATTCGCTTTGTTTCACCTAACCTAGAAATAGCCGAGTGTAACCGAATGGGTGACACAAAAGAGTGAAAAGCAGAAATAATACTTTGACAAGTGTCATCTCAGCGTCGTCATTATCACGCCTCTGAGTGCTTCATCGACAGATAATTAAAGTGATACGGACGTATTGTATTGTTCTATACCAACCAGTCAGACACAATATCTACTCATCTCATCGGACAAGATTGTTTCTCGTGTAAACCGTGTAAATTGTGCGCTGATTTGTGCACATCGCGGGGTTATGTTCGCTTTCATATCCGATTGTGTTTGCATTCGCAAAAGGGAAACGCACGAAGTGAATCGAAGTAAATTCGGCATGAGTCGGGTATGTTAAATGTTTAATTCTAAATAATTTATTACTACAACTGTATTCATATCATACTATATAAATCAAAATATTTGACTGAAAGAAAGTGCTTGCAATGCGGCGATAATTAAATTACTGCCGAAACAACGCAGAGCAATACTGTTTATATTATGAGTGTGTTTAGTTTCGGTTGTATTTTTAACAGCATCATGAATTGCGTGGTCAGTGTTTATGTGTATAACTGGTTGCTTACTATTATCCACTTCACATGGAATACCTTTAACGTTATTACTGCGAAATTCACTCCCCGATTCGACTTGCACCCCTCTCATTTCCAAAGTGTGAATCACCGAGTATAGTACACTACAATCCCATGGGTTATACGCCAAGTTTATCTTGTACATAAATCTGCAGAATCTATTTGCGTCCAAATAACGTATGCTATTGTTACTCACGTCGATATACATGTAAGTGCGTTTTAACTTTGATGTCCAGTGATATTCGCGGAAATAACTGATTTGATTGTGGCTGTAGTTCACAGCTGTGATGGTATCGGGCAAGTTAACATCAAATATTGAATTGGTTAACTGATTGTATGACAGATCCAAAGAGCTGAGACTTTTTAGCATTCTGAACAACTCCGGGTGGATTGATTTTATGCGATTGTGACTTAGATAGAGTGAATTTAAAGTGGTGAAATTGTCAAAAGTCTCTACATGTACGTCTGAGATATAATTAAAACTTAAATCTATCGAAATTAATCGGAGTTTGTAAAACTCGCCGAGTGTATTGTTGTTTAGTGAGGTTATGAGATTTCCGCTAGCTTCCAAAATGGAGTACTGTTTGCCCAGCGAAGTTGAATTGAACGTCATTGAAAGATTCTGTAGGTGGTTATTGTTTAACACTAGTTTAACACCACTTTTTACATTGGATAAGGTAACAGGATGTAGAAAATCCAAGTCGTTAAGCGACAAATCAATCAACTCAGCTGATTGAAGGTAGAGTAGTGCTGTTTGTGGTATACGCTTGATATGATTGTTGTTGATGTTGAAGAAACGCATTTCCCTGCTGGTGAATTCGTAGTCAGGCACTTCGATGATGCGATTCCCGGCCAGGACGAACACTTCCAGATTGGTGAGCGTGTGGAAAGTGCCCGGTTCAATGCGGTCGATGAGGTTGTTTGCGAGGTAGAGCTGACGTAGAGACACGAGTCCCAGAAAGGCGCCGGCTTTTATATCCCGAATGCGGTTGTTGGATAGGTCTAAGATGACGGTTGGCCGACATAGGCGAAACATGCCAGCGGAGAGGCTTTCTTCGGACATGTTGCGGAAGAGGATGTTGAGGAATATACAGTGGGTTTTGATTTGGACTGTGTGCATTAGTGTTACTTGATTGCAAACTGTCGGGCCGGAACATTCCATGTCTTGGGATCTCACCCAACCGGAGATGATTAATAGCAATACTATTAATTTTATATTAGGGGTGAAATGGTTATATTCATATGAAGCTAAAAAATTCATATTTGTTAGTAATAATTAATAATTTAATGAATATTTTATTTTGCACTTACCCATAATTTTTAATATGCGATGGAAAACGTGTAAAAATACTTTGCGCGCGGAACGCATCGTATTAACCTATTTATAACAGTCGTGTATTGATTTCCCCATGCATCGGTATAATCGAACGACGTTAGTAATGCGAGAGTTTATCAATAAGTTTCATACGATCGCGGCGGCTGAGTGTAAATCGGAAATTAGTAATGTCGCGAAATTCAATCGGTGAGTTGCATTATCGCCGTTGCTGGCTTTAGTCATCCTAGTTGAAATGTAGTTGTCTTCATCAGGTGACTGCACGATTTTAATTAGTGATGCAGACGATGACTTCAACTTTGACAACGGCAAGTTAATTAATCATCGCGCACGAGTTTTGCTCATTTTCGAATTCCAGGTTGTTTATGAACTTGAAAGTTTATTACTTACGCATTTCTTTGAATGTTATATAGGAGCTGAGAATGTTTTCAGTTTAGAATTTTAAACTTACGAGTATTTCGAGTAACACAGAATAATTTGTGAAAGGTTTGTTTCTTAAATTTTATTTTTTGTTTGCAGGTGTTACCCGGTTTGTACATAGGAAACTACAGGGATTCAAAGGACGCGCAACAACTGGAAAAGCACAAGATCACACATATCCTTGCTGTACACGACACTGCACGACGGTTACATCAAGTAAGTAATTTCTTTTTACTATTTTAGACTAACTTAAGTAATTTGTTACCTATATATAAAAATGAATTGAAAAATCTGTTGGTAAGCGCATAACTCAACAACACCATTACCAATTTGGCCAATTCCTTTTTTTTTTAAATGTTCGTTAAAGTCTAAGGTTGGTTTTTACGGCGAGAAAAATTCGAAAAATTGCCGGGAAAACCCTAAAGACAGCCCTTTTCTATAGGATAAAAGTTGGCATTGAGATTCAATCATAGTTATAGTTAAATAGTTCAATCCGAGATGGCGCGCTGAAGTGCATTATTAGCAATTCTTTATATTATTAATTTCTTTAAAATAAAATTGCGAATCTTTTTGATAGAAATGACACATACTATGGCTAGAACAAGAGAGTGAAACCGAATTACATTTTTATTAAACACTACCGGGACGAAGTCGCGGGCAAAAGCTAGTTACTAATATTATTCATTTTGGAAAATGTATAAAATTTAGGTATTTATGAATGGTTCTGTGTCTGGCAAATGCCAATGTTGAAATCAACATTCTTTGCATATTAAGCTCTCATTTATATCTGACAAAGTTTGCTTTTGCCGTCAACTTTTCCAGTTTTTTTCGTTTTGTAGGCTTTTATTTGCACGGATTTCTCCATTCCGCTCAGATTAATTCGAGAAACTGATTAATCAAAACCGACTGCTCGTTCTTTTTGTTTTATTTCCATTTCTCCACCAGCAAGCAGCGCTTATTTCTCATCTCGTTTGTTTTTATACTTTTATTCTTCACGCTTGCGGCGTTGAATAAAACTTTTCCGCTTTTTTCCCGTTGCATTTTCTGTTTTCCTGTTTGTGCAGGCAAGCAATCAAAATTAATTGAATTTTTTGCTGTGTGTGCATATCATACAAATAAATTTGTTCTTTTAAATGCATGCAGGTTAGTTTTAAGATTTTTTCAAACTTACCCCTTCTATGGCAACGCAATAGACTCAATAAAATTGTTGACTGCGAGGGGAGACGAGTAAAAAAGTGAGCGAACAGGAATGAAAACGTAAAAAGAAAACGGTATAACGTCACATTAAAAATTGAATGAACGACGCACGTGCGTTTTTTCTTATTTTATTACAACCTCAACGTGGCATAAACGCAGTATGTCTTACTTGAAGGGCTCAAGCATGTTTAGTATCTGTCATGCATAGCAACAATAAAAACAGAAACGTGCGTGGAAACGTAATTTTGTATTTATTACTGACGGGTGCGTTATTTTTGGATATATGTAGTTTAGAATAGGTTATACGGTGTTTTTGATTATTTTATGGAACCAGTTATACGCTATTATTGAATTGCATGAAAATGTCATCTTTTCGCGTTGATTTACACTTGAATTTCATGAATTTTTCATAACCCTAAGCACGTCGCGCGATTTTCACGTAATTCCGACGATGGTATCTCGTTTGATGTTTGCCTCGGCGCATTTTAGTGCTTTACACTGCTTCATTCGCCGCAATTTATCTAATAATGTCGGCGCTTTCGTCGCTTTGCTGATTCGCTGATTCGTTGCTTTACAAGCATCCTAGCAACCTGCCTTGAAGCTGCTTTCTGCCTTTTGCTTTTCGCATCGTATTTTGCGTCGCACCAAAACAACACAAACAATATGCGCACGGACGTACGTCATACGTGTTACAATCCTTACATTATTCATCCCTTCATCTGCATCTCATTCACACTCCATTTCGTTGCGATTGTGATATACACAAATATTACCTAACCTAACACGATTCTAAATTCTATTATGGCGACACTGTTGACACGTTGGCGCTGGGCGCGAATGAATTTGCACAATTAATGCTGCGCAAACACGTTGTGCTGTTGTTCGTCCGCGTTTATTGTGTTTTATTAGTTAATCCTTCAATCTCGGCGCGGTTTAGCTCACCACAAACCGCAGTCACGTTAGACTGGTAGAAGTTGGAAATTCATATAAGCCCTCAGCGCTCACCCGCTCGTCTAATGAAACACGATGGTTGCTCGGGGCCCGCTTGTTTGCTTCGATTATAACGAGGTGCATTCGGCTGGCGATAATTTGGTAGTCATTTTATGTCAGTCAAAACCCGGGAGGCCTGAAATTGAAGCCATGTTGTATAAGGTACAGCGAGTAAGTGGGGCAATCGTGAACGAACGTGACTTTTGACCGCGGCGAGCACTGATCTCGAGGATTTGCGGCTACTCCCGATTTCAGGTCCTTTCAGGAGTTTCAAAGAGGGTAGAAGGAGTCGAAAGTCAAGTTGACGGTTGTCATCGACCGGTTTCCTTCTCGCTGTTTTCAGAGTTCAAAGAAACTACGGAACAAACGACAAAAATAACGCGTAGTAGATTAGATTATAAAATTCAGGAAAGTTATTTTGGTAACAATTATTTACTTGATTTAGGTAATTTCTTTCTTGTATGAAAAATTGAAATAAAAGACAGATAAGGATAACATTTTTAAAAATTCAATTGTTTTTAATGCTTTTTGGTGACTGTAAGGCTTTTATTTCGAATAGAATCAAAAGAAATCATCCAAATAGAACCCAAAACTAATTTAACTCAAAAGCGCACCGAGAACGCTAATATTCCATTACTCTGCACTCTGCGCTTTAATTCGCTGCGGCTTGAAAACTAATAATAATGAACACTAGAGCACTAGAAAGCGCGCAGTAGGGATGTAGGAGGTAGAGCTAACCTAAGCTTGAACCCGAAGAGTGAGGAACCTTGAGACTTGCGACTATACTATCGGTCTACTCAGACACGACTGAGAACTGTGATGGGGTTGTAAACGAAAAAAAAAACACATTTTTTTTTCGGAAAACATTTAATAAATATGACAATAAATAAACAAACAATTTAAAATTACTTACACAGTAAAAGTTTTAAAAAAATGTTACAATTTAATTCTATTTTAAATGCAGTACCTTCCTACATGGATTACTTGCATGTTTTAATTTAGAACTGTGATTGAGAACTGTGATTGCTTTGCGTTGCTTTTTTATACCTGCGGGCATCCCGCAAAAATGGGTGGGTAGACACAGGTTTTAATGCACCTTTAATCGTGTGGTAGCAGGCCCCTTTTCTAGCTATTTTTATTCATGAAATATTTTTGCTGGGAGTCACACATGCCTCATGAAAAACATTTGGCCTGGGTGACTTTTCCGACACTAATTCCCTCGTTTTTGTTGTTACAGGATAAGCACTACTTGTGCGTGATGGCGTCGGACTCGCCAGATCAAAATCTCACGCAGTACTTTCCCGTCTGCAATGATTTCATACATGCAGCGCGCCTGCGCGACGGAAACGTTCTTATTCATTGGTAAGTATTAATGTTACAATTTGAGTCATAATTTTAGAAAGACACAGCATCTATTTACGCGCAACGTGTACGTGCGCGTTATAAGTTACTGGCTTTACAACATTCCCTAGGGGGATGTGCAAAAGAAAACTGTTGCGCCTTCCTGGTGTTAGTTGTGGTGTTCATAAGCCTCGGTAAAGCCACTCCAACGCTCGTAAAAGGCATTTTTTATTCTCGCGACGATTGGCGAGCGTTATAAGCGCCGTAAGTTAGCATAACGCGCGGCACTCAAGTGCCATTTACGTTCGTTAGCATTTTTTTATCATCACAACACGCCCCGTGAATAATTGCATTGTTGAAATGCACTCCGCTATAACAACAGTAGCGCCAAGGACGTCAAAACGATATCAAGGACAGTTCATAAGTTTCACAACTTAGGAGTATTTACGAGAACTTACGTCGTTACGCGTCTTCCTCTTATTCAGAAGTGGTGCTTATGCAACTTTAACGACACTTAAATATAACTTCATTCCATTCCCAAGCTTTATTATGCAATTCAATTGCAATGGGTTCGGTGCAGATTCTACGTTAATCGCCCATTTTATTGGTTATTGACGATTGCGGTTATGTATTTTCAGTTTGGCTGGAATGTCACGCAGTGTGACGGTTGCAGTGGCGTACATCATGACCTGCACCAATCTGCCGTGGAAGGACGCGTTGAAGGTTGTGCGTGCGGGACGTGCTGTTGCCAACCCGAACTTTGGCTTCCAGAAGCAGCTGCAAGAGTATGAGGATTCAAAACTTTTCGAGGTAAGTGTGATTATTAGGTTTGCTTAGTGAAACTATCTTTGTTTATTATTGCACACTTTAGCTAAAATAAACCTCATGTTTTTCTTTAGGAAAGGCAAAGATTAAAAGAACGCTTTCCAAGTTTAGCGCTAGTCTCGCGGGACGAAGAGCAGTGCGCGCTGATGCTCAACAACTATGAGCAGTTGATCCTCTCTAGAGCAATCTGCGATGGGAGGTGCGTGATGGGGCAGCAATGTCCGACGGGTGTATGCCGCACGTCCAATTCGCGGCAATCGCGCCGCAGGAACAGCAAGTCGCAAAGGGAGGAGAGAGCGGCGAGTTTATCGCGAAGTCCAAGTGTATCAAGTGTACGGCCTAGATCTGGACCGGCTGGATTACATTCTTATACGGGTAATGGTAAGCACACCATTAACACATAATTGCACACTCGGGTAACAAAGAGAACTTTTTATGGATATTCACTTAAAGAACTTTAAACGTTTTTTAAAAGCACTTCTACAGCAATCCTGGTATATATTTTGATATAGTGGTTTATTCAACTCTGCATTATTGATTTCTACTTTAGATGAATTTTTGATGATGAACTTCCTATTGTGACTTGTGTCCGCTTTCATCACGAAGTTTGAATCGATACACAATTATTATTTCATTTGTTTCCGTTTATGTATTTAACATTTTCATGTGAATTTCTATATTGGGTTTTCCTAAATTTATCAGAGAAAAATCAGAAGTTCTATTCCACCAAACGCGAAAACTCAATAAATTCATCGCACTCTCCAAAGTGAATCCCATTCATCCGTGTCGGATCGATTTCCTCGTAAACGGTTTCTAGCCTCCGCAGCTTTGCCGATTTGCGTGCTTCAAAGGCATTAAACTGCTTTCAATGCTCAATACGGTTTCTGATTTTCCATTTTATCACATAAACTTGTCTTTGCATGCTGAATTTGAAAAGTTTTAATCCGTAATGGTGTATTGTGATAGCAGGTGGATCATCAGCACCGCCTTCACGATCCGGTTCACGCGTGGATCTTAGTTACGTCGGTGGGACGCTGACAGCGCCTAGTACCCCACAGTCCAGCCCACCCGTGTCACCCATCCGCCGTCGCACCACCGTCACGCGTCATGTACCTCTCAAGGAAGTTACCGGCACGTAACACCAGTCGTCGTCTTCGAAACTACGCCACCTACACCTTTTCAATCAAAGGAAATATAGAAGAACTGGGTAAAAACAACAACATGGCCGACTGTGACATCAACGGGTGTACATTAAATTCGACTTCCCTCCACGAAAAATTTTCTATTTACACGAATCTTACATTGTACATTGGCTACAGCGCTAAAGGTAAAATGCGGAAGTTTTATAGGCAATCAATGGGAGTTAAATGGTGGTGGGGGTTGAGCGCATGAAAATTTCTAATATCAATGAATCCGAACCCATTTTAAACGATATATGTAACCTCGGGCTAACATCCCGCTAATGCGGTGATCTCATCAAGTTTTTGTGATATTTGAGGCGATTGCTTAAAAGAAAGATCCGCGCGCACAGACATACGCACGATTGTATTTTACATGAAACAAAACTATCGAGTTATCAAACCATACAAAAGATGTAAATCAAATAACTATATTCGTAGACAAAATAATATTTGCTTACAAATGTAAGAAATGTAAGCTTACCATAACAGCGTGATTACAGGTTGTACAAACAATCAAAGATTTATATTTTCATCAAGAAAACAATATTTTATGTATCATCGAATACCTCACGCCTTGCCTCAAGATAGTATCATTGTCATCGCAATATCATTGATTCAAAACAAAATCAATTTGAAGTTTGTGGTCAATGTGATTGTAGAATATGTAGAAGTGCGTTACTAGACTATCCCAAAAATGAAACCAAAGAAACACAGATATATTATACACGTTATCACTTAAGAGATTTAAAAAAAGTTGAGGAAAACAGAGAGTTTACATTGTAGGATAGTTCAAAGTGCATAACGCTATGCTGTCGCTGCAAACCGGGCGGTATTTTATTAATCAATCGGCAAGGAATTGATATATCACAATGTTTTATGCAGCATAACGCAAGCAGCAACCAGCAAACAATGCAAAATTCAAATGCACGGTATATTTACACTAGCGGTACAAGATGCAACTTGTAAGATTTATTTGGTTTCTTGTTTGAATGGAAACTTAGTATAGGTAAGACGAAACAATACTAGTCTAGCACGTATCAAGAGAATCAAGTACGTAGCATATAATAATCAATGAATTTTGCTCATTTTTATAACCGCAATGAAGGCAAAGAAGACACACAGAACAAGCGCACCAGCGCACGTATGCACGCAGATATATAGTGTTGGTGAAATATCAAATTGCAATAAGAACTTCTACGGATACTTTGGTTTATTATTGTAATCATTTGTTGACGTATTAGTTGTGTAGATTTGTTATGTTACTTTGTATTATGGGGGCCACAAACAATGTGAACAATGTATAGAATTGAACTAAAGATTTATAGTTGCAAATGTATCAGAAATCAAGTACACGTAGCAATATAATAGGCAATTTGATGTACAACCAACAGTAATAACCTAAACTACGCGAATTACAATAGTTTCTAACCTTTTCGTTCGTAAAATTTCATTTTAAACTGTAATTGCTGCGTTTGTTTCATGCGCACACGATCACAACGATATATATTTTAATTATGATGTGTGTTAATGTACAGAATGTTACGTTCATTGTTTAAAATTGTTTTAAGCTAACTTGTACATAGAGCACGATATTTTGTCCTAAACTCTCTTATCGTAGAGATCAGAAATTAAATCCACGACGGTTACAATGCGTGAAAAACAAAGTTTTTATATGATATGTATAATATTATACACTATTTGTAAGTGTGCAAATAAGAAGCGGCACAAGTGTTAAAATTGCAGCTGGATGCAAACACGCGCAGAGTTTATTATTACCAAAGAAAATTATTATATTGTTACGATGATGAATGCGATGTTACCAATAATTGCAAAGATATTGAATTATTTAGCGATATTATAATCGCAGCGCGATGCGAAATGTACCTGTCTCTTTCGTTGTTACAAACAGTGATAGGTAATTGTTTTTCAGCTTAGAAGTGCCCTTATTTCTCACCTAGGTGGATTGCGCAGGTTATTCATTTAATAAAGTATTAAAATGATGTTTCTGACTCATAAAATGTTTCTTAAAATTAGCGTTAAGTTTTATTTGTCGTCTGCAGTATACTGATACCAATGTGTTTAAGCAAATTTTTTTATTTTGATGTTTATTATGAGTATGATGGAATTGATTCTTGTTTGGAAGGGTGAATTATCGGGAACTCTTATCGCTGGTTGTTATTTCTCGTTGCTGCGTTCTTACTTATGCAGCGCACGTTTTCCAGTTTTGCTCCGGTTGTCGCTTGGTTCGCACGTAAATTTTACGTTTCTGTACGTGTGTTGTAATTTTAATTCGGTAAATTGTGTTTGTATTAGATCTACAACCATAGACTGTCGATGCACGGGTATTTATTACTTGTGCACGGAATGTTCGTGAGGGGCGATTTACCTTTCTTCTCTCCGTACTTTTTCACTATTCATGACGGATATGTAGTGGAAAGCGTTTTGATTAAAATATTTAAATCGTAAAATACAATACATTACAATATAATGATAAATATTAGCATAAATGTCAGAGCTTAATGACAATCCATGTGTTTAGTGATTTGCAAGCGTTAATTTATACGTGAGATTATATAAAACTAATGTCTTCATTTGTGTTTGAGCGGTCTGGCTGGCTATTGGATTATTTTGATGCTGAGAAATAGAATTGGATATATGATTCCTAACAATTGTGAGTGCAAGTAGGTACCTAGGTATATGTAATCCACGTTTGTTCATGGTAGAACTTCAAGAGTACTTAACATTATCGGTTACAATACTGCTTGTAAAATAGGTCCATTATCCGACGGGTGGACTTAATAAGTGAGGGAGCATGGAATCGCATGAGGTTTTTCGTTTTATTTTATTTGGTATCATACTTTTCGTCCAGTTTCCCTTTATTTTTTTGCATTTAGTTGAGAAAATAAATTTCCGCAAATCTTTAGTTAATTGCAGGTTTTATTCTTTTTGTTATGAAATATTGTTACATTTTATTTAGATGAATTTCAGAATTGTCTCTTCTTGTTTAACTTTTAGTGCTTATTGAGGTTTGGGTATAAACAATTTTTTTATCGCGTTGAACCAGCTCCATGCTGCTTCATGCTACAAACCTTCGAACGTTTCAGTCTGTTCTTATCTGCACGCGGTTCACTACCTTCCTTTCTTTTATTTCAATTAATTGAACTGCATTATATGTACATTTTATAGATAAAATGCAGTACTTGATGTCAATAGACGTAATTTTAATGGTAACCTAGAGCGTGGTAGCTCGTAGCACTGGTTGCTGGTGATGTGGTCTGTGGACGGTGGCCCCAAAGAGCTGCACCAAGGCTTGAGGATATGTAGCAGAGTACAGGTTACAAGCTCTTGGTGAGGAGTGTCAAGGATATGTAGCTGGCTAGCGAACTGCACGGTACAGGATATGACTCTAGTTTATTTCCAAAATTTCTCACTATATATATATCGACCTCCGAATGCCTTACGCTAACATGTATTTATTAAATCCTAAAGTTTAGATCCCTATCATCTATTTGTTCCGTCATTATGATTACGCCGCGGTCGCCCTACGCTATCAACTATTTATTAAGACATTATGATTAATATTCTATCACCTAATTACTAAGATATTGACGTCATATTGATTAGGCCGTGGCCGCCTCGATAGTTCATTGCCCTGTTCAATGTTATTGACTTGAACATATCTTAAATTTTGTCGACAATGAGAGTTGGAATTGGAAATACATACATATACTATTCTTAATTCCGAGTACGTGCTATTAACGCCTGTTCTCGGCCAGATATCACAGGCGCGTAAGAATGTCAGTTTGCTCGCAATATTCGAAACATTGTTGGCCAAAAGTACCGCTTGTAGTGCAAGTGCATTATCCGACAGAACGGACTTATTGAGCAGCTATGTAGCATAGTGTGAGTTTTAGCACACGTGTCCTTTCTGTTTCAATATTTTCTCTGATCATTTGCTACTTTTGTAATAATAAATATAAATATTATTACATCATAATTACATTTTAGTATTTGTGTTTCATTTCTACCGCGTGTGAACTGCACACATAATTTTTTTACACTTGCGAATATCTCGTAAACTAAAAGAAATAGACAGGAACGAATTGCAGAGTCTTAATCTACGGACAATTCTCTACCAAATAAGCTAGTTAATTGGATATTGAAAAAAATTTCGACGGTTTTTGATAGTGAATGTCTTCTAAACTAAAAGCGCTAGAATCCAACGAATTGCAGATTCTGAAAGATTGGAAAATTCTCTATTAGATTAGAATATAAAATGATTAAATATCGTAGGGTAAAAAGACGAAAAATGTGATTAAAAGTGCTAAAAATTGAAATTTTCCAAATTTTGACGATTTTTTTTCAATTGCGAATATCGTGTAAACTAAAAGAGATAGAATGGAACAAACAACGCAACAACAACAACAACAAATCTACGGACAATTCTCTATCAAATAAGCTAGTTATATTGGATATCTAAGAGATGAATTTTTAATTCATAAGGAAAAATGGTCCTTTTTTTAAACTGTTATAATATCCAAAATTAATTGTCAAAGTGACTGAAAATTATTTCTAATAATAGTTATTTAAGTAAAACGAGGGCATTACAGACGAGAATTGATTGGTAGCGAGCCTTTAACAACGTTTAGCCACGAGGTGCTTACGCTATTTTTTCTACTTCCACTCTAGTTCCACGTTGCGGTGTTTGTATTTCAACTTTAGTTCCACGTTGCGGTTTTTGTTTTTCAACTTTTGTATTTGAAATCATCGAAATTTGCTCGCACACTACAAACTGTAAGGTTATAAGTGCCATGCCGCGCGCCGGCCCATGTGACGCTTCGGTTCCTATCGTACCCCTCCGACACGAGCAGCAGCATTTGACTGACGTCGCATGGCATTTCATACCGTCTTGTGCTGCTCCGCAGGCAAATGCGCGGGCGGCTGCTCCGTCCGATGCATAATGCAAGTACATAATGAATATGATGCACGGCTTGGCCGTCCATTTATAAAGTACCACGTTTTGAGTCTAAATACCGTGGATAAACTGGCGTTTTATAGGTGGAAGTAGAAAAATATCTACTATTTAAATGCGGTTGCAATAAGTATTATGTTTATAATTGGAATTATATTCGAGTTCTCCCTTAAGTGACCCCCAATACCCGCTTTTATCCTAATCTTGTTCATAAACTGTTCAAACTCAAAAGTCCAATTATGTCTACCACTATCTATGTAGTAGTTAGTAGTATTTAAAATACTACACACGGTGCCGTCATGCTCTACGCCACAAAATATAGAAATAAGAAAATATAAGTGTGCAATTTAAAATAAATGAAGAAAAAATCATAAATTAATGGTGATGCTGTTTGATAAACACAAGGATCATAATATAAAGAAGCTGTTTAATTAATGGGAGTCACCCACATATCCACGAAACAGTACTTGCGAATAACGCGTAAACGGCGTCCCTACCCCCGCTTTGGCCCCGCAGTGTCACCCCCGAAAAATTATTGAGATACGCCGGTGTTATATTTTTGTGCCCCGCTGATCTAATTTTACGTCAATGCAAATTAGGAGATAAATGTCGAAAATCTTGTAATATTCGAATCCCACTTAAAATTAGGATTTTTCTTTAAAATTTTGTCATTTTCTCTTTCCATCACCTTGTATATTAATTTCCTTTGATTTTACTTTGACTGTGGTTTTAGATATAGGTATATTTCCCTACTTGAATTTTGCATTTTCCCTTTGTGCACGCGGTGGTGCGAAGTGGAGCGTGGTAGCTCGTGGTACTGGTTGCTGGTGATGTAGTCTGTGGACGGTGGCCACAAAGAGCTGCACCAAGGCTTGAGGATATGTAGCAGAGTACAGGTTACAAGCTCTTGGTGAGGAGAGTCAAGGATATGTAGCTGGCAAGCGAACTGCACGGTACAGGTTATGACACTAGTTTATTTCCAAAATCTCTCCCATATATATATCGTTACATTATTTGCATTTACAGTCATTAAGCTCCCGCATGTCTTACGCTAACATAATGATTAGGTCGCTATCATCTATTTGTTCCGTCATATGATTACGCCGCGGTCGCCCTACGCTATCAAACTATTTCTTAAGACATTACTATCACCTATTTACTAAGACATTGACGTCATCATGATTAGGCCGTGGACGTCTCGATAGTTCATTGCCCTGTTCAATGTTATTGACTTGAACATCATGTCTTACGCTAACATAATGATTAGGTCGCTATCATCTATTTGTTCCGTCATATGATTATCCTGAGTATCCTGGGGATGAAGCGTAGAGACATCGTGGCTGTAGAATGGGCCGGGCGCAATGAACGCATCGAAGCAATGATGACTGTTCTATAACGACACGCCGCCAAAAAATTCAAAAATCTGATCTCCACTCCTGTTCTCTTTCTTGTATCTCCTTTTCTCTCCTCTCTACTCTACCACTACTTCTTCTTTTTCTCCTATGTTCTCTGTTTCTCTATTTTTTCATTTGTTTGTCTTGAGTTTACATATGCAACCCAAATTACAACTGTTATTTTTATATTTGAGAAAAATGCCCTCTATAACTGGAGATCGAACCACCGATCTACGACATAGCAACATGTGCGATTTAGCGATTGCGATTGAAAACGTTTATTTATATTTACAAATGTTTACAATTTATATATACAGTTCTGCGTACCTACTTACATTTAAGCTTAACCTACAGGATATTGTTAATTGGTAGCAATTTATTTAGTGTCTACATACGATAGAATTGGTAAAAGTATTAAGTGGTAATTATTGTACTTTTAGGAAAAAAACGGTACAAAAAACCTAAATTTAGTGTTCCTCTAATACTTGAGGTGAATCAGTCTATGCCATTTGGCATTTTTGGTTTATTCATTAAATATGTTTAATGAAATACAATGGTAGTAGGGCTTCACGCGATACCGAGACTTTTCTCGTATCGTCTCGGTCTCGTCTCGGAAAAGCGAGACGATACCGAGACGAGACGTGTTTCAACAATTTCTCGGCGAGAGCGATACCACAATCCGAGTCTCGTTTTTGGTCTCGTTATTGGTCTCGTTAAATTTTTTTTATGAAGTTGTTGTTAGAAAAATGAGAAAAGGTCCAATATATGAAATCCAATATATGACCATCTGTGAAATATTTCTTATGTATATTCAAAAGAACAAGTCAGTAACCGAATATCATGACCTTTTTGACTTTTTGAAAGTTTTATGAAAATGTTGTCTTTGTTTACACATCCGGAGACATATTTTTGTGTTTTTCTGTACTTCTTGAAGCAAAGATATTGTATACATCTGGGTAAGTTAGGAATTGTAGACGTGCGCTGCTTACTTTCAACACAAATCTATTTGAACGATTTCAACGATCTAAAATGCTTGAAAATGATTATTTTAGCAAAACAGCACGTTTTGAGCTTTAATCTGCGTTTAAAATGCAATGCAATTACAATTACAATGCACTGAAACAACCAGCTCTTAATCAGCATGGTTATGCTTATAATTTTCTTTTTATGCTTTATAATTCAAATATTGCAAATTGATCCATCTGCTCAGTTTGCAGGTTAATAACAACATTAAAACAGTTTGTTGAAAAATTTACTTAATTTACTTAGTAAATTGTTAATTTTAAGGGAAATCTCTTTATTGCCAGCGTAGTTGCTGAGCATCATGCTTCCTCTTACGCATCGTTCAATAATCATGTTGATCATTCTTATCACCACAATGATCATCATGAACCACATGTAAACATTCAAATGCATTTGTTTTTCGTAGACCTTTTTATTCTTGATATAATCGCCAAAAAAATCGACCCTGTTCTTCAACCGAAAAATATTTTAACACAATAATTCGACCCTGGTTATTGACCAAAAAAGTTTTAAGTAAAAAAGTTTGATCCTGTTTTTCGACCGAAAAATTTTTCCAAAAAAATTCGACCGAAAAATGAAATTTATTGGACAAAAATAGCGATATTCGATTGCGATTTTAAGACATTTCTAAAGGGTGTATGGGGTTACAAAGGTATGCATAGTATAAAGGGTCTCTATAGTTTTAACATGACGTAAAGAAACTATAAGAAAAACAATTAATTCACGTGATACAATGTGTTTTCCACACCATGTTTTCAAATTTTCCTAAAATTGCTCATTTTTGAAGAGCATTTTAAGGCACTTCAAAAAGGGCTGGAAGGTATGAGGTGTATGCATCGTCTAGACAAACTCCTGACTCTCTTCTGGCGTAAAGAAACTAGAAGATAGTCAATTTGTTTACGAGATACAGGGTGTTTTCCACACTATTTTTCAAATTTTTCTAAAATTGCTCATATTTGAAGGGCATTTTCGGGCACTTCCGAAAGAGCTGAAAGTCATTTAGTTCACTACATACAAAAAACAGAATGTTTCCACAGCTGGTTGTCAAAATTTCCAAAAAATTTTCATTTTTGAAGGGCATTTTAAGGCACTTTCAGAAGAGGTGAGAAGTTGGAGGGTATATACAGTTGGAGGTATTATATTAAGTATTCCAGAGTAATATGTAATGTAAAATATTTCAAGCACTTATTTATTAAACTTTATTAATTTATAACGCAACCTCAATTGAATCATCATATAAAATGGATCCATTTTTATTCAACAACATCTATAATATAATTGAATATAAATATTAATAATTACGCATACCTTCTTAACTTAATATTACCTATTTGCTAACGCAAACAGAATGTGCATATTACACACGAATTTGTGAATGTAAAACTGCCTTCAATTTATGTCATAACTGCCCAAAAATGGTATAAATTATACCAAAGCATCAGTTTACTTCCACTATTGATTTGACAAATTAAATAAAACACCTTAAAATTAAACACCTTAAAAAATATCAAAATGTTCAAAGTTTTTGTTCTTGTAGCCCTAGTGGCCTGCGTTGTTGCTGAGCATCATGCTTCTTCCTACGCATCTTTCAACAATCACGTAGAGCATTCATATCACCACGATGATCACCATGATCATCCTGAACCACATGTAAATTATTTAAGGTACATATTACGGTAATATAATAAAAGTGATTGTGTCCTTTACTTAGCACCACCCAAAATACGAATACAAATATGGCGTCGAGGACCACCACACCCATGATATGAAATCAGCCGAAGAGGAACGCGACGGGGATGTCGTCAAGGGATGGTACAAATTGGACCATTGGTGTGGTTGTGTGACATGAGACCTAATCATTGGTGTGATTAGTTGTGAACTGCCAACCATTGTAGTGGTTGAGTAGGTTGCCAACCATTGGTGTGGTTGTGTGACATGAGACCTAATCATTGGTGTGATTAGTTGTGAACTGCCAACCATTGTAGTGGTTGAGTAGGTTGCCAACCATTGGTGTGGTTGTGTGACATGAGACCTAATCATTGGTGTGATTAGTTGTGAACTGCCAACCATTGTAGTGGTTGAGTAGGTTGCCAACCATTGGTGTGGCTGTGTAACGTGTGACCTAATCATTGGTGTGATTAGTTGTGAACTGCCAACCATTGTAGTGGTTGAGTAGGTTGCCAACCATTGGTGTGGTTGTGTGACATGAGACCTAATCATTGCCAACCATTGGTGTGGTTGTGTGACATGAGACCTAATCATTGCCAACCATTGGTGTGGTTGTGTGACATGAGACCTAATCATTGGTGTGATTAGTTGTGAACTGCCAACCATTGTAGTGGTTGAGTAGGTTGCCAACCATTGGTGTGGCTGTGTAACGTGTGACCTAATCATTGGTGTGATTAGTTGTGAACTGCCAACCATTGTAGTGGTTGAGTAGGTTGCCAACCATTGGTGTGGTTGTGTGACATGAGACCTAATCATTGGTGTGATTAGTTGTGAACTGCCAACCATTGTAGTGGTTGAGTAGGTTGCCAACCATTGGTGTGGTTGTGTGACATGAGACCTAATCATTGGTGTGATTAGTTGTGAACTGCCAACCATTGTAGTGGTTGAGTAGGTTGCCAACCATTGGTGTGGCTGTGTACGTGTGACCTAATCATTGGTGTGATTAGTTGTGAACTGCCAACCATTGTAGTGGTTGAGTAGGTTGCCAACCATTGGTGTGGTTGTGTGACATGAGACCTAATCATTGCCAACCATTGGTGTGGTTGTGTGACATGAGACCTAATCATTGGTGTGATTAGTTGTGAACTGCCAACCATTGTAGTGGTTGAGTAGGTTGCCAACCATTGGTGTGGTTGTGTGACATGAGACCTAATCATTGGTGTGATTAGTTGTGAACTGCCAACCATTGTAGTGGTTGAGTAGGTTGCCAACCATTGGTGTGGTTGTGTAACGTGTGACCTAATCATTGGTGTGATTAGTTGTGAACTGCCAACCATTGTAGTGGTTGAGTAGGTTGCCAACCATTGGTGTGGTTGTGTGACATGAGACCTAATCATTGGTGTGATTAGTTGTGAACTGCCAACCATTGTAGTGGTTGAGTAGGTTGCCAACCATTGGTGTGGTTGTGTGACATGAGACCCAATCATTGGTGTGATTAGTTGTGAACTGCCAACCATTGTAGTGGTTGAGTAGGTTGCCAACCATTGGTGTGGTTGTGTGACATGAGACCTAATCATTGGTGTGATTAGTTGTGAACTGCCAACCATTGTAGTGGTTGAGTAGGTTGCCAACCATTGGTGTGGTTGTGTGACATGAGACCTAATCATTGGTGTGATTAGTTGTGAACTGCCAACCATTGTAGTGGTTGAGTAGGTTGCCAACCATTGGTGTGGTTGTGTGACATGAGACCTAATCATTGGTGTGATTAGTTGTGAACTGCCAACCATTGTAGTGGTTGAGTAGGTTGCCAACCATTGGTGTGGTTGTGTGACATGAGACATAATCATTGGTGTGATTAGTTGTGAACTGCCAACCATTGTAGTGGTTGAGTAGGTTGCCAACCATTGGTGTGGTTGTGTGACATGAGACCTAATCATTGGTGTGATTAGTTGTGAACTGCCAACCATTGTAGTGGTTGAGTAGGTTGCCAACCATTGGTGTGGTTGTGTGACATGAGACCTAATCATTGGTGTGATTAGTTGTGAACTGCCAACCATTGTAGTGGTTGAGTAGGTTGCCAACCATTGGTGTGGTTGTGTGACATGAGACCTAATCATTGGTGTGATTAGTTGTGAACTGCCAACCATTGTAGTGGTTGAGTAGGTTGCCAACCATTGGTGTGGTTGTGTGACATGAGACCTAATCATTGGTGTGATTAGTTGTGAACTGCCAACCATTGTAGTGGTTGAGTAGGTTGCCAACCATTGGTGTGGTTGTGTGACATGAGACCTAATCATTGGTGTGATTAGTTGTGAACTGCCAACCATTGTAGTGGTTGAGTAGGTTGCCAACCATTGGTGTGGTTGTGTGACATGAGACCTAATCATTGGTGTGATTAGTTGTGAACTGCCAACCATTGTAGTGGTTGAGTAGGTTGCCAACCATTGGTGTGGTTGTGTGACATGAGACCTAATCATTGGTGTGATTAGTTGTGAACTGCCAACCATTGTAGTGGTTGAGTAGGTTGCCAACCATTGGTGTGGTTGTGTGACATGAGACCTAATCATTGGTGTGATTAGTTGTGAACTGCCAACCATTGTAGTGGTTGAGTAGGTTGCCAACCATTGGTGTGGTTGTGTGACATGAGACCTAATCATTGGTGTGATTAGTTGTGAACTGCCAACCATTGTAGTGGTTGAGTAGGTTGCCAACCATTGGTGTGGTTGTGTGACATGAGACCTAATCATTGGTGTGATTAGTTGTGAACTGCCAACCATTGTAGTGGTTGAGTAGGTTGCCAACCATTGGTGTGGTTGTGTAACATGAGACCTAATCATTGGTGTGATTAGTTGTGAACTGCCAACCATTGTAGTGGTTGAGTAGGTTGCCAACCATTGGTGTGGTTGTGTGACATGAGACCTAATCATTGGTGTGATTAGTTGTGAACTGCCAACCATTGTAGTGGTTGAGTAGGTTGCCAACCATTGGTGTGGTTGTGTGACATGAGACCTAATCATTGGTGTGATTAGTTGTGAACTGCCAACCATTGTAGTGGTTGAGTAGGTTGCCAACCATTGGTGTGGTTGTGTGACATGAGACCTAATCATTGGTGTGATTAGTTGTGAACTGCCAACCATTGTAGTGGTTGAGTAGGTTGCCAACCATTGGTGTGGTTGTGTGACATGAGACCTAATCATTGGTGTGATTAGTTGTGAACTGCCAACCATTGTAGTGGTTGAGTAGGTTGCCAACCATTGGTGTGGTTGTGTGACATGAGACCTAATCATTGGTGTGATTAGTTGTGAACTGCCAACCATTGTAGTGGTTGAGTAGGTTGCCAACCATTGGTGTGGTTGTGTGACATGAGACCTAATCATTGGTGTGATTAGTTGTGAACTGCCAACCATTGTAGTGGTTGAGTAGGTTGCCAACCATTGGTGTGGTTGTGTGACATGAGACCTAATCATTGGTGTGATTAGTTGTGAACTGCCAACCATTGTAGTGGTTGAGTAGGTTGCCAACCATTGGTGTGGTTGTGTAACATGAGACCTAATCATTGGTGTGATTAGTTGTGAACTGCCAACCATTGTAGTGGTTGAGTAGGTTGCCAACCATTGGTGTGGTTGTGTGACATGAGACCTAATCATTGGTGTGATTAGTTGTGAACTGCCAGCCATTGTAGTGGCTGAGTAGAATTTCCAACCATTGTAGTGGTTGTGAAATTGTTAGAAGTCAATCATTCTAGTGATTGTGCTTGATGTTGCAAATCATTGTAGTGATTGTGCAGGGTTGAAAACCATTGTAGTGGTTTTGTAACATGTTATTTTTGTGATTTTGTGAAATGTAATATTGCTGCATATGAGAGAGATATGACAGAGATGTGGTCAGAGATGACCGAGTGATTAAAATTTTCGAACAAGATTCTGAGATTTACTTTGTTTTACAGAATAAGCCACACGAGGACGTGTGTGCGCAGGATGGCCGTGTCGGATTCGAATACGAACAAGGACGCCATCTAGACATAAGAAGATGAATCAGCTAATGGAGGTGCAGTCTTGCATCGATGTGGTCTGGGTGTGCGTCTCGAGTAAGAGCGACAAGCGCAGAAGGGATTCGAAGGTTTCGAGGGAAAGGCGAATCATGTATGAAGACACTCACTCTGAGAGCACCGTTGAGCGCGCACCCAGAACTCATCCCGTTACGCCGATTCAATTCGTTCTGTTTAATCTAAGACATACTTTGTTTTGTAATAAATGGCGCGTAATTTAAATTGGAATGTTGTTAATGTAGTTGAGGAGGAGGTGTATCCGACATACACAGATATGAAACACGTGGTTGAACATTTTGATATTTTTAAATTTGATATTATTATAAACAAATAAATTTTATATTTTGCATTATTACAGTTGCCTAAATTAGTTGGTTAATTTATTTCACTAAATAATAGCCTACATTATCAGTTTTTTTGAACCTAAATGAACACCAAATACAACACATTTTATTCTACTAATATTATGAAACTCATCAAATATTATGAATAAATAATTAATACACCTTTGAAATTATAACATCAATTCAAGCATTACATATAGAATGCCTTTCAAAATAATTAAACACCAAGTACTATAAGCACCACCATCGCCAAGTACTATAAATACCTAATATCATTCTTGATAATTCGCCAGTTGAACTGTGTTCGTCAATCAATCAACAACCAAAAACTTGTGAAATACAACAAACAAATAATGTTCAAATTTGTTGTCCTTGTTGCTCTGGTCGCGTGCGCTGTAGCTGAACATCACGCTTCATCTTACGCATCATTTAATAATCATGTTGAACAGTCAGATCAGCATGGCGATCATCATGAGCCACACGTAAAACTGAGAAATACATAGATGGTGTTATTATATGTTACATTCCTTAATATTTTTAGCACCACCCAAAATACGAATACAAATATGGCGTCGAGGACCACCACACTCATGATATCAAATCTGCCGAAGAGAAACGCGACGGGGATGTTGTAAAGGGATGGTACAAACTGGAGCAGCCCGATGGCAGAACCCGAATTGTTCATTACACTGCCGATAAACACAACGGCTTCAACGCTGATGTCAAATATTCCGGTCACGCTGACCATCCTCATCATTATTAAGTGATTGTTACTGTGTTATTATGTCAAATGTACCATAAACTATATATTTTCTTATAAAATTTCTTTAATTCAAATAAGTTTTTGAAATGAAAACTTCTTTAGAAAACCTCTGCGTGCGTACAATCCGCGCTACAAACAATGTGTATCCAGATCACCTGACGACAAAAATGAGACTAACGTGGCACGCGTGGCGACCGCACAAAACTGCAGGAAACAAAGAAACTTGTTTGTTTATAAACATTGATACTTTTTTAATCCAACTACCACCCCAAAAATCTAGATAAAAATTGTAGGAGGATAAACGTCGGTACAACGTGTTCCGCAGATGTGAAAAATGATAGAAAGACGAAATAATTAATATTCAAAAAAAGAGAGTTACCCGCTATTTTACAACCTCAATGGAATATTCCTCAACTCATCTCCTCCACAGATGTTCGAAATTTAAAAAAAATGGCAATATACTACTCGCATTATAGCTACAACTTTCTAACGCAATATTCAAGAAAAGGTCACAAAAATTCGTGGCAGAAAACATCCAAATTTTATTTTAAACAGTTTGCCATAAAGAAATAAAATCGGAGATAAAAAGTTTTAAGTCAGCTATATATCCGTGACGGTTGCTTTGCGAACACGTGTGAAATGCCGTTTTGGGCGCCAAGTGAAAACCAATACGCTATTCATAAAGGCTGAGGTCAAAACCAACTGATGAAGTATTTGTGGAATTACTATGTCTATATGGGACATATAAGTGCCAGTGGGGCCCCTCAGGCAGCCGGGGCCCCCCAAGCAGCCGGGGCCCTAGGCGCGCGCCTAGTGCGCCTAGGCCGTAATCCGCCACTGTTTATATTATACTAGTTCTCACCCGGCAAACGTTGTTTTGCCATATATTATTTGTAATTTCTAGATAAATTCTAGTGTAGACAAACAGTAACTTACATATTATAAGTGTGTAAGTATGTAAAACTTGATTAACTGAACTAATCGTGCCAAATACACTTAAAATTAATAATTTTATTATCTAAAATATAAAAATGAATCGCAAAATGTGTTGGTAACTGCTTCACTCAACAACGCCTAGACCAATTTTGGCTAATTGGGGTGTTTTAGTGGATCCCACTAATATAATTTGTTCTTGAAAAGGTGGCGAAAGTTCGTGGAAGCGCCCTCTCAACATTTTTGTTTTATTTATATTATATGATTAAGTAATACTTACACATCACGTTTTGAAACAGATTGAAGGATTATAAAGTATACCTGGATAAATTACCAGAGGAAGAACGAGCGCAACTGGAGTTGGACATGGAGAAGAAGAAAAAGAAGACTGAGAAGGTGAAGAGTCTCTCAGTCTTCTTTTTCTTCTTCTCCTTTTTGTACTTTTCTTGTATCACTTTCAATTTCTTTTCGTACTCATCGCGATCCTCTTTGCTCACTTGATTCCATTTTGCTGCAATGGTTTTCACACGATCCTTCGCAGCTAATCCCGATAACTCACCCGATGACATCAATTGTTGTGAAAATAAGATGTTGGTGGCTTCGATGGTTTACCTTCGGATTTATTCAACATTTGAAGCCCTTCTTTGTTGAGGATTGTCTTCAATGGCTTCACTACTTCAGTAGGATGTGAAAAGTTATAAACTTGAACTTCGTCCAAGTACTTTCTATGCTCGGCAACTGCTTGTTTAATCCATGGCACTTTCTTTTTAGCCGACATTTTGCTCCATGCTTGTTTCGACGCCATTTTGTATGCGCTTTTATCAGCGACATGTTCCTCTTTGCTGAGGTGGTCTTCCAGAAACAGTGTGAATGCAGTGCGTGGTTTCTTTGGTCTTGGGTACTTTTGGACCACTTCAGTCTTGAGTTGTGGATGTTTTTCATAGAATTGTTCGACTTTACGTTCGTATTTGCGCATGCTTACGGCAGCACGGTCCAAGTAGCTTTGTTTAGCCGCTTCGGCCTATCCAATAAATTGCGTATCATACAAAAAGAGTATCCGATGGCCGAAGGAACATCACTCACGTTTTACCTCTGCGTATAAACAATTCGCATTTGACGAACGCCGCACATAGCTCGCGCACAAGGGAAGGAGCATTTAGAAATATTACGTAATGACGCGAAGAAATTAAGGAACTCAAATTATTCTGAAGAAAATGTGCGTGCACATCACCCGACGACAAATATGAGACTGACGTGGTAGGCAAGCCAAGCGCGTGTCGACCGCACAAAAATTGCACGAGATAAGAAAACTTGTTTGTTTGTAAACACTAAAACATTCAGTGTACAGTGTGCAGAACATGAAAAGAATTGTACTCGTACAATGCATGGAACTTTTAATTTCGATTAAATTATGAATCGGACACCAGTAACGAAATTACCTATAGATTAAAGCTCTATTGACGTGTAAACACCTATTTTCTTTAAAATTGCAAATTGACACTGTACGTTCAATGTTAGGATAATAAATACTAAACAGTTCTTTTAATTCTACATCGATTATTTTAGTAATTTTTTTTCTAAAATTAACCGTTTAGGCCCTATTTGCAAATTTTCGTGAAAGCTGCATTTGACATAAAAAAGAGAAATCTTTTGCTTTTTTTATGACGAAATATTTTATTTCCACAAAAACAGATTCTGTTTTACCGAAAATAGCAGCCAAAGAATTAAGAACGCAACCGACAGCACAGGACAATCTTAATCTTTTTAATTTGTACATTAAACAAAAACGAAAAATCGAATACGTATTGCAAATCAACGGTAGGTAATCAAACAGACACAAATATGAAATACGCGTATGATACAAAAAGAGTATCCGACGGCCGACGGAACATCACTCACGCTTTACCTCTGCGTGTGTACAAGCTTTATTTTGAAGTGTAATGGGATTAATTTTGAAATAATTCGATTCGAAAAATGCATTTGTTTTTCGTAGACCTTTTTATTCTTGATATAATCGCCAAAAAATCGACCCTGTTCTTCAACCGAAAAATATTTTAACACAAAATATTTTCAAACAAATATTTTCCACACCATGTTTTCAAATTTTCCTAAAATTGCTCATTTTTGAAGAGCATTTTAAGGCACTTCAAAAAGGGCTGGAAGGTATGAGGTGTATGCATCGTGTAGACAAACTCCCTGACTCTCTTCTGGCGTAAAGAAACTAGAAGATAGTCAATTTGTTTACGAGATACAGGGTGTTTTCCACACTATTTTTCAAATTTTTCTAAAATTGCTCATATTTGAAGGGCATTTTCGGGCACTTCCGAAAGAGCTGAAAGGTTGAAAAGGTATGCGTCGTATAGATAAACTCCCTGACTCTATTATGGCGTAGAGAAACTATAAGAAAGTCATTTAGTTCACTACATACAAAAAACAGAATGTTTCCACAGCTGGTTGTCAAAATTTCCAAAAAATTTTCATTTTTGAAGGGCATTTTAAGGCACTTTCAGAAGAGGTGAGAAGTTGGAGGGTATATACAGTTGGAGGTATTATATTAAGTATTCCAGAGTAATATGTAATGTAAAATATTTCAAGCACTTATTTATTAAACTTTATTAATTTATAACGCAACCTCAATTGAATCATCATATAAAATGGATCCATTTTTATTCAACAACATCTATAATATAATTGAATATAAATATTAATAATTACGCATACCTTCTTAACTTAATATTACCTATTTGCTAACCAGCGGCGTAGCGTGCCTTGTCGGGGCCCCGTATAAAATTTTTTTTGGAGGCCCTTATATGGAGGTAAAGGTTTTTTCTTACACACTTTGGGGGCCCCGTATAATTGATACGGCAAATACGGCGGTAGCTACGCCCCTGTTGCTAACGCAAACAGAATGTGCATATTACACACGAATTTGTGAATGTAAAACTGCCTTCAATTTATGTCATAACTGCCCAAAAATGGTATAAATTAGAGTGGTCTCTTATACCAAAGCATCAGTTTACTTCCACTATTGATTTGACAAACATCAATTAAACACCTTAAAAAATATCAAAATGTTCAAAGTTTTTGTTCTTGTAGCCCTAGTGGCCTGCGTTGTTGCTGAGCATCATGCTTCTTCCTACGCATCTTTCAACAATCACGTAGAGCATTCATATCACCACGATGATCACCATGATCATCATGAACCACATGTAAATTATTTAAGGTACATATTACGGTAATATAATAAAAGTGATTGTGTCCTTTACTTAGCACCACCCAAAATACGAATACAAATATGGCGTCGAGGACCACCACACCCATGATATGAAATCAGCCGAAGAGGAACGCGACGGGGATGTCGTCAAGGGATGGTACAAATTGGAGCAGCCCGATGGCAGGACCCGTATTGTTCATTACACCGCTGACAAACACAATGGTTTCAATGCTGATGTCAAATATTCTGGTCATGCTGAGCATCCTCATCATTATTAATGACAAAATATTAATTAATGTAGGAAAATATATGCAGTGCGTGGTTTCTTTGGTCCTGGGTACTTTTGGACCACTTCAGTCTTGAGTGGATGTTTTTCATAGAATTGTTCGACTTTACGTTCGTATTTGCGCATGCTTACGGCAGCACGGTCCAAGTAGCTTTGTTTAGCCGCTTCGGAAAGTTGTTTGTACTTTTGACCACCAATGCGTGCGATTTCTGTGATTTTCGCGTCTTTCGTCTCGCGCATAATGTCAGCTTTAGCCTTAGAAGGAGAAAATTCTTCTTCGCCTTCTCAGTCTTCTTTTTCTTCTTCTCCATGTCCAACTCCAGTTGCGCTCGTTCTTCCTCTGGTAATTTATCCAGGTATACTTTATAATCCTTCAATCTGTTTCAAAACGTGATGTGTAAGTATTACTTAATCATATAATATAAATAAAAGATTCACATGTCTGCGCTAAATCGCGTTCGGGACTACTTCGAGACGAAGCTCAAGGTGAGTGTAAAAGTAGAAGAAAATGTACCTGGTGAGACTGTCGACGATGATGATGATTATGACGAGGAGGGCGATGCCGAAGCGGAAGCCAATGACGATTCCGGCGAATCCGAGAGTGAAAGCGACGCGTCTTCCGACTAACTCGACTAAAGATTGTTACTCGTTTCTGTTTGTACTTGTACTTTTAACTCGTTTGATATTTTATCCCTTCTTTTTTGTATGTATTAATAATGATAAGTTGTCCTGACAGAGAGTTTATGACGATTCAAACGATTGTTATCACACAAATTTGTGTACAGAGTATGTAAGATGAAGAAATCCATTGATTCTTGAATATAACACAATTTTCAAACAATATGACCTTGGTTATTGGTTACAAATGTAATATTAAATATTAAAATTAATTTTCTAGGATTTTATGAGCAGGAATGAAATAATATAGCGCCCTATGTGTTCGCGACATGCGCGATGCACGCGTTGATTACCAATGTGAAGATAAACTCGCGCGCGGCGAGCACCGGTTCCCAAAGCCCAATAACCTACAAACGCACGAAGCGTACGAAACTTACAAACTTACAAAAAAGAAGGGATAAAATATCAAACGAGTTAAAAAGTACAAGTACAAACAGAAACGAGTAACAATCTTTAGTCGAGTTAGTCGGAAGACGCGTCGCTTTCACTCTCGGATTCGCCGGAATCGTCATTGGCTTCCGCTTCGGCATCGCCCTCCTCGTCATCATCATCTTCATCATCATCGTCGGCAGTCTCACCAGGTACATTTTCTTCTACTTTTACACTCTCCTTGAGCTTCGTCTCGAAGTAGTCCCGAACGCGATTTAGCGCAGACGGAATACACCTTACACCGTTGAGTTTGTCGCATAAGGGGAGTTCACGATTAACGCTTACTGGTCCCGCGACTACGCTGTTGTTTAGGAGCGAAAGGACTAAAATGAATCTTATATGGTTTATTCTCGAAGGGAATTATTTGGTTCCAATAATGACTACTACCACTGACTCTTATTGCTTCACTATTTTCTGCTTGTTCTATACGCTGCCACCTTTAAAATTGTACTACTCGGGAAAAGTTTGCTTAAAAGTTTTATTTCGTTTATAGCATCTTTCTTTCAGACATTTTGTGTGTGGAGAGTTCCCCAAGTTCCCCGACCAAAGCATATCTAGTACCTTCTTCTATACTTTATACTGATATGCACCACAAACGCCATAATAGTTTACATAAACAGCGGCAGAACGAGATTCGAACGTCCTAGTCCCTAACGCCAATACTTTTTTAATTATATTGATAGCACGTCGACCAATAGCCCTACTACCCGTTCTTACATGTTCATGCCTTTTATGCCATATTTCTAGTGTAAAATATACAGTTTGAAAAATTGGCGGCGTTCTTGCAAGCGTTTGTAAATTTGTTAGGTTCCCAGTTTTAAAACCTTGCTTACATTTCAACTTTTCCTCAGTAATACATAAATTCTAGTAAATTTCTTAGTTTTAAGCCAAAAGGATTTCTGCTTGTGCTACATTTTTTGATTTGTTCACAGTAACACATAAATTTCTAGTCAAAGTCAATATTTTTCCCAAAAATTATTCGAGTTGCGCCAAAAAAGTCCATTTTCCTTCAGCACCCGGGAGAGGAGATCCATAGTTACTTACTTCACTTACCTCTCCCTATGGGGTAAAAGTACAAAAATGCGCCAATCCTGCTACCTAATCTGAGTGACCGTAAAAGTCGATTTTTTTGGGTTCAGCAGGTTTTGACGGCGGCTTAGGATTCGTTAAAATTTCACGAAATTTTTAGTCCAAAATCAAAACGTCCCGAAAAACTTAGAAAAATTTTCAACTTTTTTCGTTCCTGCGGCTAAGTCCAAAAATCGACACTTAGAAAAATTTTCAACTTTTTTCGTTCCTGCGGCTAAGTCCAAAAATCGACACTTAGACAAAATTTCTACATTTTTTCTCGTTTTTGCGGCTAAGTCCAAAAATCGACACTTAGAAAAATTTTCAACTTTTTTCGTTCCTGCGGCTAAGTCCAAAAATCGACACTTAGAAAAATTTTCAACTTTTTTCGTTCCTGCGGCTAAGTCCAAAAATCGACACTTAGAAAAATTTTCAACTTTTTTCGTTCCTGCGGCTAAGTCCAAAAATCGACACTTAGACAAAATTTCTACATTTTTTCTCGTTTTTGCGGCTAAGTCCAAAAATCGACACTTAGAAAAATTTTCAACTTTTTTCGTTCCTGCGGCTAAGTCCAAAAATCGACACTGAAAAATTTTCAACATTTTTTCATTTTTTCGACTAAGTCCGATAAACTTATATTTAAAGTCGAAATACATGTACTGAGCATATTTAAGGACTTTGATGTTTTTCGACTTCGAGCAAACTTCCTGCTCCTATAGGGTAAAAGTACAAAAATACGCCAATCCTGCGACCTAATCTGAGTCACCGTAAAAGCGGATTTTTTTGGTTTCAGGATGTTTTGACGGCGGCTTAGGATTCGTTAAAATTTCACGAAATTTTTAGTCGAAAATCAAAACCTCCCGAAAAACTTAGAAAAATTTGAATATGTTTTTTAAAGTTCAGTCGTTTATCAAGAATGACACCCAGGTATCTCACTTCGGAGCAGATTTTACTTCTTTGATTTTGCAGTATTGGCGGGGAGAGGATATTGCAGTTTTTAACTTTTCTGCTGAAGGCTATTGCTTCAGTTTTTGAGCCATTTATTGTTATTTTCCATTTACTGAAGTACGCTCCTAGTGTGTTCAGATGATAGTTTACTTTACTTATAGCAGTAGTTGCGGTGTGTGAGTTGGAGTATATTGCCGTGTCATCGGCAAATAGGGCTGTGTTGGTTATCGGAATTTGTGGAATGTCGTTGATGTATATGGAAAATAAGTGTGGTCCTAATATCGAGCCTTGGGGGACGCCCGCGGTTATTAATGTTGGTGTCGAGTTTGAGTGGTTTAGTGAGACGTAAAATTGTCTATCTCTAAGGTAATTATTTATTATTATTGTTAAGTATGGTGGTAGGTTTAGTGCGATTAGTTTGTATATGAGGCCGTCTATCCAGACCTTGTCGAACGCTTTTTGGATGTCTAGGAAGACGGCAGTGGTGACTAGGTTTTTATTGAAATTAAATCGAATGTCTTTAGTTATTCTGGCAAGTTGGTGAATTGTGCTATGTCCACTTCTGAACCCGAACTGAACATTGTTGACTGTATTGTTTATTTCAAGGAATGATTTTAGTCTGCTGAGTATGATGATTTCGGTAAGTTTGGCGAGTGTATTCAGCAGGCTGATAGGCCTATAACTGACCGGATTGTTTTTCGATTGTTTCGGTTTGTGTATAGGAATCACATTGGCAATTTTTTGAGAGCTGATTTAATTTCATGTGGGCTGGTTCTATCATAGTCTGTTTTTGTTTGGTGGTTGTTGGTGTATGTTTTGACTACTTGAGTTATGTCGTTTTGAGATGTAGAATTATTGATGTCTATTTCGTGGACGGATTTGAAGTGGTTGGCAAGAAGTTCGGCTTTATCCTCGGCTGAGTAGGAAGTGGCGCCAGATGGTGATTTAAGCGGAGGTATGTATGAGCTTCCATATTGAGCTGTCTTTCGGTGTTAGTTTGTCTAGCTTTTTGTCCCATGCCGCGTTAATGTCTTGTTGGATGTGGAATTTAGCTATTCTGTTAGTTTCGTTTAGGGCCATTTTGTTAAGTGCGTTTCTATTGCGTTGCCATGTTCGTCTGGCCTGATTACGTGCAGCGATGGAATTTTTAGTTATGGAGCTGAAAGATGTTGTGAACGGCTTGATTGTCAGTTTGGGGATTGCTATAGCTGTCGCGTTTTTAATCTGAAGTGTTAGGAGATTAACGGCTTCGTCGATTTCGTTAGGTGAGTTAAGATTGCTGTTGATATTGACTTGGGAATTGAGTGAATTTCGAAAATGATTCCAGTTTGCGTTTTTGTAATCCATTATAGTTTTTTGTTTGGGCATTATGGTTGATTTAAGTTGGAAGAATATAGGGTTGTGATCGGAGGTTAAGTCGTTTAAGGAAGTTATGGAAGGTATGTTTGTGATATTTTTGAGTTTTAATCTGCGTTTTAACGCGTAAAACAGCATAAAAACGACGAAATTTTTATTATTCGTTTTTTATTAATATTGCGTCTATTTGAACGATTTCAACGATCTAAAATGCTTGAAAATGATTATTTTAGCAAAACAGCACGTTTTGAGCTTTAATCTGCGTTTTAACGCGTAAAACAGCATAAAAACGACGAATTTTTATTATTCGTTTTTACGACTTGGCGTGCGGTGAGACGACTAGAGACCAAACGAAGTGTATCCAAATGGAACATCTACCACATAACCTGAAAACCGCCTTCATACCTTTTATAGCAGTGTGAATCATTTTAATAATCTGTGTCTTTAAAATTAATTTCAACAATGTCTAAAGTCGACTTAGAACTGAAAAAGGTAAAAAGTGCATTATCGTAGATCAAATTGTACAATTTCCATTGTTGTATGTATTTTCAGGCATTTGCTGAGTTGCAAATGAAAGCAGTTGAAACATCGCAAAAACTCAAACTTGCCGATTTGCAAATTGAACAATTAAAGAAGAATAAAAAGCGATCAATACTCACAGACCAGTAAATATTACCTTTTAATTATACATTTAACATTTAAAGAAATAAAATGCAATGCAATTACAATTACAATGCACTGAAACAACCAGCTCTTAATCAGCATGGTTATGCTTATAATTTTCTTTTTTATGCTTTATAATTCAAATATTGCAAATTGATCCATCTGCTCAGTTTGCAGGTTAATAACAACATTAAAACAGTTTGTTGAAAAATTTACTTAATTTACTTAGTAAATTGTTAATTTTTATGGGAAATCTCTTTATTGCCAGCGTAGTTGCTGAGCATCATGCTTCCTCTTACGCATCGTTCAATAATCATGTTGATCATTCTTATCACCACAATGATCATCATGAACCACATGTAAACATTCAAATGCATTTGTTTTTCGTAGACCTTTTTATTCTTGATATAATCGCCAAAAAAATCGACCCTGTTCTTCAACCGAAAAATATTTTAACACAATAATTCGACCCTGGTTATTGACCAAAAAAGTTTTAAGTAAAAAAGTTTGATCCTGTTTTTCGACCGAAAAATTTTTAGCAAAAAAATATGACCGAAAAATTTTTCCAAAAAAATTCGACCGAAAAATGAAATTTATTGGACAAAAATAGCGATATTCGATTGCGATTTTAAGACATTTCTAAAGGGTGTATGGGGTTACAAAGGTATGCATAGTATAAAGGGTCTCTAGAGTTTTAACATGACGTAAAGAAACTATAAGAAAATCAATTAATTCACGTGATACAATGTGTTTTCCACACCATGTTTTCAAATTTTCCTAAAATTGCTCATTTTTGAAGAGCATTTTAAGGCACTTCAAAAAGGGCTGGAAGGTATGAGGTGTATGCATCGTGTAGACAAACTCCCTGACTCTCTTCTGGCGTAAAGAAACTAGAAGATAGTCAATTTGTTTACGAGATACAGGGTGTTTTCCACACTATTTTTCAAATTTTTCTAAAATTGCTCATATTTGAAGGGCATTTTCGGGCACTTCCGAAAGAGCTGAAAGTCATTTAGTTCACTACATACAAAAAACAGAATGTTTCCACAGCTGGTTGTCAAAATTTCCAAAAATTTTCATTTTTGAAGGGCATTTTAAGGCACTTTCAGAAGTGGCAATATAATAATATAGTACAGTTGGAGGTATTATATTAAGTATTCCAGAGTAATATGTAATGTAAAATATTTCAAGCACTTATTTATTAAACTTTATTAATTTATAACGCAACCTCAATTGAATCATCATATAAAATGGATCCATTTTTATTCAACAACATCTATAATATAATTGAATATAAATATTAATAATTACGCATACCTTCTTAACTTAATATTACCTATTTGCTAACGCAAACAGAATGTGCATATTACACACGAATTTGTGAATGTAAAACTGCCTTCAATTTATGTCATAACTGCCCAAAAATGGTATAAATTATACCAAAGCATCAGTTTACTTCCACTATTGATTTGACAAATTAAATAAAACACCTTAAAATTAAACACCTTAAAAAATATCAAAATGTTCAAAGTTTTTGTTCTTGTAGCCCTAGTGGCCTGCGTTGTTGCTGAGCATCATGCTTCTTCCTACGCATCTTTCAACAATCACGTAGAGCATTCATATCACCACGATGATCACCATGATCATCATGAACCACATGTAAATTATTTAAGGTACATATTACGGTAATATAATAAAAGTGATTGTGTCCTTTACTTAGCACCACCCAAAATACGAATACAAATATGGCGTCGAGGACCACCACACCCATGATATGAAATCAGCCGAAGAGGAACGCGACGGGGATGTCGTCAAGGGATGGTACAAATTGGAGCAGCCCGATGGCAGGACCCGTATTGTTCATTACACCGCTGACAAACACAATGGTTTCAATGCTGATGTCAAATATTCTGGTCATGCTGAGCATCCTCATCATTATTAATGACAAAATATTAATTAATGTAGGAAAATATATGCAGTGCGTGGTTTCTTTGGTCCTGGGTACTTTTGGACCACTTCAGTCTTGAGTGGATGTTTTTCATAGAATTGTTCGACTTTACGTTCGTATTTGCGCATGCTTACGGCAGCACGGTCCAAGTAGCTTTGTTTAGCCGCTTCGGAAAGTTGTTTGTACTTTTGACCACCAATGCGTGCGATTTCTGTGATTTTCGCGTCTTTCGTCTCGCGCATAATGTCAGCTTTAGCCTTCGAAGGAGAAAATTCTTCTTCACCTTCTCAGTCTTCTTTTTCTTCGTCTCCATGTCCAACTCCAGTTGCGCTCGTTCTTCCTCTGGTAATTTATCCAGGTATACTTTATAATCCTTCAATCTGTTTCAAAACGTGATGTGTAAGTATTACTTAATCATATAATATAAATAAAAGATTCACATGTCTGCGCTAAATCGCGTTCGGGACTACTTCGAGACGAAGCTCAAGGTGAGTGTAAAAGTAGAAGAAAATGTACCTGGTGAGACTGTCGACGATGATGATGATTATGACGAGGAGGGCGATGCCGAAGCGGAAGCCAATGACGATTCCGGCGAATCCGAGAGTGAAAGCGACGCGTCTTCCGACTAACTCGACTAAAGATTGTTACTCGTTTCTGTTTGTACTTGTACTTTTTAACTCGTTTGATATTTTATCCCTTCTTTTTTGTATGTATTAATAATGATAAGTTGTCCTGACAGAGAGTTTATGACGATTCAAACGATTGTTATCACACAAATTTGTGTACAGAGTATGTAAGATGAAGAAATCCATTGATTCTTGAATATAACACAATTTTCAAACAATATGACCTTGGTTATTGGTTACAAATGTAATATTAAATATTAAAATTAATTTTCTAGGATTTTATGAGCAGGAATGAAATAATATAGCGCCCTATGTGTTCGCGACATGCGCGATGCACGCGTTGATTACCAATGTGAAGATAAACTCGCGCGCGGCGAGCACCGGTTCCCAAAGCCCAATAACCTACAAACGCACGAAGCGTACGAAACTTACAAACTTACAAAAAAGAAGGGATAAAATATCAAACGAGTTAAAAAGTACAAGTACAAACAGAAACGAGTAACAATCTTTAGTCGAGTTAGTCGGAAGACGCGTCGCTTTCACTCTCGGATTCGCCGGAATCGTCATTGGCTTCCGCTTCGGCATCGCCCTCCTCGTCATCATCATCTTCATCATCATCGTCGGCAGTCTCACCAGGTACATTTTCTTCTACTTGGTCCAAAAGTACCCAGGACCAAAGAAACCACGCACTACACCTTACACCGTTGAGTTTGTCGCATAAGGGGAGTTCACGATTAACGCTTACTGGTCCCGCGACTACGCTGTTGTTTAGGAGCGAAAGGACTAAAATGAATCTTATATGGTTTATTCTCGAAGGGAATTATTTGGTTCCAATAATGACTACTACCACTGACTTTAAAATTGTACTACTCGGGAAAAGTTTGTTAAAAAGTTATATTTCGTTTATAGCATCTTTCTTTCTGACATTTTGTGTGTGGAGAGTTCCTCAAGTTCTCCGACCAAAGCATATCTAGTACCTTCTTCTATACTTTAAACTGATATGCACCACAAACGCCATAATATTTCACATAAACAGCGGCAGAACGAGATTCGAACGTCCTAACTTTCCTGCTCCTATAGGGTAAAAGTACAAAAATACGCCAATCCTGCGACCTAATCTGAGTCACCGTAAAAGCGGATTTTTTTGGTTTCAGGATGTTTTGACGGCGGCTTAGGATTCGTTAAAATTTCACGAAATTTTTAGTCGAAAATCAAAACCTCCCGAAAAACTTAGAAAAATTTTCGACTTTTTTCGTTCCTGCGGCTAAGTCCAAAAATCGACACTTAGAAAAATTTTCAACATTTTTTCATTTTTTCGACTAAGTCCGATAAACTTATATTTAAAGTCGAAATACATGTACTGAGCATATTTAAGGACTTTGATATTTTTCGACTTCGAGCAAACTACCTGCTGCTATAGCGTAAAAGTTCAAAAATACGCCAATCGTGCGACCCACCCAGGGTGACCGTAAAAGTCGATTTTTTTGGGTTCAGCAGGTTTGGACGGCGGCTTAGGATTCGTTAAAATTTCACGAAATTTTTAGTCAAAAATCAAAACCTCCCGAGAAACTTAGAAAAATTTTCAACTTTTTTCGATCCTGCGGCTAAGTCCAAAAATCGACACTTAGAAAAATTTTCAACTTTTTTTCATTTTTTCGACTAAGTCCGATAAACTTATATTTAAAGTCGAAATACATGTACTGAGCATATTGGAAGACTTTGTTATATTTTCAACTTCGAGCAAACTACCTGCTCCGATAGAGTAAAAGTACAAAAATACGCCAATCGTGCGACTCACCCAGGGTGACCGTAAAAGTCGATTTTTTTGGTTTCAGGAGGTTTGGACGGCGGCTTAGGATTCGTTAAAATTTCACGAAATTTTGCGTCGAAAATCAAAACCTCCCGAAAAACTTAGAAAAATGTATCTCACTTCGGAGCAGATTTTACTTCTTTGATTTTGCAGTATTGGCGGGGAGAGGATATTGCAGTTTTTAACTTTTCTGCTGAAGGCTATTGCTTCAGTTTTTGGGCCATTTATTGTTATTTTCCATTTACTGAAGTACGCTCCTAGTGTGTTCAAATGATCGCTTACTTTACTTAAAGCAGTAGCTGCGGTGTGTAATGGAGTATATTGCCGTGTCATCGGCAAATAGGGCTGTGTTGGTTATCGGAATTTGTGGAATGTCGTTGATGTATATGGAAAATAAGTGTGGTCCTAATATCGAGCCTTGGGGGACGCCCGCGGTTATTAATGTTGGTGTCGAGTTTGAGTGGTTTAGTGAGACGTAAAATTGTCTATCTCTAAGGTAATTATTTATTATTATTGTTAAGTATGGTGCTAGGTTTAGTGCGATTAGTTTGTATATGAGGACGTCTATCCAGACCTTGTCGAACGCTTTTTGGATGACTAGGAAGGCGGCAGTGGTGACTAGGTTTTTATTGAAATTAAATCGAATGTCTTTAGTTATTCTGGCAAGTTGGTGAATTGTGCTATGTCCACTTCTGAACCCGAACTGAACATTGTTGACTGTATTGTTTATTTCAAGGAATGTTTTAAGTCTGCTGTGTATGATGATTTCGGTAAGTTTGGCGAGTGTATTCAGCAGGCTGATAGGCCTATAACTGACAGGATTGTTTTTCGATTGTTTCGGTTTGTGTATAGGAATCACGTTGGCAATTTTCCAGTTTTATGGGAAATATCCCTGTTTTAAGATGGCGTTTATAATGTGATGTATTTGAACAATACATTTCTTCGGGACATTTTTTAGTAGAATGTTTTGCAGGCCGTCCGGACCTGGCGCTTTGTGTGGTTTTGAGTTTTTGAGGGCTGATTTAATTTCATGTGGGCTGGTTCTATCATAGTCTGCTTTTTGTTTGGTGGTTGTTAGTGTATGTTTTGACTACTTGAGTTATGTCGTTTTGAGATGTAGAATTATTGATGTCTATTTCGTGGACGGATTTGAAGTGGTTGGCAAGAAGTTCGGCTTTATCCTCGGCTGAGTAGGAAGTGGCGCCAGATGGTGATTTAAGCGGAGGTATGTATGAGCCTACGGACTTAAGTGCCCTTGTAACCTTCCATATTGAGCTGTCTTTCGGTGTTAGTTTGTCTAGCTTTTTGTCCCATGCTGCGTTAATGTCTTGTTGGATGTGGAATTTAGCGATTCTGTTAGTTTCGTTTAGGGCCATTTTGTTAAGTGCGTTTCTATTGCGTTGCCATGTTCGTCTGGCCTGATTACGTGCAGCGATGGAATTTTTAGTTATGGACCTGAAAGATGTTGTGAACGGCTTGATTGTCAGTTTGGGATTGCTATAGCTGTCGCGATTTTAATCTGAAGTGTTAGGAGATTAACGGCTTCGTCGATTTCGTTAGGTGAGTTAAGATTGCTGTTGATATTGACTTGGGAATTGAGTGAATTTCGAAAATGATTCCAGTTTGCGTTTTTGTAATCCATTATAGTTTTTAGTTTACCTTCTTAACTTTACCTTCTTAACTTAATATTACCTATTTGCTAACGCAAACAGAATGTGCATATTACACACGAATTTGTGAATGTAAAACTGCCTTCAATTTATGTCATAACTGCCCAAAAATGGTATAAATTATACCAAAGCATCAGTTTACTTCCACTATTGATTTGACAAATTAAATAAAACACCTTAAAATTAAACACCTTAAAAAATATCAAAATGTTCAAAGTTTTTGTTCTTGTAGCCCTAGTGGCCTGCGTTGTTGCTGAGCATCATGCTTCTTCCTACGCATCTTTCAACAATCACGTAGAGCATTCATATCACCACGATGATCACCATGATCATCCTGAACCACATGTAAATTATTTAAGGTACATATTACGGTAATATAATAAAAGTGATTGTGTCCTTTACTTAGCACCACCCAAAATACGAATACAAATATGGCGTCGAGGACCACCACACCCATGATATGAAATCAGCCGAAGAGGAACGCGACGGGGATGTCGTCAAGGGATGGTACAAATTGGAGCAGCCCGATGGCAGGACCCGTATTGTTCATTACACCGCTGACAAACACAATGGTTTCAATGCTGAGGTCAAATATTCTGGTCATGCTGACCATCCTCATCATTATTAATGACAAAATATTAATTAATGTAGGAAAATATACACGCTTTATTTTTTTCTAATAAATTATTTCAAACAGTAATGTTAGCATGTTAATGTTCTCATTTTAACCATTCTAAAATACAAGAAGTGAAATATAATTACATGTGAATAAGGTTATTTTAATACATATGAACTTTTAAGTTAATTATCCACTTAATTTGATATACTAATAACATAGTTGATTTATTTTTGGTATTTTTTTTAATAAATTTTACTTTCCTTATATATGTCAATAAACTACTACTTGCTTTTTTGTTTCATGGACCTCTTATGTAACAACTACGACAATATAATTCTCAATTTTATATGAAAGAAATGAGAATTTTTACTACTTCAGCTCTATCTTTAATCGAATTATATAAATAAAACTATGATTCAATCTCAATATCAACTGCTATCTCTAATTTCACTACCTGAAAGTAATATTTTAGTAACAAAACTGGTTTAGTTGTATTATAAGTTTTGATTCGGTATTGTTTAAATCGTTGTTGAATATGCTACATGCACTTGAATAAATCGACAATTAACAGAAAGAAGAATTCAAATTAATCAATTACTTAAATATTTATTTCAGATTTCTGCATTTATATTTGTTAGTTCAAATCAATTAATAATTGAACTAAATAATTTGTAATATTCAAGAATATTGCTCAATTGCTTTGCTTGTGGTTAATTAACTAACATTATATGTTAACATTTGCCACTGCTTCTACATTAATATACATGTCGGATTCGAATACGAACAAGGACGCCATCTAGACATAAGAAGATGAATCAGCTAATGGAGGTGCAGCCTTGCATCGATGTGGTCTGGGTGTGCGTCTCGAGTAAGAAGAGCGACAAGCGCAGAAGGGATTCGAAGGTTTCGAGGGAAAGGCGAATCATGTATGAAGGGACTCACTCTGAGAGCACCGTTGAGCGCGCACCCAGAACTCATCCCGTTACGCCGATTCAATTCGTTCTGTTTAATGTAAGACATACTTTGTTTTGTAATAAATGGCGCGTAATTTAAATTGGAATGTTGTTAATGTAGTTGAGGAGGAGGTGTATCCGACATCAGAAGTGGGATCTGGATCCAATTTGCGATCTAATTTGCGATCTAGTGAAAAGTGCGATAGAGAAAGTGACAATGATCAAGAAAAGTGGAATCAGTTATTACAAGTGCAAAATAATAATATGCGTAATCTTATTGAAGCGTTGGTAAAACCCCAGGTGACCGAACAATTTAAGTTGTCGGAATTTAATCCGGATGATCGTGATGCTGACGCGCGTGCTTGGTGTTCCATGGCAGAGTTATGTATTGGTGACAAGAATTTGACGGGTGCCAAACTAATTATGACGTTAAGCAGAGCAATGAAGGGTGCAGCATCATCGTGGTTGTCGCAGATATCCTACCCGGATATTTCGTGGGAAGATTTTAAATCACAGTTTGCCGCACGATTTATTCAATCAGAGACGATGACTGCGTCTCTAATAAATCTACAGAATGGAAGGCC